TGAGGGAATCTGCATATTTTCGACCTAATAAAAGTATTTCGAAGATATGTGAAGTCCGCCAATCCATAGTGGCGTTGCATAGTGGTCTACGCAACAATACTATACAGAGAAGGCCATTGCGCAGCTGTGGGACATGTATAGGCTGATACTTTACTTTCCTATGTATAGATACTCTGGCTTCACAATCTCTAATAACTTCTTTTTTAATAAACTCCGTGAGGACTATATAGAAAGAGCTTTAAAGTTTTCATATAATATTTTTGTCAGTGTAAAAGTTAACTAATTGTCTCAAAAAGATTGATTGACTCCGTGGCGCAGTTGTCAAGGTATTGGCTTCGGCGTCGGGGTTAGTGGGTTCGATTCCCACACGGGACAACTATTTGTGCGACCCACAGACAGTTGTTTCGTATCCGGGTGTTTGTTCACGTTAAAATTATGTTTGTAAAACGTCCTTTAACAGGATAATGTTATCCTTAAGTGAGGGCAATATTATTAAAATTTAAAAAACAAGAACAAAGTGGGCGAGACCTAGGGTGAAAGCTGGTATTATTCACAGGATCATACACCTCCATAAATTTGTCTGACAACATTGGAAACTGATTTACACGGTATTTTCGTTCGTCTTGTTTGTTTTCTCAACCCAATTTCTCTAATCGCACACGATCGCAATCCGTGCGGAAGATTTGTGGTTCCTAAGGCTTATGCTATCCCGTTTTGAGCCGTTGTTGAATGAACACTAATTTATTGGGGGTATTTTTTCAGTAATCCGTGCATTTATTTTCCTGTTACGCTTCTTAATTTGACTTTCTTAGTTTCAATCGGTTGTGTTTTTTGTACGGTTTTAGGACAACAAAGAGCTTTACAGATTGCTTACATTTTTAGGCTTATACCCTGATACTGTCATACAGTTGTTTTACTGCTACATCGTTATTAATTAAAAAATGTTCAATTATTTAAAAAATGATTCGAAGAACAATATTTCTTGCTGTAAGATTTGATTTACTAACTGTTATATCAGTCCTCTGTGTTTATCTCTTTGTTTTTTTGTCTGTCGTTTCGTGTAATTATCGTTTTTTTATGTGATAAAGTTGCAAACCAGCTGGCGGTTCACCTGATGTTAAGTGATTATCACCTGCCCACGGACATTTGCAATACCATATATTAATAATTGTAGATTTGCAGATGCGTTGCCACATCTTAATAAAATGGGCCCGGCTACCTCACTCACCCGACGAAATGCAGAAGTGTAACACTTCTACTTCACGCAGGTCTTCCGTGAGGTCTTACCCGGACGGACCTGCCCATACGTGCAACAGTGAACACTGTCGCGTGGCGTGCGTTTCGCAAAGCTATCTACCTTTCATTGGCCATACCAACAAAGGAATTTGGAAAGGTATCGGCAGGGATACGCGCTCTGGAATCGCACTAATTAGGAGGGAAATAAGAAAAGTGGGAAGAGACGCTTCAGTTGCATCGCATCTTACCAGATGAAAACATTCACCGCAGTGGACGTTGACACAATTTACCCGATCGCTCCTTTTGGGGCGGTGTTAATTGTGTATCCGACGAAAGGAGTTCTTAAAATTTTCAAGAGATAAATTCACACCGCAACCAAAAGAGTGGCCGGCTGCGACGTTTCCCAATTTACGAGTAAACAGTGTAAGTAGGTCTCTATTTAAATTAACAGCTCTTTTCTCTGATGCAACAGAGAACGGAATGGCCTTTTGAAATAATGTATCCTGTTAAACATGTATCTATGTGATGATCGCCGAGATCTACAATAGTTTCATATTTAGCACTTCTTCCGCGACTCGACCTTGGTACCTCGAATCTTGGAGGAGCTGAACTCGCGCGTCCATCTTCGCCAGAATTTCCAGTTATGGAAACCGGTGTAGAAAAGTCGCCTCTTCGAAGGATATTGTACCATATCTTCGTGGGGCCGTTCTTTGATGCAGGCTCTAAAGTTTAAAGTCAAAGTCAAAATTTCTTTATTCAATTTAGGCTTAATTTGAGCTCTTATTGAACGTCAAAGAATACCGATTCACTCAACGACTACACATGACTAGAGAAGAACCGGCAAGAAACTCTGCGGTCTTGTTATGTCTTACTTTTAGTGATATAATTATACAAACTTATTTAGGTATAGAATTAGTTGCAGCCATCAGTTGGAAGTTTAGCTCTGCAACGTCAGACGTCTATTAGTCAATGAGATCATACGGTATAGAAGTGGCGGACTCCTTACCTAGGTGTAAGTACTGAATTACCTACCAACCCAAAAAGTTGCTAGATTTCCTTAGGTGTTATTGGAAGTGGGTATTTCTGAAGGATGAAAATTTTATCAGGATTCAGTTTAATTCCGTGATAAATAATAACTTTAATCGCTAGCAACCTTTTTAGTGTGGTAGGGCAACGCAACAGGCTCCACTGTTGCAGGAATGGGACAGCTCGTCCGGGGAAGTACCGAGATGTCACAGAAGACCTTCGTGAAGTGGAAGTGTTACACTTATGCGTTCAGTCTGGTGAGTCCGATAACCGGGGCCCACTTTATGGCCCAAAAGATGGCCAACGCATCTGCAACCCTACGGGTGTTGCAAATGTCCACGGGCATCGGTTATCTATTAGCATCAGGTGAACCATCAGCTCGTTTGCTACCTTTTAACATGAAAAAAACGCCGCCGAATTTTTAGCGCTAGTTTCACTAATGGACGATTTGAATTGGAAGTAATATACTCGTGATACGTCTGGTGAACGAGCAATCAATGGCCAACTTTTAAAGATTGACAATACTGGTGACAAATCTGCCCTCACAAGACATTGTAGATATTTATGAGCGGCGGTGAGCGCTTAACATCATGCCAACCGTCTGCTGATTTGCTAACTTTTCACATAAAAATGGTAGATGCAATACTAGATAAATTATCTTAGAGAAAGACGAGAATTGTAAACAAAAAAAGTTTTACTCCACACAGTGTAGCATTCGTATGAATTTAAGGTATAACAGTCTGTTTAAAATTGTTTATCGCCTACGAGTCGCCAAACTAGCAGGTGTTGGGCGTAGTTGCTACCGCAGCGGTCGGTTCGTGCTCCTTAATGTAAACATAACGCGTTTGTTGATGGGAATTGAATTTACGACACGGTTTCCGCAAGCCTGAGAGTTACTGTGCTAAGTATAGAAGCGAAATATAATTGCTATTGAGTCTAAATCATTCGTAACCCCGCAGAAAACCACGTATAACTAAGCTCTATTGTCGAGTAGACAAATGAATTACAAATAAATATTATAAGTGAATTTTATACAACTAATTCACAAAAGTATTACTTACTAAACAGATATTATACAGATGTTAACTTTATAAAAGCTTTCTTAGTCAAAAAACTGACTGGTGCAGGCAAAACGGATGTGGTGATTGAAGAATTACTCTTCTAGCATATCAAAGCCATTGGAAACAATCTATATTATATATATATAAATGAATACCTATTTCCCTTGGTCACACCATCACGCTTGAACGGCTGGACCGATTTCCCTAATTCTTTTTTTATAATATTCCTTGAAGTAGGAAGATGGTTCTTACGGGGAGAAAAATTTAAAAATTGCCCGAAAAAGTCTGAAATCAACACTTTTCTATATTCCCGTACAAAAGATTCGTAATAATACTTAAAAGTCAATTTGAACTTTAATACCATACCATAAAGTTTAAGTGTTAGTGGAGGGGTTCCGGGAAGACAAAACAAGCGAGTGACTGTGGTAAAATGTTCAAGAGGAAGTCGGGGCGGGTCGCTAGTATTTTATAAAAAATCGCTTGTTTACAAAACACTTGTCGTCCTCCTTTGGTATCATATTAAGATACATTTTAAAAATTAAAAAAAATCCAGTTCAATACATATTCATCGAAAATCCAAATGTCTGGTACAGAAAAATTGGGCGCAAATTGGCTTGTAGATTTGTTTTCTGCAATAAATTTTTATTTAACGTTATAAATTTTTAGCAATAATTCAATTGTAATAAGCCGGAACATTTATACAAGTCTTTAAAAATCACGAGCCCAATTAACATTGTCTATTCAATTACTCCGCCGCAAACTACTTTTTCTCGGCACTAGATTTATTTAAAGCGACGAAACAAAGTAGATGTATTATTACACACCTGATTCCGCCGCTTCGGCAGTTTACAGCGTGTAAAATAAACCTGCGGGGTCAACGGCCTCGCCTACACGCTGCTACTGATTTACGTTACGAACTATCAATGTCAGCTTTTATAATCGCAAAATTGGAGGCACTTTGAAGTTTAGCGCTGAGGTACATTTCCTCGATTCGTGTTCTACACTGAATCGGCAGGGACAAAGAAAATTTCCCAATTATCCTCATTTACGTCTCATTTTTATGATCTAAATAATTTTACTCCACGTAGTTGCGATTTCGGTAAAGCTATGTGGCACAAATTGAATTCTTAGATCATTTGTTGTCATAAATTTTTTATCGTTGGCAAACAGAACATTTCTCCCGTCCACAAGTTGTTTTATTAATACTTTTATGATTATTACCTATTTCTAAATAATTTTATACTATCCGTTTCACGAAACACTGTCAGAGTACACCCTGTCGTAGTGTATTAAATACCAAAGAAAATTTATTAACTCGAATAACATGATATTTTTGTGTTTAGCATAGTTTCTTTTCAGATCGTCCACCAACATCCCTTTTTAATCACAACATACCATAAAACAAAGTCGTCCCGCTGTTTGTCCCTGTGTAAGCTTAGATCTTTAAAACTACGCAACGGATCTTGATGCGGTTTATTTTTACTAGATAAAGTGATTCAAGAGGAAGGTTTATATGTATAATACATTACAGTCGCTAGTGTAAAATAAATGAGATAAAAAAAATGTTTTAGCGTTCTGGTGATTAAGATGTAGAGCACACTGACGCCTTAAACCACAAAATAGCTGGAAGTGCTAAGCTCTTACATTGGTTTCAATGTCACAATCCATTGATTCCAGGTGGCTGGTGCGCGTGGTGGAGGACGTGGAGGATGGGCAGCTGCGCACGCGCCAAGGTTGGGTGCCGGCACAGCTTCTCAAGGAGAAGAAGCCAGAACGAGATCAGACCGCGCTGGCAGCAAGAAGACAGTGAGTATAAGTAGAAGATAATCAGCGTGTCTTCATTAATGTGCTCAATACTATGGAATTAGGCCAATGTATTCATTTCCTTTATAAGCCGCAATTGCACATTCCATTCCATTCATCATGAAATAAAGTCGAGTAACGAATGGTCAAAAACGAAAGTACCTTTATTAGAAATAGTTACATAATTTTTTAAGAAATATTACTATCTACCAGTGTAAAACTCGTCCTTTTGTCTACGTTTAGTCTAATATAGCTGACATTAGACTAAATGACAACAGACTCAATATTTTCAAATCAAATCTACTTTTAATTCCTCTGTAACAACCCGTGACTTCCGTAGAAATATGTTCTTAATATTTGTGTCGGCGACAAGCATAGGCCGTGACAGCTCAGTGTCCGTGTGCTCGCCTTTAATTCAATATACTCGAGCAACCTGAGTTCGATCCCCGGTGCGTGCTCTTATCACTTATCACGTGCTCCGCGGTGAAGGAAAACATCGTGAGGAAGCCAGCATATTTTCGAAGTAATAACAAAAAAAAATCGAAGATATGTTAAGTCCGCCAATCCGCAGTGGGGCCGCGTGGTGGACTGTGCCCTGATACCCTCTGTACAGGGGAGGCCTTTGCCCGGGCTGATATTTTAATTTTTACTATACTAAAGCATATCGCCTGTAACATTCGAGATATAAGAGCCCGGTGAAAGCATTACCTACATTCCGCGCGATGTTCAAAAGACATGAGAGCTTCACTTCTTTAAACAGGAAACCGAATGAGGTGTAATAAAGCTGACACCAGATCTTCGGTGACGCCACTCGCCATCGGAAAATTTGCCACTCGAGAAGAAAAAAACAAAAACGGTCGTAAAATTTCCGAACGCAGACCGCAGACCGGCGGATTCCGTTCCGTCGGGGGCTTAACTGCCTCGTAAAGAGAACTCTAACTGCATTGAATTAGAACGCTTAACTGCGTCGATGTACTAATGGTCCGCACTCGTTATTTGCCATTAGCGCCGATGCGCGACTCCGCCGCGGTTCGGCGCTAAACAATTGAGCATCGGATGCCTTGACAAGAACCATCGCCAGTTCAACTGATAGCGCTTGGGCCACGCAGCAGCTCTCTGTTGCACGAATGGGCAGGTCCGTCCGGGAAATACCACGACCTCATAGAAGACCGGCGTGGCGAGGTATATACTTCCGCGTTTCGTCTGGTGAGTGGGGTAACGGGGCCCAATTTTTCAAAAGTTGACAACGCATCTACAGTCAGGTGTTATTGTGTGATTAGCGTCAGGTGTGCCAACTTTCGCATAAAAAGTAAATAAGCCCAATTTCGTGCCGTTCATCCGCGTCAGGTTTACCACTTGTATCGCTTGTTAAAAACTTTGAACAGTGACATTTAAAACGACATCCAAATTTCACGAAATTATATGTATACACAACAGCTTTAAAATACTTTTACTTTCATTTGAAACTCGTTAAACACTAATTGAACAATTAATGATTTATTATTATTAGTTTAACTCCTGAGGTAATCCAAAATTTCACAGTGCGATGATACTTATACAAACAGTAGAGTAAAAACAGGCACCGTGTAGCCGAGAAATTAAAACTACATAAAATAATTTATTTTGTTTTTCCATATTAGCTTGTAGCTCATAGCACTTGCGCACGCTGACGGTATTTACATACTTTGATTTTATTTCAATACAAACGATGCGTAAGATTAGTACTTAAAATGTACCACAGGTTATATTTGACAGCCGATTTATCACGTGTTACGGACGTACGCCACAAAATTTAACAACTGCCCGACGTCAGACTTGTTAAGACGCTCTTCACGCAAAGTGCACTTTGGCAAATCACTGTACAATCGTGAATACCCAGTACGAATTCTAAAACTGTTGCAAATGACCGAAATAATGCGAGGTGCATTAACCACGTGGTTAACAATAAGGTGACCAGGCTTATAAGAATTTTTTGGGACTAATTCAGAAATCCAAAGAGCCAACGCGAAATCTTAAGGTACTATAGTTTCTTCAATGATTGTATGTACATTTAAAGGATACGGCATTAATCGATCGTACTAACTGTTATAGTAATAATTCATATTTATAAAAAAAATGGGGAATAAAAGGAATAATTTACGGTAAAGCATCTTATCCAGCTTCATATAAACCAAAAGTCGTGTGTAAGAATATTTTTCAATTAGCAATAAAGACTACTTTACACAGGATGTCTCTGGGTGTGATCATACTAACTACAAAACACTCGTTTCATGTATTTTTCTTGTCCAAAGAATAATTCCTACATTTTCCATCACACGGTCACCCTAGCGCAATACCTCCCGAAGCGGCGATAAATCAGTTTCACGTCTAATTACTCAGCGGGCTGTCTCGTTACCTACCTGATGTTTCTGCATCGCGATTCGCTTCTGAAATACGACCTTTTTCCGCCTACGGGCCTTTTGGAAGGCCGCGCACTTAATAACATTTCAATGTCATTTATATCTGGTATTTTTGGGTGGCGATATATAAGCTAAAAGTTGCACACGTAGTGATAACCATTTTATAATCGAGGCATCCCATATAACGACTCTCGATGCGAAACTGTAAGCGGAACTTCAAAGAATTGATTCATTCAATTCAAATCATTTTATCCTAATATTTATAATTACACGTGCATTTTTTAATTCACGTTCCATTACGATGTATGTAAATTTTCATTTGAAAAAATGGTTTATTGACTAATAATTCTTGTTTAAAACACTCAAGGAAAGCCAAAGTTGACCATTATTATAGGAATTTAAAGGAATTTCAGTCGTACATGTAAAAATGCCACAAAATAGTAAATTAAAAAGTAAAATCAAACGCGGGAAATTTAATGTCAAAGTCACTAGAGCTTAAGGAAAATAATGGCGGATAGTCTGTATGGAGAATTTATTTTATGTGAGAAAGTGGCAAACGAGCTGGCAGTTTACCTGATGCTAAGTAATATCCACCTGCCCATGGACATTTGCAACACCGGTAGGGTTGCAGATGCGTTGCCACCTCTTAATAATGTGGGCCCCGGCTACCTCACTCACCGTTTAACCCCTTTTTTACTGAGCCGATGGACGTTTCCAAACGGTTGTGTTAAGGTTTCATTGGTAATCTGCTGCGTTCATCATCAGAGGATTGGGCTGAACGTGTAAAACCGTTTTATTTTGTTATCTATTTAGTGTTCGCGAGATATCGGAACCTACAGCTGGACAGATCGATGATTCCTTGATACCTTGCACCGGTTGCGTTGCGGGTAAATTTATTTTGTACTACCTTTTTAAAGTTTTGAAGTTTTTTAATGTCTATTTAAAAGTCAAAGTCAAAAGTTCTTTATTCACCATAGGCTTCTTTTAAGCTCTTACTATTGAACGCCAAAAACCACCATATTTATATTTGAGGATACGCGAAAGACATGCAAGCGTCGTAGGGTCGTAGTAATCAAGCTTTGTATAATAGAAATCCGTGCCTTAAGGGCATTTTTGCTTGCAGAGTTCTTATAGATTATGGAGTCGGCCTGATACAAACATGGCTTCTGTTTCTAGCGTTTTGAATGCGAGTGTAAGACGACATTCCGGAGTCGAAATTGACCCCAAGGTATTTGCCCTTCTCCCGGTTGTTCGTACAAGACTCTATGCCTTGGCTTCTTGGATATTTATATTTTGGCGCTATTCAAAAGAAACGCGTCGAATAACTCTATATCGTTAGAGAACTAACAATACCGTCATAGCTTGATTTTTCCTGTCCGTAGAGTGACAGATGCGTTGCCAGCTTTTAATAAATTGGGCCCCGGTTACCTCACTGACCGGACGAAATGCAGAACCATAACACTTCACGCCGGTCTTCTGTGAGGTCGTGGTACTTCCCCGGACGGGCCTGCCCATTCGTGCAACGGCGAACCGTTCCGTGGCACTACCACAGTTTAATTACGCTAACAGCACAGTTGCTGAGCGATAGGTCTTTGTTTATCTGTTTCCGATGTGATAGTTTGCATACGCATATGCATTTCATATCACAATCACCCCAATCCGATACAATCGTTTGTGGGTCTATGATTCAACATACAACTAATGAATGAATCAAGCTAGATCAAAATCATTTCTCAATCCGATACAATCGATTGTTGGTCTATAGATAGAACCTACAACCAATGAATGACTCATTGATTCCACAATTTGTTCTTATTCTGTTTAACTAACTTAAATTTGTAGACTACAATTAATTATTAATATTAGATGTTTATTGTTCCAAGTCTCGAACCCAACAGGACAGGCTCATTCTAATGCCATATATCTCGAAGTGTCGCTCCAAAGCTACATCCATAACTATTTAGAACTAGTATATTGAACAATCAGAACCAAAGTTTAGTCATATTACATATTGATTTAAATTATTATTTCGTTTATAACTGTAAATACGTTATATAAACATATAGAATTACTATACACATTTACAAAATCATTACACGACGATTCTTTGATCAAAGTCATCTCTTACGACGATTCGTTTTCCCACAGGGCAGTAGTCCGAGAGCTTATCGAGACTGAAGAGGAGTTTGGCCGAGACATGCAGCAGGTGGTGGCCCGCTACATGCGGCCCCTGGACAAGGCCACCACGCCCAAGCCGGTCTTCGACAACCGGGACCTCCTCTTCTCCAACTTCCGCCAGATCTGCGAGTTCCACAACACGTGAGTTTCGTCCAGCGGCCGAAGGGATCGTCTCTTAGTTCGTCATACGGTAAGGCCATGTAACGGTCTTCTCTGTTGCATGAATGGGCGGCTCCGTCCGGGTAAGTACCGCGACCTCACAGAAGACCTGCGTGTAGTGGAAGTTATACTTCTGCGTTTCGTGTGGTGAGAGTGATAGCCGGGGCCCACTTAACTAAATGGTGGCAACGCATTGCAACCCTACGGGTGTTGCAAATGTCCATGGGCGGCGGTTATCACTTAACATCACGCGAACCGCCAGCTCGCTAGCCACCGTCTCACATAAAAAATATATTATAACAGTTCTAGCGGCCAATAAAGAAAAAGTACCCGGAGGACCGAGCTTTGCTCGGTTTGTTATTTATTGGTAAATCGTGTATTTTGGAAATTACATTTAGATAAAAATTACTGAGTAATGAAATATGCATAATATTTTTCGATGTTACCGACGTAATAATTAGAAAATATGAAGTGGTATTTTTCACAAAAGAAACAACTTTAAAAAAAAAAGGGAAAGAATAACAAAATCATCTGGATCAACAAAAAATACAGAAAGCACTGATCTGGAATCGAAAAAAAAAGTTAAAAATGAGTGTGTAAATGATCGTGACACGAACCACGGCCGTCTGTTTTGGGGCCGCCCGATTACCGACCGAGCTATTATAGCATTTTCTTTTGCGGCGAAATTTACCGTCATATTCGATTGATATTTTTCATTCCCTGAAAACAGGGATAAAAGGACATTTTCTAAATATATATATATATATATATATATTAAGAATTATAATAATAAATATTATATATATATATAAGAATTTCTCGTTTAAAAGATAAGATAAGATAACTACTACGGGAATAACTGTGAAGGAAACGACTGGCAACCAAAGACGAATCAATGAAATGCTTATAGTTAATAATATTTTATAAAATGGGGCTCTTTATTGCTCTACTACGAGAGAGAGAGACACAACGAGCCCGCGATTCACCTGATGTTAAGTGATTGCCATAACACTCGGCCGTTTGGTTTCCCCTGCCAAGGTCTTCCGTCTGTTTGGATCCTATTATATACAATATCTATATCAATATGATTATTTTTATTTATAAACCCAACCAGACGAGAAAACAAATAAATATCCCCAATAATAATAACTAACACTTTATTATTAGTATGTATATACACACGGTACAGTATTACTCCTCTATCTTCCTTAGGGGTCTGTTGGAGGGTATCAAGTACTACTCTGGCGAGCCGCGTTTGCTCGGCCGCGCCCTCTTACGAATGGAGCGAGAATTCGACAAACACGTTGCGTACTGCCGAGACGAGCCCAGAGCACAACATCTGCTGGAAAACAACCCTATCGTTCAAAAATACTTTAAGGTGAGTCTTTAATTATTGTACGAATGCATTGATTCATCGTATTTACCCCCAAAAAGTTCTTTTTTCAAATTTTTCCATTTTTATTTTCACCTACCGTTGTTTCTTCTTTATTATTGATTGTTCGTTATTAATAATTGATTTTTTTTAAACTAACCCCTTTATTGCAAATTTAATTTTTATTTGTTACTATTTACTTACTTTACTTTAAAAATTCACTAATTTGTCCATTTATAATATACGTTTGCTCAATAATATACTAAAGAAAAGTTAGTGCCCGTTTTTTTGCTCTAATGAACTATTTTAATTTTACTAGATAATAACAGAAAGATATGCTTAATAATATATTTTTCATTCAAATATCACATGCAAAAAAATTATGAGAATTGTCTCAATGCTATAACATGCATGATAATCGTTTTGTGTTAACTTCCTAAAAAATAACTATGGATGCTTTTCTACTAGTTACGACAACTTTTACTTTATAGAAACGCTAAAGGCTTTTATTATATTTCCAAACATTGACGCCATCTACATTATGCAATTAGTAAACATAAAATGTCGATGAGAACAAATACTCTTAATGTGTTAAATTGAACGTGCTGTGCATTGCACAATTGGTGGCGCAGAAAATAAATTCAATATGCTAACTTTTATTTGTAAAGAGAAAAGTTTTATTTGCCCTAATTTTTATTTTTTAAGGACCACATTCTTATTTTTTTAGACTTTTCTTCGGTGTTGTAACAGCGCCATCTACCAATAACATCATGAACTACAATGATAGCGTCAAGTTTACAATCCTTTTTCGTCTTAATTTACTAATCTGCCAGTAGATGACAGTTATTGTGAATGTCCTATATAAATACTAAAATTTAAATTATTAAAAGAGAACCAACTTACAGATTATTACATCACTAAGCGACAATACGTATGAAACATATCTATGTAACGATAATTTCTTAAATGTTAATTTGTTTCAAAAATGCATATTAAGCATATGCGGTGAACATTATTATCTAGGTTAATGAATGGAAGCTCGAAAGGGCTGAGAGTTTCTTAGATTCAGCAGTTATAAGAACTTGTTGAGTTTCATCGCTCATCGAACTAACTTCGGCAACGGCATTCATAATGATAGGCTGAGATCGCGTGGACTGCTGAGAGCGGGCGCCGCCGGATTCTAGGCAGCCGGCCAATAACCAGAATAGTTCTCGCCGACGACCGTACGATACCTGTCAATTGCCACCGTCTCTTTGAGGGCAATCGCCTAATTCCCACACCGATATTTATAAGATACTAGCTCTAGCCGCGGCTTCGTTTGCGATGTAGAAAGAAATACATATACAATACATAATGACTCATATTGAAATTAATAAAAACGTTTCCATCTGCCAGCTAACATGACATTATCTCTTTTCAAAATTCATGGATTTCCCATTGTATTTATATAATAGAAACTATATCTTCTTTTAAACATAAGTGCAGATAGACTCCCTCCTTGCTAACAACACTATTGTTAATTAACAATAAGATCTAAGGTCTATGCAGAGCCGATGAAGGCTCTAGGGTCTTCTTGTAATTTTTGATCGCGGATTTACTTCGAACCGCACATAATTAATTAGAGCCTAGATAACAGCAAAATATTGCTCTTTGACTGTATGCTACGAAGCATTTTGTAGTTAACCTAACTCTCCAAAATAGCGGTATGAGCAAGCGTTGGGAGACTTACCGGAGAAACCGGGCTTCTGAAACACTGATCATTGTATATGTCAACTAATCAGCTGTCAAATGGCTTTTCAAATTTAATTTTAGTTACCGAAAGAATAACTCTTTAAATTGATCAAAATGATCTTCTTAATGGTCAGAATGATTCAAACCTTTTAACTTCTACGGTGATCAGAGTTTCATAAACCGGGCGTTAATATCATGAAATGATTAACTAAAAATGTTCAAACTTTTCAAACTTCTTTATGTACTAGTAGTGGAACATTGTGATGTCTTATAAACACAAAATGAGTTATTTTTTATAAATTATATATTTTTGTTCATGTATCTGTAACTACAAAAATTTACAATTTAGAGTTTCATCTTGAGTGCAGAGACTAAAACTAAATATAAAAAAATATTTAAAAATAAAGATCTAAATAAGTTTTCCATTCTTACTTAAGCTTTTAAATTTCAGAGTACCCAACAGAGTTTCCCGTGTAGAAAATTATAATCAGATAGGAACGTTTTGGTATCACCTTGTCCAAACATTGCGAATAAATCATAATACCAAGGCAATTCAGATTTCTGAATATGTCTGGTCAAGGTGTAATTAATTACATAGTCCGGTGAGGATTTATTTTAAAACTGTTTAGAATTAATATACGTATATAACAATTAAGTTAGATTACAAATATGTAGCAGTATACATTTTTTGTAGTTAATACTATGTTTAATTTTGAGTGATTGCTGCGTTAGTCATTATTGTAATTTTGTTTTTTTTTCTTTTAGTGTATTGTTTTCAAATCTCATTAAAAGCAGAAATTAGAATTTTGGTAGGGCTACGCAACAGCCTCCACTGTTAAAAGAATGGGCAGGGCCTTCCGGGGAAGTACCACGACCTCGCAGAACACTGGCGTGAAGTTATTATACTTTTGTGTTTCGTCTGGTGAGTGAGGTAACCTGAGCCCACTTTATTAAAAAGGTGTCAACGCATCTGTTATCCCACGGGTGTGGCAAATGTCAATTGGCGGCGGCTATCACTTAACATCAGGTGAACCACCACATCGCTTGCCATCTACTCAAATAAAAAAAAATCCATACAAATCTGCAGGCTTGTTCGTACAGTCATGAAACGGTTAAATAACTAATGATATTTCCTTTACCACAGCTTTTTGTAGAAAGAATAACAAATGGGAGTCTACATTTTGTATATCAATGTAGGATAATAATTCTGAAGAGCATATTATATTATAATATGCTCTTCAGAATTATATTATATTATAATATGCTCTTCAGAATATATTATATTATAAAATATGCTACTTTCGTAATCTTTATCTAACCCCTTAGGCGATATGGTCAATTTATGTATTTTTATTTGAAACTTAGCTCACACATTCGTTCGTTAGGAAGGTCAGTGAAGAGAATTCAAGGTGCCAAATATGAGCTAGTGTTTAAGTCGACCGCTGTGAACCATTATATTATGTTTACGCGCTCATGGAGGCATGCCAAGGGAGAACGTCCTACGACTATAAGTGACGATATAAATGAGTATTTATACGCGGAATGACTTGATGAGAATTCGACGATACACTAAAATAGTACGCTCATAATCGCTATGTTATAAATTAAAATTCCGATTCGAGAAAGTTAGATAACTCGTACATAGTATAACTGTATGAATTGGTAAATCATTTTCGTAACGCGTAACACTTAACGATTTAAATTTGTAAAGGATACACGTAAATAGTCTATTAGACTAGGTACATTAATAAAAATCGTTTTTGTAACTCAACACACTTCGGATTAGTTTTTAATACAGTTTCATACGTAATTGTAAAAATCGTGATGCCATGCAACAGTCTTCGCTGTTGCAGAAATGGGCAGGTTCGCCCTGGGCGGGTAAATACCCCGACCTCGCAGAAGACCGGCGTGAGGTGGAAGTGTTATACTTCTGCGTTTCGTCTGCTAACTGCTCAGGTAGTTGGAGCCCATTTATTTGGTGGCATACACCTGCAACCCTATGTGTGTTGCAAATGGCAATGGGCGATGGTTATCACATAATATCGGGTAAACTGCCAGCTCACTTGCCACCTTCTCAATCAATCAAATATCTTTATTCAAATAGACGCATGCGTGTTCTTATCAATCGTCAAATTTTACATAAAAAATTATACATCTAGGTTCTAAAGGTACCACGGAAAGCAGTTGCTTTTGAGAAGACACCAGACCAGAGAGAAGAAACTCAATAGTTGCTCTTTTTCAAAAATATCAGTTTACAATATAACATACCGGTATAATAGTCTTATTCTAGCCTACGTGAGTATCAACAGTATTAACTCCACACATTGGCGTCGTCGCGATATTCCGCAATGGTGTAATATGCTTTAACCATAAGTTGACTTTGATTTTACGTTTAAATTGATCTAGCGGCAGACTTCATATCGACTGTGAGATTTTATTATACATGCGCACACTCTCTCACGTAGTAAAGCCATTCTTTCTTTTTTTTTAGCGTTCATTTATTTTATCACAATGCAACGGCGGATGTCGACGTAATCCATGCCCACCTGAAATTCCTGAACGTTGATGAACGAATACTTAGCGGTGGACACGAGTTAGACAAATACGAAAACAAGTCCTACGCATCTCCCGCACCACCTGAGTCACGTCTGCAAATAAATGCTCTTAAACAACAGCAAGCGCTTTCGCCGCGACTGTACACGCCCTGCTATTTCCACTGTGTAATACCTACTTGAATTTTACATGAAGAAAAGTACAATTTATACTCGTTTGAAATATCAAACAAATACATACAAACATACAAACTCTCGTATTTATATTATTATTCGGATTCATATGTTTGATATGTTTCTCTCCATTTATTGCTACATACATTAGGAACCTAGATAATTTTCATCTATTTGCAAGAACCGTCTTCCCGTGTGGCATGTGTTTAATATGGCGTCTTTTTGTAGGTTTATTTAAATTTATCTTTCTAGGTTTAGGGATCAAACCATTTAATGTTAAAAAGTGGCAAACGAGCTGACGGTTCACCTGATGTTAAGTGATAACCGCCGCCCACGGACGTTGGCAACACTGGTTGCAGATGCGTTGCCACATCTTAATAAAATGGGCCCGGCTACCTCACTCACCAGACGAAACGCAGAAGTTCAACACTTTCACTTCACGCCGGTCTTCTGTGAGGTCGTGGTAATAACCCGGACGGACCTGCCCATTCGTGCAGTAGTAGCATTCCCTGTAGTAGAGAGGACTGTTGGCACAACAAATACTTTCTCCTGCTCTCATTAGCTCGGTATACATATGTGTTCTCGGCAGTAGTCTTCTGCATGTCGTGAGTATTAGGAACAACGAAGTCGTTTATTTACATATTATTTTCATAGTTAAGACCTGTGTTAAGCAACAGTCAACACAATGGGTGTGAGAAGACTTTAACACACAAAGGCCTAAACCTAATTTTCCTTAGTATTCGCTCCCGAATAAACCATTAAGTAAGTCGTTAGAGGTTTGAAAATTAATGTAAGAATTTTAGTTTATATACAGGCTCCTATTGGGCCATGGCCATATATCACATTTTAAATCTTTAGTGAAAGTTGTCATATTGTTTAGACAAAGCACTGAATCGAAAACTTACGCCTCAAAACAGCTACCAAACTTGCGAAGGCGATTTCCCATCACTATAACATCTCATCATAAACGTAATGAACTTGGTTCCTGTATTGCCAAACCAAATTGATGACCTATAGCAAAAATTACTCAGATCTATTTCGAGTCCATATTTTAAATATAATGCGTGGCCGGTAAACATATGTAATATTATTGCATTCGAGGTTATTCTTGTTAGTTGATTTATTCTAAGATTCAATCCAATGCCTCGTTATTGTATATAATATATAGCTATTTGCAATTAACTTCATGGTTTCAAAAATTCGCCGGGTCAGTGGGATGCATTCAGTGCCAGAATTATTGATTGATGTTTCCGGTCCATGAATTCTCCAACAGGGCTTCTTAAACAATGAATCGAGAGTCTAAACCAAATTAAGTACCGTTTAGCAAAATCCTGGGATCGCGAGATTTTAATGTGAAATAATTAAATACAGGAATTTATAAAGTCTAGCTGTGGTTTTATACGAAAAACACACACACACACACACACACGAGGTATGAATGATTACTTTATATCATAACTTCTTCTTCGTGGTCTTCATTACTGAAGGTCGTGTCCATCGTGAAAATCTTTGACTGAATCGGTGAGGAGCTGCTTCCACACCACTCTGTCCTTGACTTTCTTCAGGTCGTTGGAAACAGGAAGCCCGTTTTGGAAGTTTTATTTGATCACACAAACGGGTGGATGCCGTCCACTTAGGATTCGTTGATAGCAAGTTTTGGAGAGCCTAATTTTAATTTTTCGTTGGTCAAAACTTATTTTTACAAATGATTAGTCATTATAACTATAAAACTTACTCAGTGCCTTATTCCTTGAGAGGCCCTTGCAGCAGATACACAGTTATTTTTGTGTTTAAAACACTGAGTACTTGAATGATTGCTTCATAATAAGCTATTTACGACGTTTGCTTTTAGAACCACTCAAAGGGCAGATGTTACGAAGCGGTGGGGCCAAGTCATTCCGAAATTTAGACGCAGTAAACTTAAACCTGTCTCCAGTTTGCACAATAGTAAGTTTTGGTAGCATAAGAGGTTTGATATTGGATCGAACCGCGCGAAGTCTTTTGACCAGCTTAATTTGAGGTACTTTGAATTTGATTTCTGATGCAGAAAGCAAGCCTTAAGCGTGTCATGTTATCCATTTTCTACAAACCTTTTTGATCCATATAATAAATGGTAAAACATGATGTGACCTATAGTCACAGTATATCTATTATAGTGTATCGGAAGACAAAGGGACCATATATATATCACAGTAGCAAAAGTTTGATAAGACTGGTACTACGGTGGTAGAGCCACGCGGCAGCCTCGGCTGTTGCACGAACGGGCAGGCCCGTCCGGGTAAGTACCACGACTTCGCAGAAGACCAGCGTAAAGTGGAAGTACGACAAATACTTTCGCGTTTCGTCTGGTGAGTGAGGTAGCCGGAGCCCAATTTTTAAAAGGTTGTCAACGCATCTGTAACCCTCGGGTGTACCAGATGTCCATGGGCGGCGGTTTTCACTTAACATCAGGTGACATGTCTGCTCGTTTGGCAACTTTTCGCATAAAAAAAACTAAAGACTACTACATAACTGAAAACGTAATTATTCATCAATGAAATTTCTAATTTTATAAAGTGACCTAAGTTGCAAAGCATACCCTAATTTTACTGAAGATAAATGTTAACTGAACTGTACATTTCCAGACCCAAATAACATTCCTAAGCCCACACAATTCTGTCATGGTACCAAGGATCCCATAACCCTTTAACATAAGTCCTGTTTTAGTTTTTGTTTAACATAAGTCTGTTGCATCCGTTGTTCCGCATATACTTGTAGTACCTTTTTTTTTAAATTAAGAATCAAAAAAGTCAAGTCGTTCCACCCAATATCGTAAAATATTTATATATCTTTACTTCATATTTATATGGGGTCGCCAAAAAATTCGCAGTCCTAAAAATGGGGTCGTGAATGAAAAAAGTTTAAGAAGCTCTGACTTTAGATATTGGTAGATAATATGTATATTGCTACGTGCCCCTGCTTCTAAAATCATCGTATCGCCCCAAGTCTTGCTGTAATTTGCGTAACGAATTATTCTTCTGTCGCGAATTAATGTCAATTTCAAGGTGAAGATCGTCGGCCTACGCATTTAAATATGTTCCCAAATCAAATAGTTTCGTTCAACTATCTGTATATAAATATCAGTTAGCAAAATTGTGAAGAGTAGAAATGAAAAAAAAAATCGTTTATTTATTTAATGTAACCTTATTTCAAGCTCTTAGTACGGTATCTAGTTGGCCCGAAAGAACGAATGACAAGGCACTTTGCGGTATATCGGTCATACTTACCACGCCACTTCTAGAACACACTTGTTACAAATCCTTTAAACCGTTGATCGATCATTTTTTATGTAAAAAGATGGCAAACGAGTTGTCGGTTCACCTGATGTTAAGTGATATCCGCCGAACATGGACAATGCAACACCAATTTAGTAAAATGAGCCCCGGTTACCTCATACCAGACGAATCGCTGAAGAGTAACGCTTCCAGTTCACGCGTTTTGTGAGATCGTGGTACTCTAGAACGGACCTGCCCATTCGTGCACGGCAAATACTGCTGCTAAATGCTGCTCCTACCACAGTAACCATTATACGGGGCATCAACCCCCACTTACGCGAACGTGTCGCGTATCGCCCTTGAGCGGGGCGGCCGTGAGCCCGTGACGTCACGAGGGAAGCTGCGTTATCCTCGGAAGAGTGGCCGCTCTAAATTTAGCGGCGGCACGGGCGCCGTCTGGAGGCGGCCAGTCGCTCGGAAGCCACGGGCGCGACCACCTCGCTCGCTCCAGCGTTTCGACCTCTGTCCCGACCTCCGACCGCGTAGTGAATTGTGCTTGTGACCCGTGACCTCTGTGACCTTCGACCCCTGCAGGTAAGCGCCGCGACCACTCCCGCCGGTGGGGCGTCCGAAGATTCCGAGCGGTCCACGCGCCGGTGTAGTGTTTCAAGTTCCCGCGCCGTTTTATTTCCGTAGCGGCGTGGGCGCATCGTATTCTGGACGCCTGACGCGGAGCCGCGGCTGCTGTCGGGTCGCGTGACCTTGACCCAGATCGCGACACTGTCAGTGGGCTATTTTTAATCTTAATGCCATTGTGTAAGGTCCATTGTGCTTAATCGCCTCGGAGGTGACGCTACGAGAATATTGCTGGAGTCCTCATAAGCTACGTTTACATGATACTTGAAGTTCGATTCATAGTCAATCTCTACTCCTCTGGGACGCAGACGATTTCTTTACGTATGAAAATTGTTTGCTTAGACTGGAAACACGCACTATAGATTGCAATTATTCCTGAAATCGCGGCGTAGAAAACATTTAAGCGGAATTCTAGAAATTTCCACTGATTACACGTAACAGAAACGTCGTAGCGTGCCTCTACGATATGAAATGAAATAGATCATTGCATAACTTTAAAACGTCTTCTTCGAGCAACGGTGACGTCATGATTGCGAAATTTCTTAAAATTGCATAACATTGGGTTTAGGTGATTGCAATAATATGCTGTAGTGCTCTAAAGTACGGTCTACGGTGACTGTAGAACTGTATTAATAGTTCAAATCCACCTCTTATATGCTTAATACCCGTATGTCTATGTGGAAATCGCGGCAGTTTATTAATTTATTACATTTTCAATCATCGAATAGTGGCTAGAATATCATGCATTCTTATATCATGAATTCGAACCCCAGTACCCAGTATGTATATAATATAAACCAATTAATTTTCCTTCTTTCCGTGGTACTTTCACGCCCGCTTATCGTTTGCATGGGTCAATATTATTTGTAAATAGTAGTACGCAAAGTAATAAACAAGTTTGAAAAACCATGAACAACATTGTTATCATTTAATAGGCTCTAGATTTATCCTTCTTACTCTACATCCGTACTCCCTTGAAGCTGACAGCGCGAGAGTTTGTTTTATATTCATCGAATTTTAAATCTTCAACTTCACGTTAAACGTCGTACGTTTATATCGTTCATCATCACCCGTTGGAAGAGTTGCAATGTTGAACATAGGCCTCCCTTTAAATGTCTCGACGAACGACACTGCCATTTGCATCCACCGGTTGCTAGCGCCTATAGCAACGTATTATGTATTTTCACGAAGTAACTCAGTAAGTTAACTGTGCAGTTAATTAACTGTAGGCTTCATCACGGGTTCATTCATATTACTGATGATTGTGACCTTCAGGTATTTTTTCCGAATCTGGGTGTTCTCAAGTTCTGCTAATGAACGTATACGCAGACATCTCAGAACTTCTCCAAACTCTTTGAAGACTGGCGTGAAGTAGAAACATATATTTATTTATTTAAACTTTATTGCTACACCTTAAACTTAAGGACTAATATGGGCGGACTTAATAACTAATGGCATTCTCTACTGGCCAACCCTTGCCACGGTCAAAAGCAGATATTGTAGATGCAACGCGTCTACAATAGTCAGGTTTTGTGAATTTCTACGGGAGGTGGGAATTACTTAGCATATGGACCGTCTGCTCTCTTGCCACCTTCTCACGTAAAAATATATCATGAATAAACAGTATAAGATGATACAATCATAAGACAGATATCTTTATGTAGAAGAGAATGAATAAAAAATTAATATTACATATTTAAGAAACTGTTTCCTCTATCCAACTCTTTACGGCTTAAAACAATACTGATCTTAAAATTTTATTTTTTGAAATTTCTTCTTCACTCTGTGCATCTTCTTCACTCTGTGCATTTCTTAGTTTTACAAACACAGCATATTTATATTTAGTGTCCCTAAAATTATATCATAACTGTGTTGGTTAATACTTTACTAATATCTTAATAAATATATTTATAACAAGAAAGACAATAATTTTCTAGCAATAGGATTTATTCAGCTGCTTTTGAATGTAAAAGCAGCTGAATAGAAGAAAAGATCACAGCTTTTCATAAAAGCTGTTATCTTTTCTTCATGCTTTAATTCGCTTTTCTACTGCCGATTACAACATGAAGCTGTAATAAATCACAATCAATCTCGATCCATTCATTCATTATTGTACGAAATAGTGTCAACCATTAGCCCTTTATTACCGTTTCAATGAATGAAACTAACACAGTTCATAAACAAGGCATAATTGTTCATTCATCGAACAGCGTACGTAGGCCGATTAGCCCTCGATCGAATGAATGGTACAATCATAATTTTCTTACGCCTCCATAATTCTAGTCGTTTCATGTCAACCTAGTACTTGTTCGAGTAATGTGTCAAGGTACTCCAGATTTACCCGCCTTCGGATTTCTGTATTCTGTGCAAGAGCGATTACAGAACGCTCATTATTTACGAGTATTTTGTAGCCGCTTGTACGAAAATTAACGTTTACGACGCCATTAAGACCGATTTTCTTGCCCTAAAACAAAATCTGATCTAACGTTATGTAATTTAATGACAAACGTCGAATGAGGTTATAATTTTACGAATACGATGATTAAGTTTTTCCATCCACTGAATGCTTAGGTTTCAGAACTATTGAGTTATTTTCTATTTTTTGTGCATTAAGATAGTTTAATCGGAATCAGATGTATATATCAGATATATAACACAATTACATAACAAAAAAAGTAATATATTTTTTAAACATATTGCTGGCCTGCCTCGCCTTAATACACGATGTAATAAAAAAAAATTCATATTACAATCCGTCAAATTTAAATATCGAATACCGTAGTCCACTGTCAATAAATGATGAATTATTACATTATTCATCATTTATTGACAGTGAACAAACAGTTGCATATAAAGTTTGTGTTGAATTGATTTTGTTTGTACGGATAATTTCAGCAAATCAACGATTAAATAAAGACAACTAAGTACTTGGAATTATTCTGAAATGCATATATCTTACTTTAAGCAGTTATCTTCCTCACTCGCCAGACTGAAGATGTAATCTATAAACCCACAGATAACTTTATAGCCCACATTCAATCAGTTTCTTTCTAATTATATCTTCGGACAGGATGGCCTAATTTATTTAGCACAGATTCCGACGATCGTCTTGTCATACTTTTTGCATATACCTTTGCATACAGCATGAGTTATAAATATTCGAGTTATTTGGGCGATAGTAATAGTAATTTGTCGTCATCTGTATTATGTAGTTATATGATAAAAACTAAGGCCTTGGACGAAGCCTTCTATTTTCATGTTTCAATGCACCTAAGACGCCAACGAAATTAAGACGCTCATATTATACCAATTGGTGTAATTCTATAGACTGCTATCTCTGTACGTATCATACGTTCTATATCATCTGTCATATTCACATGTCATAACGTAAAGCGGATCAATTTTTAAACGCCGCGCAGTATGGTAATGCGCCATTAATAAACAATTTTTATAAGAAGACACTACTCAAATGCAGTGAAGAGACATTCATTATGACAAAGGGGTATCAAATATTCCAAGACGTTATGTTTTCTTCGAAAACACGGGGTAGGACAGGATAAAGTTTTCGATAGGCTACAGTTGATTTTTTTTATGAGAGAAATTGGCAAACGCGCTGGCGGTTCACCCGATGGTAAGTGAAAACCGCCCATGGACATTTGCAACACCCGTGGGGATGCAGATGCGTTGCGACCTTTTAATAAAGTGGGCCAGTGATGAAGTTGTAGTACACATCAGATTGTCCTCGACTTTGAACACCACGCAGTAAATTCTCGCGCATTTTAGCTACCATCCATTTGTTTATAATATCATATACATGTAATTTTTATTTTAAGCCACAACTTCCAATTTACTTTGTAGTTCTCGTTTTATTTATTTGGTCCCTTTAGTTTTGTTAACAGCAATGACTATACACGATGTAACTAAACATCTATCGCAAATCTGGCAGCTCTGGCTCTCAAGATACAGGCACTGCTTAGTTTGGGATCCATTGTTAATGTTTTGTAGTTCGAGGTTAGTTGCAAAATTTTGTATTAATCTTCATTACTATTTTCTTTTTTTAAAACATGTTTTGTTAAGTTTAAGTATACATAATGCGCATATCTTTATCTTTTAAAAGAGCAATTCTAGTATATATATATAATCGGATTTTCATGAAATTTAGTATGTGCGTAGATTCGGGGGCGAAAAATCGAAATAGGTTTCATTTTTAGAAAATGTCCTTTTATCCTTGTTTTCAGGGAATAAAAAATATCATTCGAATATGGCGGTAAAATTCGCTGCAAAAATAAGTTTTATAATAGCTCTGTCGGTAATCGGGACCCCAAAACAGACGGCCGCGATTCGTATCACGATCATTCACATACTAATTTTTTTACTTTTTTTTCGATTCCAGATCATTGCTTTCTTTATTTTTTATTTTTAGTCCATTTGTTATTTTGTTATTTTTTCCCTTTTTTTTTAAAGTTCTTTCTTTTGTGAAAAACACCAGTTCATATTTTCTTATTATTACGTCGGTAAGATCGAAAAATATTATGCATATTTCATTACTCAGTAATTAGTATCTAAATGTAATTTCCAAAATACACAATTTACCAAAAAAAAAACAAACCTAGCAAAGCTCGGTCCTCCAGGGTCTAATTAAGCACTGATGCTTGATCTTCTTAGATTTAATTCTTTGACACAAATAGGAAGAGAGAAAGAAAGATTTACAGGGTACATATTAAACAAAATACAATAGACACTACAAAACTAAACATGTATAAATAAAACCACAGAGTATTCTGTCGGTTTAGCCTGCCCATTCGTGCAACGGGCTCTACCACAGTACTTCTCATTAAAATTAACATTTGATGGTTTGATATAAAACAACTTGAACTGCTATCCACACGTAGCGCGAATTGTCCGCAGTTATCAAACACTTGTTAAACGCGTATTAGCATATTGTTACATTTGTTAAATAACGGTGTAAAGTTTAACCGCACGTTAACACGCCCCGACTTCTGGCTCAATTCCAAGTTGGCTTACGGGCGATCAATTACGCCAACCGCCTAACCAGATACCGTCGATAAAAAGATCTATTGGTTTGGCTATTGGCAGGCATTCCTTAGCAACCGCCGCCATTGTTGTGTATCACGATAATCGCGATACGATTTAAATATAATCAACGAGTAAAGTCATGTAGACGAATAATAAATAAGTATACATATAGTGTATGTACATACATATATATAGTACTAGCGGATAGGACAGACGTTGTCCTGTACACACGACTTAAGTTCGAACCTTAAAAACAAAAAAAAAGTTGTACAGGACCGAATTGTAAATCGTTTAGATTTCGAATCGACCTGAAAACACAAAAAAAATTAATTAAAATCGGTCCAGCCGTTTAGGAAGAGGTCAATGACATACACGTGCAGAACAATTATATATATAGGACAATAATAAGTAAGTAATAAATAAGTGACGACCTGTGCAAGTGTGCGGGAAGTCGATGGATGAAGGTGGCTCTGGATCGTGCTTCGTGGCAGTTTGTGGGTGAGGCGTATGTTCAGCAGTGGACTCAGACAGGCTGAAATGATGATGATGGTGATGATAATGATGATGAACGAGTAAAAAAGTAAGAAACTAAATGATATTGAAAAAAATCCTTGTGTGACAACTGCTACGCGTTGACTAGCATTTTAAAGTACCATAGTTATTTAATAGTAGGCCGTCAGCTAGTCTCTGAATAAGAAGCAACTGAGCATCAAAATGTAGCAAATGAAATAATATGAACATTAAGTAAAATAAAATGTGGCACAGGTAACAGTTTTACAAAAACTTTTATACATTTTTTAGACCTGTGATTAAATCTTACCTAATCTTACGTATTATATCAACTCGTATTGATATAATACGAGTGTGAGCTGCATCTTTACATCGGACTCATATGGCGACGTTGAGCGATAGGAAAATTTCAAAACTTTGTCAAGACGGTCGACAAGCGCTCTCTTAAAACTCTCCTTTGTTCATGTTGCCAGATATTATGGAACATTATACATTATAGTTGTTTATAGTATTAAAAAATTATATGTAAGCTAAAATATTTATTTTCACAATCTAAAGAATCATTATAGTCCTTAGATAATTCTCCACTTACATTTTCATGGAGTTATACAATATACCTTCACTAGTTTTCTACTTATGTCGGTAAATTTTTCTTTTCTCCTCCCTATATCTCCTTCTTTCTTATCAACTAACCTGATGACGACCAGAATGGCGTAGTGGGTAGTGCCTGCCTCCTGCGGTATGGGTTCGGTCCCCACTTCTGGAAAAATATTGTGTGATGGACATAGTGCTTTTCTAGTGTCGGTGTCTTTATGTATATATATAATACTATTATATGTAAGCTAAAGTTAAATAAGTTAAATATCTTAATTTTAATTTACATCTTTTCTTATAAGGTCTTTGTTTGTCTTTTTATTTTTGTATTTAAGGTGATTTATTTGTAGTTTTACTGTTGTTCACTTTTTTTAGAATGTGCATATATCTATATTCCTGTATTAGTTTTAGTAACTTCGTTTTTATTAAATGTACCATTCAGTTTGTGAATCAAATAAAAAAAATGTATTTATATACAAAAAAAAATGTTATTTAAATATGTTTATCAGTTGTCTACACCCATAGTACAACCGTTCCTTAGCTGGGAGGGACTAGAGAACGTTGTAAAAACGTGTCTTAAATATTATTTATTTTTATTTATTTACTTTTTGTATTTACGGTGATTTCAAAATGATTTCATTGTCCGCAGAATATTGCGGAAAAGCTCGGTGACGATAAGGGCCTTGCTGAACATCTTAAACTGCCTATACAGAGGATCAACGACTACCAACTTCTACTGAAGGTAACGAGACTGTGACCCTTTCCTGTTGAACTTAACGTGGGCTAGTTTTTCACAACCGCCAATACTGCCTCACGAATGTAATCATTGAAATTTTAGAATTTAAGGTCCTCTATCTTTTTTTCAGTAATATGTTAATATGGGCAAAGAAAAAGCTGCCTGTCTGGCTTGTGTACGGTTATTTTAAACATGCACAAAATGTTTTTACGTCTCGAGGAAATCATGACTCATTAATAACTACGCATGACGGCTATGAAAGCGATCTTAAAGGGTAAAACATAGAGTCGAAGTAGAGCTGGCTGGACGATCAATATTTTATTGAGGGCATTACAATCATTGACGAAATCACTTCAAGAGTCTGTTTTCTACGTTTAACAATCTCTACAAATGTATAGGGATTACTTACATTTGACTGTACGGATAGCTTAGTGGTTTAGGTGACCACTGCCTCCTTGCGCGCCGTGTTGTGGTTTAACGGGAACATAAATTTGCCCATAATAAAGAGTTGTTATTCGTATTCACTATACCTAGTTGGTCACTTACACTACCTTGGTAGGAGATCCGGTATCTCATACGGAAGTTATTAAAATTTTCTGTATTAAAATTATAATATCTTATTTTATTTTGACCGTAGTAATTTACTGAAGATACAAATAACTAGAACCATATACAGACGTAGTATGAATAGAAAGAATTGAAAGTAAAATAATCTATACATTATGTATGTAGGAGCAAAGAATGTACATATTCAGTGTGAGGGTATTTTTACGCTGCTCCAATACGAATTAGCATATTTCACGATTGTATGTTTCCTTATTTTTCATCACCACCAAATAGACAAAATGACTTAAAAAGCCGTCGGCAACAGGAATTGTTGGAAAACCAGTTTGCCTTGAGTAGACTCAATTCTTCTAGCTTCTGAGCTGCCGGGCATTGAGCTAGCACTACTCTTTTTTCCCAGAATTTTCTTTTCTTAAAACTTAACCAATTAATCTGAAAGCTTGTATTTTTTTTCTATTTCTGTATTTTTAAAACATATATACTGGATCACAACATTGGACACTTTTTCTTACCCTCAAAAAGGCTTTATTTTGTTATAAAAAGAATATAGGCGCGACACCAAAATTTGTTCTTCAAACAACGCTACCGTACATTTGATGTTGATTCTTTCTAAAATATATTCTGTATAGAAAAATTCTTCCCGCAGGAGCTCGTAAAATACTCGAAACGCCTCGGGGAGGACTGCACCGACCTACAAAACGCCTTAGAACTCTTCCTCGGCGTGCCCAACCGCGCCACCGACATCAAGTTCATATCGAGCATCGAGGGGTACAGAGGGAACATCTACAAGCTTGGTCGCCTTCTCACCCACGACTGGTTCACAGTCAGCGTCGAAGGCAAGTCCCGGGAGAGATACCTCTTTCTGTTCAAGGCGAGGGTCTTGATCTGCAAAGTAAAGAGGATAGAAGAGGACCGATCGGTGTTTGTACTCAAGCACATCATTAAGGTAATTCAACATTTTACTTGTATAGAATCACAATACATATCTAAAATAAAATTATCTAGAAATTTACTTTTTTTTAAATTTACGAAGCAGACAAGCAAAGTTAGATGATTACCGCCGTCCCTGTACAAAACAAGTGGGTTCGCGGGAGCTTTGCTAACCTTTATAAGGAAAGGCCCCGGTTACCTCGGTCGACAGTATAAAACTTCAACTTCACGCCAGTCTTCGAGGTTGTAGTACTTCTCCTAAAATATTTGTTTAAGATATTTTTAAGAGCTCAAAAATATCTTGGATGGAAGGTATATATAATTATATAATGGCGTCATGTCATTGGATTGACAAAGCGTAGGGACAAGAAGTATTGTCATCTCACCTACCAGCCAGCGAGATATTGCAGTCAATGATATTTTGTCGTACATTCCCGACAGCTCCCGGACACCGAGGTAAACGACGATCCAAGCGACAAGCTTAAATTCGAACTTCATCAGAAGTCGCCACCGCTCATCTTTACTCTCGCCGCGCACAAGGAGTCAGTCAAGAACAACTGGCTGAGAGAGATAAGGCAACACTCAAGTGACGTCGGTAAGAACCAATGTGCTAACTATTTAAGATTTATGAAGAAACACCACAAAGAAGCTCCGGCTAGACGACTGAAACGAGATAAAAATAGTAACGAAATGGGTATTTAGCCCTACGTACTTATGTACCCTTCCTTGACCGGGTCCATGAGGACATTGCGTGTTATATCTTACCTAGCCCCTAGTGGCAGTATATTAGTTTTTATTAAATGTCCACAGTTGCTAGACTAGACATAAATATAATAATTGTTTGTTTCAGTTGCATTAGCTGAGCACGCTGCTGACGATCTTCAAATATTATCAGCGGAACAGACATCAATAGATCACCAGTCCCCGGAACCAGAAGACAAGAAAAAGAAAAGGGAAGATACAGAGAAAGATAGGGAAAAAGAAAAAAGTTCACGAACAGAAGATATCGAAGTTACTGAAGTATTGACTAGACAAGAATCTCTTGAAGTATTGCAAACTAAAAGGAAGGCATCTATAGAAAGTTCCCAAGTTGCAAAAATAGCTAAATCATCAATCGAAGAAGCTCATGAAATACTAAATTTAGAAAAAGGCGCTGTCAGCAATACTGAAATCATAGCCGATATTGAAGTAAAATCGTCCGTGACTGTACATGAAAGTGAAGTTTGTGAAGTTCATTCAGAATCAATTTCTCAACCATCAGCTCTTACTTTAAAATCATTAGAGAAGGATAAAACTTCTGAAGCTCATTCCAGTCTAGTCGATCAAAGTCCAACTATTAATGCTCTAACTGAAGAGCCTAATATAAAAATATCTGCGTCTGAAACTATTTTAGAGAAGAGCAATTTTGAATCTGAACTTAAGAAAACAGAAAAGGAGGGAGATATAAACTCTTCGTTTTTGAGAGCAGAATTAGAAATTCAAAACGAAGAGACGTATATCGTTCCGCCGCAAGTTGTGCAATCAGAAAATCCTAGAGCAGGACTTTTTGTGCAAGAGGAATCATCCTCAGTTTTATTGTCAAAACAGACAACTGTTACTTTACAAAGTTCGTTAGGAGAACAATCGTCACAGACATCTTACCAAGAGACAACTGAAAAAAATTCAGAAACCAATCTAAATTCAGATAATAATAATCAATCAAATCTTAAAGTATCTTCGGAATCAGAGCAGCAATCACAGTCATCTGTGGAAACGAATATAGTCCAATCTTGTGCATCAACATCCTTAGAAAAAAGTGACTTAAAAACTAAAGAGACACAAAATACAACAAAATCTTTATCACGAAAATCTTCGCGGCAGGCTTCTACAGTTGAAAAAGCAGCAACAGAGCAATCTCAAATCATAAAAGATACTTCATTACATCAACAGGAAAAAAGGGTTGACCAAATATCTACGCAACAAGAGACTGATCTTAGTTCGTTTGTCGACGAAACTCGCAAAGCGCAAGACACGTCTGAAAGTGTAAAACCACAAACGTCTCCAACAGGATTTGCCGATTCTGAAATTTCTGTTACTCAAAAACTTGTGTCATCACTAGATTTAACTGAAAAAGTTAATATTACAACTGAGAAGTCATTTGAAGACAATAAGGAAGAAATAGAAGAGGAAAGAACATCCACCAAACAGGAAAAAGAAGCGTCAGAACAAACGCTTAATGAAACTGTTCCAAAGACAGTTAATCAGTCAAATGATCAAGATTTGTTAACTGCTTTTGATAATAAATACAGTAAAAACAGTGAATTAGTTCAAACAAACACAGCTGGTGCAGATTCCATTCCGAACGTTTATTCAAGTAGTCAAACTGTTACCACAGAGGAAAACGTAGAAGACGAGATGTCGTCGAGATATAATAGTCGTAGTTCAAGACTAGCTGGAGGTAAGTTTAAGCGTTATTTATCACAGTATAAAAAATTCTTGAAATATTTCAAAATAAATTTCTTCTATTTCACTTTTCAAATATTGGTAACACATAGCCTAAAATTTATCAAAAACAGACTTAATAGTGCCCTAGGACTCAACTTAATCTCAGTCTGGTATAGAACAGTATTTATACATTTATTATACGTTTATATAATCGACTTAACAGGTTGACTGCGTTAGGGAACCTACAAGATCTCTTGCTAAACTTTCAGCCAGTGCGGCGCCAAAAATCGTGTTCTTTCCCTCTGTGTAGGAGGCCGTAACTTCTTTATTACTATGTGTATGACAGAGACTAATATACATATATGCTTCCCACTTCAAATTCGATAGTTAAGTAAAAACAATTGAAGATCGGATAGGTCTCTAACGCACTGACTTGATATTTGTTTACAACATAACTACTGAACAGGATAGTGTTTTTACATAGTTTTTATTGTGAAGTTACAGCGCGAGGCTAGTTTACATTATATGACTTAAACAATTTGTTAATTTACTTATACAGAATACTCCAGCAGCACCCGAAAAATGTCTAGTGGTGGCCGTTATGAATCTTCTACGGGCACAAGTCTTTCCACTTATTCTCGACGTGAAAGTGGCTCTAGAATAGAGAGTGGAAAATATGAAACAAGCGGCTCAATTGAGGGAATCAGTACCTCTAAATACGAGTCCAAATATTCAAGTGCCAGCGCAAGTGTTGAGGGTGGGAGGACATACGGAACCGATTCTAGCTATGAAAGTAAATTAGAGGGCGGTTCGAAGTATGCGCTCGAGTCGAATTATGAAGCTTCAAGTAAAATCGATAGTATTGCCTCTAAGTACGGCATTGAAGCCAATGGAAAAACTGAGGGCCGCTCTTCAAAATACAGTATTACGAGCAGCTATGATGGAAGCAAAATCGAAGGTGGAGATAAAATGGAATCTTCTCTCGAGTCTACGAGTAAAATTGACAGCATCGCTTCTAAATATGGACGCGATATCAACGGTTCCAAAATTGAAGGTCGCACTACAAGGTTCAGCATCGACGCAAGCTACGATGGCGAAAGGATTGAGAGTGCGACAAGAAATGAATCTTCTTACGATAAAACTAAGAATGGAGAGTCTATTTACGAGAGAAAATACTCAAAGACAGCGTTGCCTAATGGCTCTGTGACCGGAGAATATGAATCATCAAAGTCCATAACAAAATCTGAAATGATCGATGGAAAACCAATCTTTTCAAAGACCCTCGAAGGGCAGAACATTGAGCGTAAGTACTCAGAGTTAGTACGTAGTAAAGAGAGCCCAAGTCGTAGCGACACCATAGCGCTTGTATATATGCTTTTAGTTACCTAACCTACACACCACATTGTTCTAACAACGCTTCTATGTCCGAAATGAATTTATACGGTTCAATTAGACATGTTATTGCAAGTATTAAATTAAATCAGTATTCTAATTGATAACATGTCTAGATTTACAAGATGTCTAGGAGCCGTACAAATTCATTGCCAATAATGATTTGGATCCCCAGCGGGTGAGAACGCGTTGTTCGAATGCTCACTGCTTGATTACGAGGGCGTGAAGGTGACGTGGCTGAAAGACAACAAGCCTCTGACCGATCGCTTGATGGACCGATGCTCCATCACTTCAATCGACGGCAAATATAAACTGCTGCTGATGCACTGTAGAGAAGACGACGCCGGCACCTACACCGCTATAGCTGAGAACGTGAAAGGCAACACCCATTGCACAGCTCAGTTAGCTGTTCAAGAGCGTGAGTAGCCCTTCCATTTCTTTTGTATTGATTGAACTGGTTATGGTAAATTTAAGCACTGTTCAATAGTGCTTAAATTTACTCTTTATCTTTATTCCTTGCAGTTTTTTTTTTATTGAAATATAACGTGATGTGTTACCAATCTAAAGTATTACACATACTTAATTAAATTCACATTTCTTGCGAACAAATTGTATGAATTCTTATCAGTTCAATCAAGTCCACAAAATTCTAATATTTTTTTTTCCAGAGATAGACTATTGTGTTAGGGTTTACAGTATACATATTTTAAGTATGCATGATATAAAGCGTCATCACCGATTAAGACATCGTAAAGCGTTTAACTCGTATCTCGTTGTCATCTGTACTGTCCCGTAATTTTCCTGTATTTGGCACTGAATATAAGTCTATTAGATGTACAAGGTTGCATGCCCTGTAGCATCTCCTTCAATTTGGCCCTTTCGCTTTACTGATCTGTCTATAGCTTCTTAATCTGCTGATCAATTCATCAATTTGCCATAACCGGCGCAAATATAATTTAAAATTAATGTTTTCTTTCGCTGCATTTTCTTAGTTTCCTCTTTTATAATCTATATTTCTTTATTTTTAACATTTTTTTATCAAAATGAATATAGAGTTTACAATAAAATCGATTTTTATTCACAGTACACCATTCTGGAAAGAACGGGCACCTAAGTATATAAAACTGAAATAAAACACTGTATCACCATAATTAGGAATTTTATTCTACAGCACAACAATTCTCTAAGGGAACTGTAACCTAGTCAAATATATTATTTCATTCAATAATTTTACAAACCACAAAATAAACATGAATTACAAAAGACGTTCTGTTTATAAAATAATGCATATCCATTTAAAGTTTTTTAAGTAACGATATAATCGTGTCCGTATAACTTGCAGTAACACCTGAAGAGCGCAGAGAGAGAAATGCCCTTAACGCACCGTACTTTTTGGTGGCACTGAAAGATACCGAGATCTTGGAGAACACCTACCTACGTTTCATGGTCAAGGTCAAGGGTGATCCCAACCCGACTGTTAAATTGTAAGTTTCACTTCAGCACAGTCACTTTTACAATAATCGTCTGCTGTTTCCTATCTTTCTTTAGGTAATCGTTAACCCTTTCTATGCCCTCAACTTTACTGAAAGTAAGATTTTTAAAAGCATTGAGTATTATATTTAAGATAACTTTGAGGTGTATTTCTCGATATTTGACTATAGGATAAATTATGTACGTTTTTTTTCACTGAATTTCAATTGTATTCACTGATGGCACCGGACAAAATGCAAGAAACGACTTGTTTATCACCAAACGGTGCCAGTGTGCAAGCCAAATGGATTGAACGAAGTCGGCCGTTGTCTTGGCACTTCTTTGGGGCACTCACCTCACGGCTAATGTCAGTGCAACCAGACCGGCTGTGCTGCATGTACGGCGACACGTATAACCGACTTTGTAACAGACTATACCGTCTATTTCATCTTAAAGTTATCTATTTAACAATAGATGAAACAAGCGTGTTCAACCGTTGTTCAGTGCTGTGGAATTGCTGAAGTGCCTTGCCAAGGAATTGTCAGTTTGATTGACCGATAGTGCCTCGATAGAAGGCTATCTCCACCGCCAATAGTTTAACCGCTACAAATGTCGTTACAATTACCTAACGCTACATACCGTGAATTGTGTTTAATGTTTCTGTGAAAAACTGCGCAATTACTCTTGGTCGTGTCTTGTGTTACACAACGTTACGTGTGAGTTTTTTATCTTCCTTCTGCTTGTCCGCACCCTTTAAAATATTGGGCTCGAAGCCAACCGAGGTTACATCGTTTGAAATAACAATTTGTTTATTTAAAGATTTTGGTGCAGTAATTATCGAGCTTGAGGAATGCTAAGTTGTTTTTCGGTGAAACTGTATTAATCTCCTGAAAACCACTTACATGTTCAATTTAGAAATCTATGACATTGCATCTGAATCTTTAAAACATCCGGAAGTTCATAAGTCAAAGGCTCTATTCTTGTTTAAATACAGACGAGTAGGAAAGAGTTCTTAATACTATGTATGTTTTAACGGTGGTAGGGCCATGCAGCAGCCTCGGCTGTTGCATGAATGGGCAGGCTCGTTCGGGTAAGTACCAGGGTCACAGAAGACCGGCGTAAAGCGGAAGTATAATATTTTCGCGTTTCGTCTGGCTAGTGAGGTGGCCGGAGCCCAATTTTCAAAAGGTTGTCTACACATCTGGAACCCAAGGGTGTATCAGATGTCCATGGGCGGCGATATTCACTTAACATTAGGTGAACCGTCTTCTCGTTTGGCAACTTCTCACATAAAAAAATGTAATGGCCATAAAATAAATATATGTTTTTGTTTTGCTGTTATCCTTTTATTTTGATTTTTTATTTACAATTTAATTATGTCCAAAAACACCACTCGCATTTAGTTGGTCAAATGATTAGCCCTTTTAAACATAATATATATAATGTAAGACATTAAAATTGCTAATTATCTGATGAAATTTCATAAAAAATATAAAATTAATAATTCTTTAGACGACCCACAGGTTATATTAGGAAATATTATTATGTTATATTTAAATAATAATATAACCATAAGAAAAAAATACTTTCTTCTCAAAGTAACAAGATTAATTTTGGTTTCTGGTAAAATTTGTCCTATTTAATTTTTATAAAAGCAAAAAATTGTATCAATGGTTAGATTTTGTGACAATAACTGCTGCAATTATAATTCCCACAAATTATTACCTAAATCATAAAACTTTCTCTTGTAAAGTAAGTGCGGTGCTCTAAGAAATAAAAACATGATAAACAAAAACGGAGTGAGCCTAAATGCGCAATAAAATCCCTTCGAGTTTATATTCCTTCATTATTAAAGACCAAAAAGTCTGCCTATGTTTTAGCGACAATATAAAATTAATTGCAAGATTTATTAATAGGATTAGGCTAATATAAATACAGTTAAATTTTCCAGTGCGGGTTACTAGTAGTCATACAATGAACAAAATGTTCGCCTGCATTTAGAATCGCCATTTATTTCTCTCATTTAGGTCTCTCAAATGATATGGCATTGAAGTTACGTCCTGGTTGTGTAACATTAGACATTTTTACAATGATGTTTTAATAAAGATATACACATGTCCATACCGCACGACGTTTAAAATTTGTTCCGCATTACATTATATATGATACTAGCGGACCGGACCGACGTTGTCGTGTACACGCGATTTAACGGTGGTAGGGCAACGCAGCAGCCTCGGCTGTTGCACGAATGGTCATACCGGTCCGGGTAAGTACCACGCCCTCATAGAAGACCAGCGTAAAGTGGAAGTATGACAAATACTTTCGCGTTTCGTCTGGTGAGTGAGGTAGCCGGAGCCCACTTTCCGAAAAGGTTGTCAACGCATCTGTAACCCTCGGGTGTAGCAGATGTCCATGGGCGGCAGTATTCACTTACCATCAGGTGAACCGTCTGCTCGTTTGGCAACTTTCACATAATTTTTTATTCTTTCCGGCGTCACATCGCAGCTACCGTGACGGGAAGGAGATCGTCACCAGCTCCGAGGCCGAGCGGGTGTCCATCGTCCGCGCCCGGGCGGACCGCGGCTGCTACGAGCTGGTCATCGCCGACGTGAGCCCGGGCGACGCCGGCACCTACAGCTGCCGCGCCATGAACATCTACGGGGACGTGGAGTCCGTGGCGAGGGTCACCGTCGTCGGTAAGTGCGCGCTGGACCCCTTGTCTGCTTTTTGAGTTTCGTCAAGCATACGAATTTACTTTATGCGACCACGTGGGAAGCACCAGCTTCCAAATAAAAAAAGAATCATCAAAATCGGTTCATCCACTCAAGAGTTCTGAGGTAACAAACATAAAAAAAAATATAGTCGAATTGAGAACCTCCTACTTTTGAAGTCGGCTAAAAATTTATTGTTTCTTTCTTAGATGCCCTGTCTTTTTACTGAGTTACATCACTAATGTGCGATCACTCATATCACGGTATGAAGTGTTGTCTAGATTCTTTGGCAATCGGGTTAAGACTACGGATACGATCTAAAAAGTCAAAGACAAATTTTAACCAGATTAACCACCTCTGTTTCACAGAGCTCAATGGATTCACGCATACATGTCACGAGAGTACCGCTGTGTACTAGACAATCGTTCATTGGTGCACATAATGTTATCTAAAAAAAAACTAATATTCTTTAGTACTCGCATCGGGAACCTAAAACATTAATTAGTTCGTTACAAACTACAACTGCCTATCTTGATCTTTTACCTCCCCGTGAAACCATTTTTAACTGTGGGCTCGGGCTGTGATGTTGCAAAATGGGCAGCCCCTCCGGGGAAATACCACGGCCTACCAAGCTGGTGTGAAATGGATGTATACGTTAGGTGAACACTTTCTACACAGAAAGAACACCTCCATATTTATTTTTATCAGACTACTAACTGAACCCTACCACAGCGGCGACAATCTTTTCGTACTTTTTCTACATATTTTAATGAACCCTACCAATTCGTTGTTTTTTTTTTTACTTTTTTTCCATTGTAGCTTCGGAATAAAAAGAATATAAAAACACTCTACACTTCAATAGCTATTTTGTGAACAAATATCAAGTTAAGTCACCTGCTGGTTCCGTACCCAAAGGGAAACGGGACCCTATTACTAAGATTGCTGTATCTCATGAACCGTGATAGTTAGACAATTGAAACTTTCACAGATAATGTATTTCTGTTGCCGCCATAATAACAAATAGGTTACTGATAAACAGAATAAATAATATTTAAGTGAGGCTCAACAACTCTCTACAACATATGTTAATACAACAGACATGATTTTTTTTGCCGTTTTTATAGACAATAGCACGGAACACTTCTTGCGCGAGTCCGACTCGCAATTGGCTCGTGTTTTAAAGTTTTATGGAAAAAAACATACGGATGATAGATTTTTATCTATAAAGGTCTGTGTTGATTACAAAAAAGAAAAGTCGCATCTAAAGAAAAACGTATGCGAAGTAAATATTTCTGTAGGTCAGAAAAATGCTTGTACCGCGGCGACCTTAGAGACAATTTAATAATTATTGCCCGAACAATAATTAGATATTTGAAAACTGTCACGGTTTACGTTTAACTAGGAGCTGTTTCGTTTTATTACACGTAAAGAACCACAGTCTGACGCGCTTTTTGGCCGTACTCCAGTGTTTGTTTATTAGTTCGTCCGTTAGCTAAATTTAACCGCCGCATTAGATGCTGGTCTAGTTATGCAATAATGGCGAAAAATACGAAACTTGTGCGCTCTATTTATGGAACGAGAAAAGAACCCAGTGACATTAAACCTGATCTCATTCCGCAGAACATTTATTGGTTTATTATCTATGGAAAGGTGTCTAATAAACTACATACATAATCGAAAATGTGATGACAGGACGGGATAACTAAGAGAATTTAAATCGTAGAGCTTGTTAACGTCGCTAATGTATTAAGTGTGTGTCTACATTTATAAGATAACCTGGCTCTGTAATGGAGACGAAATTATAGACGAAAACGCTTATGAAATTTTCTTTAAATAATCCATTTAGGAAGGCAATATAAAATTTTATCGTACTACATTTATCACTAGTAACAGTCACCACCTTTACCGTTGTCTCACTATAAACTAATTATAACAAATAACTTCTTTATTATTCAAGTATAAATTATAATGTCCTAATGGTCCACACTTTGCACGAATCTTACGTCTTTCAATACCTTGCATATTTTCCCTCTTCCACTTTCCTCGTTTAAAACAACTCGTCCAATCTTACCCAGATCGTTCGATTACGATCTGAGTAAATTAATAAACAGGCATTAGGATATTTAATTTTTTTAATTATGGTTTAAATACTTTAGTCTGATTTCTGTTTGTCAATTTGTTTGCAGATGACAAGAATATTTTCGGCGAACTCCTTCCGGGCGGAGAAGGGCTCCTGGCTAAAGGTGAAAAAGCAACGTTCACTTGGAAAAGAGATGGCCAGCCCTTCGACCCAGAAGAGAGGTTTAAGGTGTGAGAATTTTCCATCAAATCCGATAATAGTTTAAAAGAAATAAGGTTTGAGATAAGAGTACTCTCTATCATGCCTCTAAACTCGAGGAGTTTGACAGGAACTATCTATCCATGTAAGATATTTTTAGTGATTTTCTTACTAAAAACGAAGATATTGCGAGTGCAGGCTACAAAGATTGCGAAATACAACGTCTGCTCAACCACTACCACTAAATGGAAGACTAGCTACGAACTTATCGTTAAAGATGAAGTAGCGTGAACATCCGTGAAGTACTGGACCTGTTTTCCCTCTCAGGTGCTGCTTGGAGACGATGAGGACTCGTTGGCTCTTGTGTTCCAACACGTCAAACCGGAAGACGCCGGCCTCTACACTTGCGTTGCCAAGACCAGCACCGGCAACATTTCCTGCTCTGCCGAACTTACTGTGCAGGGTATGTAATCTCGCTCCTAAATCTGTTACATCTGCAGAGATCACAGCCGTCCATGATCAAGACTGTGATATGCAATCACAAAAATACCTTTACTTACGTGTAGTTATAACTATGGTAGGTTAGTGGTAGGGTCGAGCAGCAGTCTTCACTGGTGCACGAATGTGCAGGTCCGTCCGGGGAAGTACCACGACCACACAGAAGACCCGCATGAAGTGGAAATGTTATACTTCTGGGTGATGACTAAAGTAGCCGGGGCCCACTTTGTTGCAAGGTGGCAACACATCTGCAACCCTACGGGTGTTACGGGTGTTACAACAATCGCTTAACATCAGGTGAAGCGCTAGGTCGATGGTCCTCTTACATAAAATAAAACTATAGATGAATATGTGGAACAAGAAATATTACTATAATAGTAATAAAGAGTGTAAAGTTTTAAAACGTAAACTGTAATTCATATTTGCCTATCTCCGAATTCTTGCTCAGGCGCAGTCCACGAACTACACCGCGAGCCTGAGAAGCCAACCCTAGTGATTGAGCACCGTCAAGCCATAGTATCGGCTGGCGGGTCTGCCATGTTGGAGCTGCAATGCAAGGGCTACCCCAAGCCCAGCGTTGTGTTCAAGCACGACGGACAGGTCATCGAACCCGACACGCGCCACAAGTGAGAAAATTACGAATACATATGTTACGTTCATAATGTTGATTAGAACTTTGTCGAATTAAATTCGCCTCGTGGTCCTTCGAGCCGGATGCACTAATGTTATTATATACACTTGGATCTTTTAGTGGTTATATGCTAAATTGATTATCACCCAGCAATGAATTAATAGATTGGGATTGGATTGGCACAGATGGTATTTTTATAAATCAAATCGGAACAGTAAGCGTGTGGAGGCGCTGACAAAAGCTATTTTATTAATAATATCGATTTTCCTACTGACTTTTTAATAACAAGAAAATCCAAAACATAAAAATAAAATGCATTATTTTACAAAATTATTAAATTTTCTACGAAAAGAAGCGAAGTAAATAATGGAAACTTGGGGAGAAAACGAGTCTTTTTAGCGAGTAGGAGCAACTTTCGCTCTTGCACGAATGGGCATGTCCGTCCGGTTTCCGGGAAAGTACCACGGCCTCACAAAACATCAGCGTGTAGTGGAAGATATATAGTTTCGTCTAGTGAGTGAGGCAGCCGGGGCTTACTTTTTTCAAAGCAACTACAACCCTACGAGTTTCGTAGCTTCACATGGGCAACAGGAGTCACTAGAATCAACGCTTACAAGATTTTCAAAGAGTTGACTGTTGTTCAAGGTTCTTGTATGAGGACGAGGAGTCAATGTCCCTGGTGATAAAGAACGTGACTGCCGCCGACGCGGGAGACTACGAGGTGACTGCTAGCAACGAGCTCGGCGAGGACACCACCGTGATGCAACTCCTCGTCAAGGACGCCCCTAAGATCAAGAAGAAGATCGAGAATCAGTCCTGTATGGTAAGAGGGATCTCACTTTTAAGCATAAAGCTTTACACATTAACGTTAACTTTACGATGTAAGAGAAATAACTTATTACATATTATATTACCTTTTCGCATCACGATGTTAATTTTTCATCGATCTGTCATGGTAAATTTTGGCATCAAAATCGTATTTTTCGGAACGTAATATAGTTTTATTATTATAAAAATATTAGCATTGTTTTCAAAATACATGCATTGATGTAACAAATAAATATGTACAAATTTGTATTGTCAAGGCAATAAAGATTAAATAAATGGTTATATCGCTACTCATAATTAATGCGACAGGTGGGCGACACGCACACCGTGACGATAGAAGTGGAAGGCACCCCCACCCCAGAGCTCTCCTTCTACAAGGACGGCGCCGAAATCAAGGCCTCCGAGCGCATCATCATCGTCAAGGAGTCCGACGAGATATACAGGATCACCATTAAGGACGCCAAGCTAACCGACACTGGATCCTACTCCGTCGTAGCTAAGTTAGTATTCCATTGATAATAAGTATATTTTTAAATGCAGTATGCGTTAATTATATAACATTTTTAACGTTTCATCGGTCCATTTTACGATACTAAACAAAATAATGTAAAAAAATCAACCAAGATGAACGCTAAACTACGCAAATATCCAGTGGGCGAAGTGTTATTTTCATATTTGTTTCAAAAATTTCGCACATGTTATGTAACTAAATCATTTAGCCTTGAAAATTAGTTAATAAATCTATAAGACAACTGTGGTAGGACCACGCAATCTTCTCTGTTGCACGAACGGGCAGGGCCGTCTGGGGAAGTACGACGACCTCACAGATGATTGGTGTAGAGTGGAAGTGTTGTACTTCTGCGCATCGTCTGGTGAGTGAGGCAACCGGAGCACATTTTATTAAAAGTCGGCAACGCATCTGCAACCGTACTAGTATTGCAAATGTCCATGGGCTGCGGTCATAACTGACAATCAGATGAACCGGCAGCTTGCTTGCCATCTTCCTCCATAAAGAAGTCGGTCGTAGACGTGTTGACCTTGTCCAAATTAAAACATAATTAAAAAAAAACTTACAGGAACGAAGTGAACCAGTGCTCGGACTTCTGGCAGTGGCACGTGTCGTCGGCGCCGAAGATCGTGAAGAAACTGGGTGGATCCAAGGTCTGCGAGGAGAAGGAGACCGTCACCTTCAAGGTCGAGACGGAGTCGGACCCAGCGCCATCTGTTAAGTGGTGAGTTGATTCACCAGCACGTTTTCCATCGTGCTGTCAAGGTGGAGCTACTTGTGACAGCAACTCGTTGTTACGAAACAATCGCTCCTGGGAAATCATTGGAAATTCTTAACCATAATTTTAAGAATGGATCGAATGGAGTACCAGAATTATTAAAGTTAACTAAGCCGTGATATCTCAGTGTTCTCGCTTTTAATTCGCTCGGGCAAACCCAATTCAAATCCTGATGCCAGCACCAGTGAAATTATTAATTATAGGCACTATACTATCACCTGCTGGGCGGTGAAGGAAAACATTGTGATGAAACCTACCCATTTCCGAAATAATAATACAAATGAATATTACGAAGATATGTGCCAGTCTAATAATCCGCAGTGGGGTCGCGTGGTGGACTATGCCCTACAGAGGCTATCTCTGTAGACGATTTGTATAGACTGTTACTTTAATTTATTTATGTCTTCATTTCATTTAAGTGTTAATACATGTCACCTTCGAGACCCTTCAAATTTCCAAACAGCATTCGTTCTTTAGTACAACCGATATTGAACAGGTTCAAGAACAAGACGGAACTGTCTGAATCTTCAACGGTGAAGATCTCATCATCTGGGGAAGCCCATTCGCTGGTCATCACGTCGGCAGCCCGCGCCGACGCAGGAGAATATTCTTGCGAGGTTGGTGTGGAGGATTTACGTTATTTTTCATTTTTTTAAATGACGGTTCTCGCCATTTTAGTCATCAGTGACGCATTCGTTTTTAACTTTCGTCATTAACTTAGATGAACTTAGTGATTGCAGTATTATACATACATGGTATTAAAAATGTTTTATTATCGTTATTTAATGGCCACAATATACATGCGTTCGTCCGTTCCTTGCGTAATTATTTATAAAACTTTTCGTTTTTGAACATGTCTCTGCGAATATATTAGATTTGTTAACATTGATGACATATTTAACAAATTGAACATTGTTGTCTGCCATTGCTTTTTAGAAATTTAATTTTTTTTATAGTGCTAATCTCTGTACTTAAGTTTAACATTTAAATATGTGGAAAAATCGATCGCCACAATCTTTTCGTACTTTTTCTACAAATTTTAATGTTAAACTGACGTGCAGAGATTAGCACTATAAGAACAAGATCTAAACAGATCTACTTATATGTCTTAGTGTTCTGTTCATTATAGTGTAGATTCTGAAGTTCTCATCACATTCAGCCGTTTATTATTCCCATAAGGACAGAACTGGAGTCACTTTCAGTCACGAAATACGCCACCGTCGCGGCGTCGCTTAAACACGTCACGAGATCCGCTAAAATCCGCAGATCCGCAACGTGCACGGATCGGCGAGCGACTCGTGCCTGTTGAACGTCCGCTGCGCGCCGCAGTTCAAGCGCCGCCTGAATGACGTCACGGCCAGCGAGGGTGACGTCAACGTCGAGTTCACGATCGACGTGGAGGCCTACCCTGAGCCCAAAGTGCAGTGGTGAGTTATCTCTATATCTCATCGTTGATTTTTCATAAGGTCAGCTGATGACTTTTGGTAAGGGTGGACATCGTATACGTCGACAAACCATACTATCATCATCATTTCAGTCTGTTTGAGTCCACTGCCGAACATAGGCCTCCCCTATAGACTGCAATGAAGCACGATTCTGAACCACCTGCATCCATCGACTCCCCGCACATTTGCACAGGTCATCACTCCATTTAGTGAGGCGTCGTCCTACACTGCGATGGCCAGAACGAGTCAGCCACTCAAGAACCTTTCTTCCCCAACTATATATTATACTAAAGATATTAATGTGATAGAATCGTTGACGTTGCATCAATTGGTCTGTTCAATCGCCGAATACATTTTGGTCGTATAAGGCCTCTTTTTTAAGGGATAAAAAAGAACACATTTAGCAACTCTTTTGTGGTATCGGAGGGAAAATTTTCGGACCATACCCATACCATACTTTGTGGGGTGCCTTTGCACTGAAACTCCTTTGTTGGATATCCTCAATGGGTTGGAAGCAGCTCTGGAATCGGTACAATTTACCTAATGCGACTGTATCACTGCTCATTTTGTCTAGTGGGGCACTAATCAGATCGGTTTGTGGAGTAATGTTGGTGAAATAGCCTGATACTATAACAATCTATTACATCTGTCTGCAATCAAGCCGTAAATTATTTGTATCGTATGAATCCAAATCACTATATCGGTTTTATACCCCTTTCATCTATGTCAACTATTCTCGAACGTGTATCCTTTAGATGGGCCACCTTATTGAATTTCTCAGGTACTTTGGGGACGTGGAAATCACGGAAAAGAAATCGGTTTACTCCCGGGTTGACAACGGCAGCACTCACAAGCTCATCGTAAAAGAGGTCACCGCCGAGCTCTCGGGCCAGTACAGCTGCAAGGTCTCCAACGAGCTGGGCGAGGATTCCTGCCAAGCCACCTTCACTGTCAATAGTGAGAACATTCCTATTATTGTTCTGCCACGATTAAAAGAACTTTACTTCGGGGGCAAAATTGGATACATTCCTAAAAATTAAAATAAATAAATAGCGATTCTTTACATATTTTCGTCAAATTAATAAAATCTAAAAAAAATATATCTGTAAAATGAAAGTCTACGGAAAATTAAGGAAAGACATACGAAGTGTCTTTCCAACTGTAATTCATTAATGATAGTTGTTTTATTTTTCAAATGAAATATGGGAAATATTTCTGTAATATAAATAGTTGAACATGTAGGTTACCGTTATCGTTAACGTTATCCCTCTCAGTTATTTATTCAACACGACTATTATTATTATACACTTTAGGTGCGTCAGACCATATCGTATATAACCATATATGACCATATTACATAGAAAATAACTTGAATTAATAAATATTTTTATACACAGGGAAACCTAGAATCACGAAGAGCTTGGTGGACATGACCGTGGACGCCGGACAGACTTTGAAACTGGAGGTCGAGGTGGAAGGGTGCCCTGAACCCAAGGTCAAGTGGTACAAGGACGGCAAAGAGGTCACCACTGACGCCAGGATCAAAATAGAGAGGGACACTAAAAGGTAAATATATGTTTTTATGAATCTTACAAAATTTTTGCAGGTTTTTCTTTTTTTTTTTATGCGAAAAGTTGTCAAACGAGCAGACGGTTCACCTGATGTTAAGTGAATACCGCCGCCCATGGACATCTGCTTACAGATGCGTTGACAACCTTTTGAAAATTGGGCTCCGGCTACCTCACTCACCAGACAAAACGCGAAAGTATTTGTCATACTTCCACTTTACGCCGGTCTTCTGTGAGGTCGTGGTACTTACCCGGACGGGCCTGCCCATTCGTGCAACAGCCGAGGCTGTTCCGTGGCCCTACCACCGTAGATTTCTTTCTAATACTTCATTGCTACAGGCTCAAACAAAACTTAAGATATAATTATTTTAATTCCCTCATCTTTATATTCTTATTAATTTAATTATTTACTATTAATACTTATTTCTAAACATAGTTTCTAGTTTCTGAATAAAAAACCTACCTCCACAAATACCAGAATTCGTTTTGACTTAATAGTTGGTCTAATGATATTTATTAAGAGATGTTTTGTAATTGTAATTTTTATATATTTCAGATTAGAGAACTACAATTTAACGGTGACGCTAGTAAAAGAAGAAGATGGCGGCGAATATGAAGTTAGGGCTGAAAATGAAATGGGTAGCGTCAGCTCCAAGAGCACCGTCACAGTACACAGTAAGTATCAAACACACGGACACACGTACAACAATTTTGTGTCTAATACAACGGATTTTTCGAAATGAGGTTAATAATATCATCACAATCGTAAGTTTCAATAAGTAGGATAAGAGTAATTTCCTTTCTGAAAAATTATAATTATGTCAGCGACACTGTTAACCAATGATTAGCATCGTACAGTTCCAGCAAGTATTAATCGCACACACAACACACACCGCATACACTGGTAAGGTACAGTCACGAAACAATCACAGAAAACCACACATGATTGGCTCCGCTGGAAACTGACAAATATAGGTATGGTAATCGTGGATTTAAGCGTAGTATCACCTGAAGTAGATTACTACTGCATTGCACGTATAGTTTTTTATGTAGTGTCCCGTTGATGGACATTTGTAGAATTCACAACTTTAATTAATTGTAACTAGGCATTCAATGGACAGGAATGCTTATGTTTGATTTTACAAGTATCTAAGCACTATCCTGCATTTGTACCCCTCACCTATTTGTGACGTCCTTAATAATTTGTGACCATCTCCAAAACCATTTTAATATCATCATTTTTTTTTCATTGTGTTCAATAGCTAAAGAAGTTCATTCGAGATTCAAAAAAGAAACAGTCGTTGAAAATGAACTCGAAGAGGAGAGCAAATCGAAAAAACAAGAAGTGAAAGATGCGTCCCACGATGGCGTTAAAAAAAGAGCATCTAAAATAAAAGCAGAGATGGCTGAGGAAAAATTAACAGAAGAATCGGGAAAAGAACTTCAGTTACAAGAACTTGATGACACAACTCCAAGGAAAGCTAAGAAGTCATTAACAGAGCCCGAAACCATAGAAGAAAAATCATTTTGGGATGACATCAACGATGATAATAAAATTCAAAAAACTAAGGTTGACGATATCTCACAAATTCCGAATAAATCTAAAAAGTCAATTTCAGAGCCGGATTCGTATGAAGAAAAATCTCTTTGTCATGATAATCAATTGGAACAAAATAAAAAAGGTCAAGTTGAAGAGATAAGAAATGAACCGATTAAAGGTAGAAAATCTATTTCGGAGCCAGAGACAGCCGAAGAAAACTCCATTTGGGAAAATGATAATTTCGAAAAAGCTAAAACGGCCCAAGTGGGAGATCTAAAACCAGAACCAGAGAAGCCCCGAAAATCATTTTCGGAACCGGAAACGGCTGAAAACAAATCATTTTGGGACGAAATTGAAGATGAACAAATTAAAAAGCCACAAGTAGAAGATGTCAAAGATGTACCCAGGAAATCTAGAAAATCATTTTCTCGGCCAGATGATGCTGAAGAAAAAAGTATTTGGGATGAAAACGAAAATGAACGGAACCAAAAAAGCGAGGTTAATAACCTGAAAAAAGATGCAATGAAATCAAGAAAATCATTCACAGAGCCCGATTCTATAGAAGAAAAAACTGTAGGGGATGACAATAGAGACGAAAACATTCAAAAACCTATTTTAGAGAGTTTAGATAACAAACAAGAAAAAGGCACAAAAGGTGTAACTGAACCAGAAACTATAACGGAAGTTAAAATAGAAGAAGACCTGAAGCCTTCAAAACGTAAATCTATTAAAAAGCAATCTCTTAAAGAAGAACCATTAAGTGCTGAGACAGAAGGTATAAAATTTAAGAGCTTTGAGCTTCCTCAGTTTAAAACTACAACAAAAAAACAGCTTATAATCAGCGAGAAACTCACGTTTTCGCCAATAATATTGCATGCTTAACTTGTGTTACTTTTAACAAAAGAAGTGTGATTTGTTATGTTTAGGCCGAGTGTTCGAAACCATAACCACGTTCAAGACAGGCGACGACGGGTCTATTATTATGTCTAAGGTCAGCAGCACTTGCTCTCATGGCGCCATTATTACAGGTCGGTATTAAGCTCAGCTTCTCTACCCTCTTAACTTTTCTATTTCTCGCTCTAACTATCGTTCATTCTTCCCTTTCTTTAAAATATTAGTCAAATTTCAATTTTCTTTTTATTAATCACCTAGTGCATGCATGTATGTTATACAATAATGCAATAGTCATAATAATATAACTTATTAACTGTTAGGTCCAGCCGAAACACATACTTTGCATAAAATTAAATCCAAATATTACGAAGACGATGATGAATGTAACAGAAAAATTATAAAACCGAACAGGCCGCACACTACTTCGTTAGAAGTGGAAGAAATTGAAAGCCACAGCTACTTCTTATCTGAGCTAGGCTATTATACCGTGCCAGATCACGTGCGAAGGGGCACTTACGGTATCATAGAAGAACCACAGACCGATTCTGACGCTGATAGCTTGAGATTCGGTAGACACATTGCAAACAGAACCATGTCTATTCATTCAGTATCGGAAGATGAAAATAGCTGGCATAATGAGTCACTATCGAGAGAAATATCAATAGAAGACCTATCTAAATCAATATTTGAGATCGATGAAACTCGCAAAGTATTCAGCAAAGATTCATATGTGCGTCAGTCTTCCTTCAAAGAGGACTACTTAACCGAAGATGGGAATGAGGAATCGATTATATTGAAAGAAAAACGTCAAAAAATATTCGAAAACGACATCACGGAAAAGCTTATACATATTTCCAAAGAATTCGACGAAAACGAACGTAAAGCTGATGGTAGTAATATTGACGAAGTTAAAAATCGAATAATTGAGGAGTTGGTTATTGGTAGTGCGGCTAACCCCGGCAGCGTCACAAAAGACGTTGCTGAGAAGACGGTGGAGAGAAAGAAGAAACATGGTGAGAAACTGGTCTGTGTTGAAGAGGAGGAGGACGGTGAGATGGAAGCGCTGCTAAGACGAAGTCAAAGACAGAGAAGCATATTAGACGATATATTAAATCAAGAAGATATGAAAGGTAAATTTCAAGTACATACAATATAGTTGAAAAGGGAATACTGGAAGGCTGATATAATAAATTTCATAACGCTACGAATGTTTGTCAGGGGAATAACAACTATGTCGATGTTGCTTTTTTAGATTCAAATTCTATATGAGAAATTGCTGCTGATTTTTCTAACTGTCATCTGATATTTTCAGTTACTGTTACATTAACAATGTGAAATTTAATACATATATCAGCGTACTTTAAAACATTTTAATTAAATAGTTGTGAACAAAATGAAAATATCAGACTGATTCATACATTTTCTACGCGTTCAGACATTACTATTGAATAATGTTTTACTGTATGTTTGTTTTAGCGCGCATGCAAAATAACATTCCCTTCTGGCATACTAATAATTGGATCCCGTCGCAAAGGAGATGTTGATCCGTACCACACGTCAATGCAAAGGTAATTTTTATGTTTTATGTGTGTTCAATGTTTGCATGGCATTTGAGGCTTTGTTCGTAGATGAATAATTGACAAAACACACAACGAATATGGTACGTATTCATACACAGAGAAATACGACACAAAACTGATATATCAGCAACTTATAAAATACGCATTGGTGAGTATTTTCGCGTTATATATACGAATAACTGCTGTAAATATGCGATTTATATCTATTTGAAACTTCACAGAATTTTTGTTATTATTATAGCACTGCTTGCTCCGAAGATGCGCCGCCAAATTATTCAAAATACGTTGTAAATATTTTAAGCATTATTTGTAAATATTTTTTTAAGGCATTTATTAAATGTTCTTCTATTCCCTCTCTGTTCCTTAAGTGTGTACTTATTGAAATACTTTCTACCGCTCAAGTAATTATGCTACAGTGCATTAAATACAAATACTTTTCCATCTAACAAGTATCCTTCAACAACAAAAAGAATCCAAATGTTTTTTGAAAGCATCTAACGGAGCGGCTCGACATTTCAATAAACTTTTTCAACTTTACAGCACCGCCTAAACTTAAAGAGAGCAGTATGAAAGACAGCAGCGTTTTCGAATCCCTACCGTTGGTGTTTACCGTCCAAGCCAGCGGTGCACCCAAGCCTGTTGTGCGCTGGCTTCACGACGGCAAAGAGGTTAAGCCAGATTCCAGAGTGCGCGTCATTAACGAGGGTGATTTGTATAAGCTAGAGGTGATTAAGGCGGAACTCGGAGACGCCGGTAAATGGCAATGTGAGATCAGTAACGACCTCGGAAAGGACGTCCTGCAAGCGGAGGTCTCCGTTAAACGTAAGTGTGGAAAACTGTCTATATCAATTAGTAATTAATTAAGGGAATTAAACCGTTTAACACGCTACTTATTAGCTGTTAACCACAGCTTCGCACGCGCGGTCAACGTGAATAAAAAGTAACGGCCTAAACATGTCCTACTGCTGGGCAAAGGCCTCCGTACAGAGGGTATCAGGGTATAGTCCACTACGCGGCCCCACTGCGGATGCAAGTCTTAACCTGTTGAGGTTAACTAGACTTGACCGCAGATTTAAAAGAGTTGGTCGACCCAAAACGATGCGTTGTCTTGTTCATTGTATTTCGACGACCCGATTGGCGTATTGAACCTGCCTCATGACCCAGAGGATGTGGGTTCGATCTCCACTACTGTAAAAATATTGTGTGATGAACATAGTGTTTTTCCAGTGTCTGGGTGTTTGTATATGTATAATGTGTATTCATTTAGAAAAGAAAAGTACGTTAGTATGTTTATTAGTTACACCCATAGTACAAACGTTGCTTAGTTTGAGACTAGAGAACGCTGTGTAAAAATTTGTCCTCAAATATAATTATTTTTTTATGTGAAAAGTTGTCAAGCCAGCAGACGGTTTACCTGATGTTAAATGAATACCACCGCCCATGGACATCTGCTACACCCTAGGGTTCCAGATACATTGACAACCTTTTGAAAATTGGGCTCCGACCACCTCACTCACCAGAAGAAACGCGAAAGTATTATACTTCCACTTTAAGCCGGTCTTCTGTGAGGTCGTGGTACTTACCGAACGAGCCGGCGCATTCGTCCAATAGCCGAGGCTGCTGCGTGGCCCTACCACTGTGTAAATTATTTATTTATTTATTTGTCGTCACTCCAGCCGAGAGCGAGCTCAGGAAGCCGATCTTCAAGTGCCCGCTGGAAGCGCAGCGCGTGATGCAGCGGCAGCCGGTGACCATGAGGGCGGTGTGCACCGCCGACCCCCTGCCCCACGTGGCGTGGCTCCTCAACGGCACGGAGCTCACGCCCGACGCGACGCTCGTCACCAAGGAGGAGAGCAAGGAGATCGAGCACGGGCTCAAGGAATGCACCTACACCCTGCACATACCCACCGGTGGGCGTCTAGTTCTAAAACATTTTGATTTCTTGTTTTCACGCGAATTATACTGAAACTATTACACGGAACTTAGTGCGTTTAATGAGATTTTGATTGTAATTAGATTTTATTGGATTTTATTATCGCGTTTAATTAGATAGACTCAGTATATCCAGTAACCATGAACGCTGGAAAGGGTTCGAAACGTCGGGAATTTAATAATCTAAGTAAATACGATAAAATCCGTATAAAGTTTCTTTTTACAATGCAATAGTTCTAATACCTTATAAACATGAAAGATAGTAGTAGATATATGATTGACTATAAATTTTAGGTAAGCGTCCAGTTATTAAGTTTGATATACACTGAAAGGTCTATGTTACATTATATTGGACTCTAAATTTTATATATATAGGTCTGTATAGGGCAAACCATCGACGTCTCAAGGGACACAGGGCTTCCAGTACACTATGTTTTATTTTATTACTTACCATTTCTACCATCAGGCAAAATTAGATTCCCCCTTTATTTCTTTTTATCTCAATACAAATAATATATAGTTTTAAAAACAGAACACAATCTCCAAAGACACGACCAAATCATAAAGTAAAGCATAAAAACAAAGATCAAAACTTATTTAAAGACGTAAAGGTAATACAGAATCGAAACTTCATTTATTGGAAGGAAACGATCGTGGTACTGAATTGTATGATGTCCAATTATTGCCAGGTCGTCATTCCGATACCGGGGTGTACACGATCCAAGCGAAGAACAAATACGGAGTGGGCGAGAGCTCAGCTCGCTTAGACATTCTCCTGCGGCCCGAGATCGAGGGCTTGAAGGACGTCACTGCAATGCCTTACGAGGAGACCACGTTCATTACTAAGATCCAGGCCAACCCCATAGCTGAAGTGCAATGGTAAGTTCCTTAAAAATTATTTATATTTATAATTTATTTGTCCATAATCTATACTAATATAATAAAGCCGAAGAGTTTGTTTGAACGCGATAATCTCTGGAACTACCGGTCGGATTTTAAAAATCTTTTTGCATTTGATAGCCCAATTCTTGAGGAAGGTTATAAGATATATAACATCACGCTAAGACCTACGGGGGCGAAACAGAAACTTTTCTCGCGGATGAACTTGCACGGAACAGCTGTTATAACCACGACGTGTTTAAAACATGTTCAGGAGCAAAGACGGCATCGTGATAAAGCCATCGTCGCGGTTCGACATAGAAGAGGACAAGGCTACGGAGACCCACAAACTGGTGGTGAAGAAGGTGACCATCGAAGACGCCGGAGTGTATGCAGTGACGGCGAAGAACGAGATTGGTGAAGCCTCGCAACAGGCTAAGCTTACCGTGCACAGTAAGTATTATCCCTTCAAATCAGGGTCTCATATTTATTTGTTTTTATTGTTTTTATGGGATAAAGGAGGGAAAACAAGCGGGTCACCTGATGGTAAGCGATTACTGCCGCGGAGGAGGCACAAACTTCGCTGCCGACCTTTGAGGTAGTAGGCTCTTCTTGAAGGTCTCTAGGTCGTATCGGCTCGGACATACCGCTGGGTACAACTGATTCCACATTATCTTTTCGTAAACATGCACGTTTCCTCAAGATGTTCCTGTCACCATTGAGCACGTGATGAGTCAGCACTTAAAATTCCAACTAACCATTTCACTGGTGTTACTCGAATATACTGAAAAATTTAAATTGTTTATAGTGCTAATCTTTGCACTTAAGATTGAACATTAAAATATGTAGAAAAAGTGCGAAAAGATTGTCGCCGCTGTGGGAATCGAACCCACGTCTTCGGCATTCGCGGCCTGACGCTCTAGCCACTGAGCTAAACGGCTGATGACCACACCGACGAAAATCTTAACGCATTCCTCTACATTGTTTTCTTAGCATTTGAAGCAATGCTTGGCGCCATCTATTGTTATATCCTTTCCAGCATACAAACAATTTCTAATATCGTTTTACAACGATAATTCGAACGAAAGATGTCGCCATTGCTTTTTTGGAAATTTAAATTGTTTATAGTGCTAATCTTTGCACTTAAGATTGAACATTAAAATATGTAGAAAAAGTGCGAAAAGATTGTCGCCGCTGTGGGAATCGAACCCACGTCTTCGGCATTCGCGGCCTGACGCTCTAGCCACTGAGCTAAACGGCTGATGACCACACTGACGAAAATCTTAACGCATTCCTCTACATTGTTTTCTTAGCATTTGAAGCAATGCTTGGCGCCATCTATTGTTATATCCTTTCCAGCATACAAACAATTTCGAATATCGTTTTACAACGATAATTCGAACGAATTTGTTTATAGTGCTAATCTTTGCACTTAAGATTGAACATTAAAATATGTAGAAAAAGAGAAGAGATAAATAAGATAATAAAGTAAGATTTTTTCGGTGTGGTCATCAGCCGTTTAGCTCAGTGGCTAGAGCGTCAGGCCGCGAATGCCGAAGACGTGGGTTCGATTCCCACAGCGGCGACAATCTTTTCGCACTTTTTCTACATATTTTAATGTTCGAATATACTGAATTAAAAGCGAGCATCGAACTTTTACAAGTTTTAATAATGCGAAAAGGTGATTAGCTGGCGGTCCACCTGATGTCAAGTGATATCCGCCGGCGATGGACATCTGAAACCCAACACCCGTACGGTTTGAGATGTGTTGCCAAATTTAAAGTGGGCTCGACCTACCTCACGGACCAGACGGAACGCTGAAGTATAAAACTCCCGCTTAACGCCGGTCTTCTTCAAGGATCTGCCCATTCGTGCAACAGAGATACTATCTGGTGGCCCCATCAAATTAGTCTGCGGTAACGCGTCAGCCATGCCGAATCGATGTTCTTCCTATCGCGTGCAGCCGACAAGCCGGTGTTCACGAAGCCGCTGCAAAGGGAGACCGTGAGGGACTACGACGATTGCACCCTGAGGGTGCGCTGCGACGGCGTGCCCAAGCCGGAGGTGCGCTGGCACGTGGACGGCAAGGAGGTGACCAACGACGAGCGCCACACCGTCACCACCGAGGTGGGGGGGCAGGTGGACAGCGAGCTCGAGATCAAGCACTTCACCGCCAGGGACGCTGGAAAGGTGAGGTGACGTTACGCATTATTTTTTTTTTATGTGAAAAGTTGCCAAACGAGCAGACGGTTCACCTGATGTTAAGTGAACACCGCCGCCCATAGACATCTGCTACACCCGGGGGTTTGCAGATGCGTTGACAACCTTTTTGGAAATTGGGCTCCGGCTACCTCACTCGCCAGACTAAACGCGAGAGTATTTATCATACTTCCACTTTACGCCGGTCTTCTGTGAGGTCGTGGTCTTACCCGGACGAGCCTGCCCATTCGTGCAACAGCCGAGGCTGCTGCGTGGCTCTACCACCGTTAAATTTCTTTATTTCCTGTTGTCTCTTATAAGACTAGTGAATGCATTCCCCACCCCGTGGTCTTAGATGATGTATTGGAGGATTAAATCCGTAAATGCATTATCATCATCCTCCTGCTCTTATCCCGCCTCAGCGTGGCGGCACAACATATGAATAATTCACATGTCATTCTGTGGGTCACACAAATACTTGACCCGTGGGAATCGAACCCACGACCACCGACGCCGAATCCAAAAGCTCACGGTATATTGGTAGTATTTTTTGTATTCGAAGTTAGTATCACTTAGATCACAGATGTGGTATCGTTTCTATCTGGTAAATGACCGTCATTTTTACCATAGTATTTTTTATACATTTATGTATTGTATTAAATAGTGGGCTTGTTATTGCGGAATTCACTCTCAGCTTACGATCTCGATTCCACCTTTTTCGCTACTTCACATTTGGAGGCAATTCCAGTCACGTAAGTCGCTCTTGGAACTAAATCAGCAGAAATTTAAATAAATTTCTTTTCCCCTTCAGAGCTTATGTTCTTAAGGTTCTTTTTGTATTATAAGGTACAAGATTTGAATTTTAATGTAGGTTCCTTTAAATTGCGATAACATTTAATAACTTTGTACAAGAAATAAATTATGTTTCGAAATTGTTTGGACGATATTTCTAGGATACATTAAAAGGTTGCCTTTTGCAGTATACTGTACGCGCCGTGAATCTCTCCGGAGAGGCGGAGTGCGAAGCCGTGATATCGCTAGCGCAGACGTCGCCAGGGTTTGCGCACAAGCTGGAACGGCAGAAGGACGTGGACGAGGGAGAGCCATTGGAGCTGAAGGCGAAACTTGACGGCAGTCCTATACCAACAGCTAAATGGTAAGTGATTTATAATTCCAAATCCGACACGGGCGTATCACATTTAAGTTGGCGGCGCAATGTCAGAGCCTATTTTAAATTATAGAAATAATACGTCAGCATCTATGGTAGGACCACGAAACAGCATTCGCTGTTGCACGGATGGGCAGGTCCGTCCGAGTTAGTGCCACGAACTCACGGAAGACCGGCGTAAAGTATAAGTGTTACACTTCTGCGTTTCGTCTGGTGAGTGACGTAGCCGGGGCCCACATTATTAAAAGGTGGCACATTATTAAAAGGTGACACATCTGCAACCCGTGTTGCAAATGTCCGTCGGCGGCGGTTATCACTTAACATCAGGTTAACCGCCAGCTCGTAATACAAAAAAAAATCGAAGATATGTGAAGTCCGCCAATCCGCAGTGGGGCCGCGTGCTGGACTATGCCCTGATACCCTCTGTATAGAGGAGGCCTTTGCGCCTCTATACAGAGGGTATCAGAGAGGGACATGTATAGGTTGTTACTTTACTTTTACTTTTATATATATATATATGTTCTGTGCGTGTTTTGTTGGTTAGCCTAAAATAAGTAGAGCATATTTGGCTTCGCTCGTCACAGGTACAAGGACGGCGTGCCGTTGCCGGCAGAGGACGCGCGCGTCAAGCAGACCGCGCTGCCCGACGGCACCGTGAAGCTGTCCATCGAGCGCGTCACCCCGGCGGACTGCGGCGCCTACAAGCTGCTCATCAGCAACCCCAACGGCGAGAACTCGGCCCTGTGCGCGGTCGCGGTCAACCGTAAGTTTACTCCTGTGGTTGACATATAACGGCTAGTGGCCCAGAAAGAACGTTTGCACATTATTCGACAGTGATATGTATATACTTGGAAAGAAACTACCGTTGCGTAGGAGCACTCGTTTATTACTGCACAATGTGGGTGCGTACACATCAGACAGACAGAGAGCTATTGAAAATAATGATCGCAGGTAGAAACATAGGAAATAACTCCGTGGCGCAGTTGCCAAGCTATTGGCTTCGGCACCGAGGGTCGTGGATTAGGCAACCATTTTGGTGACGCACCTTTAGTTGTTTCGGATCTTGGTACGTTCTTAATACACAGTGTTATCACTTCACTAAATATATGTATATATAGTATAAAAGCAAGTTGTCCCGCTGTCTATCTGTCCCTATGTATGCTTCAATCTTTAAAACTACGCCACGGATCTCGATGCGTTTTTTTTTTACTAGATAGAGTGATTCAAGAGAAAGGTTTATTTGTATAGTACATTGCACCCGTGTGAAGCCGGGGCGGGTCGGTAGTCCTCCCAACTGATCAATAAAATATGAATATATAAAATACAAATAGGGCTGGCTGCACGAATACATCTGACGTGGGTTTGCTGAATGCAGCTTGTTATAGCCAGTTTTATATTAAGCGCTAGTAGCTGCACACAGGATGAAACTAAAACTTGGAGAAAAAATATAATTAAATTATTAAAATTAAATTATTAAATAAAACTCTCAAAATCAATATCTTAGTAGTTCGCATTTTTATTTGAGAACGCGTGTTTGCTGTAAAGGAAGCACACTCAAAAAATGGAAATAACATGTCGAGTTTTCGAGTGGTTGCTTAGTGGTCATAGCGTCTAAGCACAGCTTTTTAAAGGCCCTAGCTACGTCCTAATTATGTGTTTGATTGTCCCAGCTAATTATACAATTGGGAGTGCTTTCGTCGCGAAGATAATTTTTGCAACATCTTCTTTCTCTTGTCTTTGTTCCGCACTAGGTGTCGGCACGACATACCCTTCCCTTCCACTTTCATCTGTCAGCAGTTATATCATTTTGTCAGTCTTCACACAGTCCATCTAAGCCCTTCGGTCTCCCTATCCCCTCTATCCTCCCCTACATCCTCCCCTACACTCTCCAGCCATATTCATACTCTACACTAATCTAGTCACATGACTTTTATCCCTTCTCGTGACGTGCCAATGCCGTGTATAACCGTTCTAAGGCCACGCAACAGTCTTCACTGTTAAACGAATGGGCAGGTCCGACGGGAAGTGTTCTACGAACTCACAGAAGACCAGCGTGAAGTGGAAGCCAGAGCCCACTTTAATAAAAGATGGAAACGTATCTACAACTCTACGGGTGTTGCAAGCCGCCAGCTCGCTTGCCGCCTTCTCACATAAAGAAAAATGTCTACCCCTTCTTATGTGCTCTAATACACTCATAATTATTTTTGCAACATACATAATTGTGTCTTCTCATCATAGTCTTTTCTATGACTGATTGTAATCTGTTGACAAATGCCTCTGGCATGTTACTGTTATGTTACGAATTGTGATAAAAATATTCCTCGTTAACAGCCACGCCCCGAAAGCCTTCGTTCAGCGAGCCCTTGGAGGACGTGAAGGCGGTTGTTGGGCAGCCGTTGAAGCTGCAGGCTCGTGTGATGGCCTTCCCCGCGCCCGAAGTCAAGTGGTTCAAGGATGGTCAGTAAAATTGGAATTATTATGAGTCAAATTACAAATAATAGTAGGAAAATTACAATTTTAGTAGTAAAATGACAATTATTAGTAAATTAGTAGTAAACTTAGAATTATTGAGATGATTGACTGATGAAATTACTGAGTATGAAAAATTAGAATTAGAGTTTAAATATTGATCGTTAGTGAAATTAATAGTTTAAAAAATTTGAATCTGAATTTAAATAATGATTGTTAGAAGGTTAGTACTATTTTCTGCTACAGTCTGTATATGTCGATTAACATGGAGATTGGTAATACAAAAAATATAGTCATTCTAAACGTCTAAAAGCATTGTGAAAATGCGTTTCATCATTGAAAGCAATCATATGCTAAACAAATAGGATAACTATTTTTCATTAATATGTTGTTTTCCAATTACGAATAGATAGATAATACATAAGACTTTCAGAGCTATGAAACCTTTCGTATCAATTGTCCTATTGAAAATCTGTAAAAAAAATAGTGAGAATTAATAGTGCTAAATTTCAACCAAGATAAAATTCTAATTCATAATATTTACAAGATTAAATCTCTCTAAAATTACATACTATCTAATAAACCTAATCCACGCGGCATGGTGCCAAGAACGCTGCATTTCTCGCTGAATAGTTATGCTTAACCTTTGAGCGAGAAAAGAACCAGCTCTCTTGTCACCAGCCGCGGTGTTGAGCCTAGGACATAAACTTTTTTTAAATTTTGATGTCCAAAAATTTTGAAATTTAAATGTCAGTAAAATAGATAATGTGTCGAAAAATTTACGAATCTTTCGGTGGGGAGACGTGTCGACTGTCGCCGCTTAGCTCAGCCTACTGAGCTTCTGGGTGCGCTACCCTGAACACGTAAAAGAGCATCCCGCAGCGCCGAAAATTATTCGACAATTCAATTTATTAAACGACACATTTGAAATTATCACTTGCCCCTATTATCCTATCTTTCTCTCGCTCTCAGGCCTCCCGGTGCGCCCTTCGCAAGCGATCAACTTCATCAACCAGCCGGGCGGCCTGGTCGGGCTGAGCATCGACAGCTGCAAGCCCGAAGACGCCGGCGTCTACTCCCTGACGGTCGCCAACAAGCTGGGCGACGTGGAGTCGAAGGCGAAGGTCGAGGTGGCCCAGAAGGAGAGGAAACCGGCCTTCATCGCGGAGCTGATGCCGATCAAGGTCATCGAGGGCTTCCCCGCCAAGTTGGAGGTCAAAGTGCTGGGCCACCCCCCGCCGATTATCAAGTGGTGAGCAATGTCGGTATTCATTTCGCGTGAATAGCTATCGTAAAAGTCGCGGACAACTGGTGGACGCAAACGGTAAAGTCATTCGTTGTGGCGTTCTAAGGGGGAGGTCTCAGTTCAACAGTGGACGTCTTGCACCTAATGATGATGAATAATAATAATAATCATTTATTCCTCACCATAATCAACAAAAGTGGCTATAAACTAAGATAAATTATAAGATACGAACAAAAATACATGAAAACAGAAAACAGAAATACAAGAATAGATTATGGTGGATTGACACTTGAACTATGACGAATCCTGTGTCTCAAGTAATCAACCCTCCACCCCGTAACAGAATCTTTTAAAAGGTGTACCATAGTTACAAGTATAACTAACATTGGATAGATAACCTCGTATTGTATTAACTGGATTCACCAATCGTCGCCAGGTGGATTCGAGCCAGTTTGCCCAAGTTTAGGTCCCGGCGTCACAGATTTTGGCTCAACTCTGAACCAACAATAATATTGTTGTTGATGTGGGTGTTAGAGTAATGTTAAACGTTCCTCGAAACAAGACGTATTATCCTGTGTTTAAAAGAGTTTCACTCACCCAATTTACTAAAGCTTACCGAATTAAAGCGATGCAGCATATTCTGCTGTTGCACTTTGTTAAAAGCGAGACTGTTCGAAGTCGAAGTTTTATGGGAAACCAACGTAAAGCGCAGTATTTGTACCTTATCATTTTATTCACATCATCATTCATATAAAGGTTATCAGCGCATTTCAAATAAATATGTGTTTTAGATCATCTGTGGGCGGCTATAAGATATTTTAAAATCGATTCATTCATGACGTAGTTTTGGTAACATTAAAAACTGGCCAAGAGCGACTCGGACTCGCGCACGAAGGTTTCCGTACCTTTATCTATAAATACGGCGAAAAAAATAATGGAGCCCACTTTTTTTATTGTTTTTCAGTATTTGTTGTTATAGTGGCAACAGAAATACATCATCTGTAAAACTTTCCACCGTCTAACTATCACGGTTCATAAGATACAGCCTGGTGATTGACGGACAGACAGAGAAACAGCGGAGTCTTAGCAATAGACTCCCGTTTTGCCCTGCCTTTGGGTACGGCACCCTAGAAACACGCAGTCGAATTGAAAAGCTCCTCCTGTTCGAATTCGATCGAAAAGAAACCCTTACAGGACCCACAACGGCCAGGAAGTGGTTCCTGACGGGCACAGAGTCCGCGTGGTGGCGCAGCCGGACGGCGCGGTGGCCCTCCTCATCGCGGAGGCCCAGGCCCCCGACGCCGGGCGATACGGGGTCACGGCGGCCAACGACAAGGGGGAGGCCTCCTGCGCCGCCGAGCTCAGTGTTGCCGGTGAGTGCGCCCACTTGTCCACTCAACACGACGCCCAATACTTTATCACTTACTAGTACTTCAACGTTTATTGGACTTGACAAGATTTGTTCGTTTAGTTTAGACACATTTTTAATAACGGCCTAAATAGATTTGTAGTCTTGGCCGCTTTAGCCCCCAGCCCATGTAGTAAGTTCCAGCCGCCTCTTTATCAGAATTCATTATATATCTTGTTATCATTAATGAATTTTTTGTCACAATTGGCAGCCCCTAATATGTGGCCGCCCTAGGCCCGGGCCTATTGGGCCTTAGGGGAAATCCGCCATTGTCGGTTTCCTTTGGATTCGTAGTATTACTAATTAGTTTCTTGGTTGTCCGTTCCCTTGGGAACGAATAATCTATAGAGACTTAGATATTATGTGTGCCACAGAAGTATAACATTTTTAACTGTGGTAGGACCACGCAACAGCTCTGGCTGTTGCACGAATGGGCAGGTCCGTAAGGACCACGACCTCACACAAGACCCGCGTGTGTGTGCGACAAGTGGAAGTGTCATACTTCCGCGTTTCGTCTGGCGAGTGAGGTAGCCGGGGCCAGCTTTTTCAAAAGGTTACGCATCTGCAACCCTACATTGGATGTTGCAAATGTCAACGGGCGGCGGTTACCACTTAACATCAGGTGTACCACCAGCTGGTTCGCCACCTTCTCACATAACAAAGTTAAACTCAAAAGGCCGCGAGGACGACACCTCGCCCCAGGAGAGGCCGCGCTTCGTCCACGGCCTCCGCGAGACGACAGCCGACGAGGGGCAGCCGATGGCGATCGGCGCGCCCTTCGTGGGCAACCCGGTGCCAGAAGTCACCTGGACCAAGGACGGGCAGCGGCTCGAGCCCAGCGAGAGGCTGTTGCTCACCTGCGACGGCAAGCGGGTGAGTCCGACCCTGGACGTCGTTAAGCAAACTTGTCCAATACAGTAAAGTAAGGCAACAGCCTAGGCAACGTAGGCGTCTTCAAGGCAAGAGTGGATAAGCTTATACTGAGCTAGCGCGCTTACCATCCACGGCTGCATCGCCACTTACCATCAGGTGGGATGGCAGTCAAGCGCCAGTCAGTTCCATAAAAAAAAAGCCTGTTTATTTGACGATCCGATTGGTGTTTCGGTAGCACCTGCATCTCAGAAGGTTCGTACCCCACTACTGGAAAAATGTTGTGTGATAAAATGATGTGTTTTTCCAGTCTCTGGGTGTTTATTATTTACAAAATATATGTTTATACATTATTTACAAAATATATGTTTATACATTATTTATAAAATATGTATTTATTTACAAAAAAAAATGTTTAAGTATAGTCAGTTATCTGATTACCATAGTAAAATCTTTGCTTAGTTTGGGACTAGAGTACGTTGTACAAAAATGTGCACTAAATATTTATGTCCACTGCTGGGCAAAGGTCTCCTCTTCGCATGTAAATTAGAAAATTTTAAATAGATTTAATATGAAATATAAAAATAAAGCAGAAAGAGGAACGACGTTAATATTTAAAAAAAAACAATTTGTAAATTGGTTCCTGTCTTCGTTTAAACCCTTAAATAGCTTGTCCACCTCCATATTCGCTACCATTATTTTGTAATTACTTAATATTTGTTATGTTGAAAGTTGAAAGTAAAGCTGTTCGTTTATTATACACTTAAATGGCTTATTTTAACAATCTCTTTTTAGTGATACCATCGAGAAAAGATTCGGCTACAATGGTCTGTGTAAAGTTGAATGATTGGAACAAAAACAAACAAAAAACATACCTATTTGTCATTCTCATCCAGTATTTTATTCATTTTCAAAAGAAAAATAGAACAATGTATAAAAAATACATTAAAATTATGCTTAATAATGAAATAATGCATTTCACAGTTATGGTAACACATTCCCATCCAGAATCTTATTCATTGTGTGTGTCAAAACAAAAAATAGAAAATGGATAAAAATTACATTTTAACAATATATATTATATGGTTGCAAAATAGCTACAATGAAGATCGGGCTGATAGTTACCGAGTTAAAATAATCAAAATCCCCGACGATCCCATCATAGCGACTGATTGAGGATGTAACATTTTCTCAATAAACCGTCAGGTGGGGCTGGAGATAAACCCAGTGGAGCCGCCAGACGCCGGCGTGTACTCGGTGAAGCTGAGCAATCCCTTGGGCGAGGATACCAGCGAGGCGAAGGTCAACGTCCGCAAGATCTACCAACCGCCCACCTTCTCGCAGAAGTTCACCGACCTACAACAGGTAAGGATCCCGATGAGGATGTGGAGAATGCAATGGCACATAACATATTTTGTCTATTAACAATGACTTATCTCCCTTGACAGATTAAGCGATTTGCATGGTAATTGATTTTACCATCACCAATTATTGGTTTACACTGAATTTAAAATCACATGCCGTTGTCAAATTGGACAATTTTACTGATGTTATCGCGTTTTTATTAGATTTTTAAATTCCCGACGTTTCCAACCCCTTCATGGTCATGGATTGTGGCGGGGTTCGAAACGTCGGGAGTTTCATTTCATTCATTTCACAATGTATAATATTCGCGTAAGAGCGAGAAATCAATATCACACACTATTTTCACTCTCTTTCATTACTGGGTATCGTAACTGTACTCCAAAACCAGGAGCATACTGTTGAAATGCAAACAGATTTACACGAAAGAACGTCAATCAAGCCATTACCATTTCCCAACAACGCTTCTCGCCCAACCTCGACCGCTAGTCCAATTCGACACAAGTCTCACGGAATCTCCCCCGCAGCTGCCCTCGTTGGACGCAAAATTCTCGGCTCGCGTCCACGGCAAGCCGAACCCGGACATAACGTGGTACAAAGACGGCCAGCCGATCTCGCCTTCGGACAAGTACGGCATCAAGAGGGACGGCGAGGTCTGCTGCTTGTACGTGAGGGACCTCAAGCCCGAAGACGCCGGAAGGTATAAGTGCCTCGCCAAGAACAGAGAGGGCGAGGCCACGTGCGAAGCCACCTTGGATGTTGTGGAAAAGATGTAAGTGGAATATAGAACTCAGTACAGTATAGGTCCTTGACAAAACCTCGAGAGAAGATGTAAGTACAGTGTAGGTCCTGGACAAAACCTTAGAAGATGTAAATACAGTATAGGTCCTTGACAAAACCTTGAGGGAAGATGTAAGTACAGTATAGGTCTTGGACAAAACCTTAAATATACCTGTGTCAGGTCAAGCATTTAAGTTTTGTTTGGGTGAACATCATTGAAAAATTATGAGTGAACAACATCATTAAAAAATTATTAGCACCGCGAACTTTACAATCACTCGTTAGTCTCGATGAAGAAAAATCTAAAATGTAAATGAATTCTTCTTTTTTTTTTTCGACAGTAATTTTAAGTGATTTATAAATAATTTATATTAAATAACATTATCTGTACCCTGCAAATTGATATTACAGTTGTAAAGTAACAGCCTATTTAGGTCCCACTGCTGGTCAAAGGCCTCCTCTGTGCAGAGGGCATTAAGGATCATCTTCAAAAGTTTTTTTTATCTTATTATTTCGAAGCAATGCAGTTTTAGCGCTGAGCACGTGATAAGTCAGCACTTAAACTAACAATTTCATTGATGCCGGCATCGGAATTTGAAGTCAGATCGCTCGACGATATTGGTTCAAAAGCAAAGACACTGAGCTATCACGGCTCATATTTCAATACAATATGAATTGCTTTTTTAGACAATTACGCTTCGAGCTTCATCAAACTAGACTCGATCAAAGAAGCAAGAAATGTGAATGGTGAGAAGTGACACTCATTTCCCCTGACGAATTCACCTATTGCCAACAGAGGGCGCCAGGTGCGCGCTGAGCCACCGTCTTTCCTGAAGCGGATCGGCGACGCGGAGGCGGTTCGCGGTCTACCCGTCAAATTCACCGCCTGCATAACCGGCTCCCCTGAGCCTGACGTCGAATGGTACGTCCGGGTTACTCTCACGTGTAAACATGGCTGTTTCTTTAAAGAGACCGATGACCCCGCGCATTTGCCAAGCTCTTGGCTCCCGCGCCAGGGATCGTGGATTCCCACACGGGAACAACTATTCGTATGACCCATGGACAATTGCTTCGGATCTGGGTGGATGATGCATGTCAATGATGGGTGAGCTGGGTGAATTTAGTGGGCGAAACTGTCGCACTATTTTTCACTACTGCGCGGATTCGAACTTGCGCCTTCTGGATAACTCGTCCAGACGCTCTAGCCACTGAACGAAGTAGTCGAAGTCCTCACCACGTAAAATTCTCGACGTTTCATCTACTTTATTACTTTAAACACACCACGTAGCCTAGTAAAAGACCGTAGTCTTTTAGTTTTAGTATAAGACTGGGAGTCCTAAACAGTTTCAGAGTGACTAGCATCTGTTAGCTATCCCTACCTGTATAATGCAAAATCATTGTACAGCCGTAGATTGTAAATGGACTTGCTCTGCCAACTCGTCATTAGTTGATCAATTTGAACAAAAGCCTCCTCCTGAGAATGCCACTATAAGAACACTGCCATTTGCAGCTTCTACTGTTGCATGAATGAGCAGGTTTGCCCGGAGGAGTACCACGGCCTCACAGAACACCGGCGTAGTGGAACTACATACTTTCGTGTTTCGCCTGGTGAGTAAAGTAACCGGAGCCCATTTTTTAACGGTTGGCGACGCCCCCGCAATCCAGCACAAGTTGCCATGGGCGGCGGTAATCACTTAACATCAGGTGAACCGCCTGGTCGAATGTCGTCCGTCCATCTAGGGTGTCGTAGAAGACAACCAGAGGAATAAAACCGCCTATGAAGCTTAAAGAAACGCCCTTCCTCCAATAACCGAAAAGGCCTTCCGATGAAAAGAATTGAATCCATTCCCGAATCGTCGACGCTACATTTGTTAAACACACGCGCCTCCAGGTTCCGCAACGACGAGAAGCTGTTCCCCTGCGAGCGAATCCGCATGGACCAGGAGTCCACTGGGCTGCTGCGGCTCACCATCAGCGGCGTGGACCAGTCCGACGTGGGCGCCTACCGCTGCAGGATCTCCAACCCACACGGCGAGGACTCCTGCACGGCCCAACTCACCTACGACAGTGAGTACTTTGAATACAAGAGCACCCTCGAAACTAACTCCCATAACAGTCTCTAGTGTTATTTCATTTGGTGATTTAACTATTTGATCAGCCTTTAGATACGTTTTGTCCAAATTAGACGTATACATATACAGGTTGGCTTTTCTAAATGTATCCATTTTTTTTATTAAATTCTAGGCATAAATAATGTTATAAAAAATTATAAATATTTAAAATCACTCGCAATTAATTAAATACATTCATTTGAACTTATCTCAAAAGTGCGTGATTTATGGGGAACTCATTTATTTTACCCGCGATCATTCATAACTAACACGCACACAAGTTCGTGCACAGTAAAATTTTGCTATTTATGAATGACTACCACGTTACATTGTCAACACGTTCTATCTTTTAGGGAATAGAATGGCATTTTTTTTTTTTCAAAAAAAAATATACTACCGAGTCTGAACCTCCTGTGTAAATTTGGGCACTTCTCAAAAAATCTCCCTGTATAAAGAAATCATATGCTCTATTTATAAATTGCCGAGCACAAGTTTTGCACAGTTTTTTTTGCTTAGTGTTTAGGAATACATTACTTTTTAAACTTCCCACGTTGATAATTAAATTTTACTACGCAACGGAAACGTTATATAGTGAATTATAGTTATTAATTTATATTTATATATTATATTTGAAGTTGTATATTAAATAGTATGCAAGATAGTATAATAGACATTACTCGTACTAACAAGCAGTTTTGTACAAATCACATTCTCAAACAAAATTTTAATTCATAATAACCAAAAGTTACTACAGTTTATAGAATTTTTAATGCAATGAACTAGATGCTAATACCGTTCATAGATTGACACAGTTCTTAAAATCGAACGGAGATGCATCTCCGCCCTCGCTCCGTAACCGTGAACCCTTTTGCAGCCCTCGAGCCGTTGACGAGCAAGCGTCCCATCTCCGAACAGTACTCTGAGTTCGACAAGATGAAGAAGACCGGGGTGCCGATGCCGCTCGGCGACAAGCCCATCATATCGCGGATGGCGGATCGCCACCTGACCCTCTCCTGGAGGCCCTCCATTCCCCACGGGCCGAGATTCCCTGTCACGTACCAGGTAAAATATAAGTTATAATTTTCTATAAAGCTTCAGCATCACTCGTTGTTAACAATTATTATGATATTATTCATGGTTTTTGTAAAGAGGCTCTAGTCTTTATATTTACATTCGTAGTTCTGGGTGAAGGTCTTTTTTAAACGGTTTTATTTAGCTCGACCCGTACGGAATTTGTTTGTGTATTTATTTGGTTCAAAATTAGAAATTGAAATTTAAGCACCTTGCCGTTGTCAGATTGATCTGAAATTTGGTACACACATTTAATTTAGATGACAATACAATATTAACAAAAAAAAATTTAACAAAAAAAAAACAAAATAAAACCGTTTAACTTAAAAGTTTTTTAAAGTAATTATTATCCCATACGACCCGTTTTGGCTATAAATCAAATTAGCTTTTCAAATTATTATTTATTGGAATATTTACAAGTCACGCCAATTGAATAAAGTAACGTCATTATAGATATTCTATAAAAAACTTTAGAATAAAAAAAATATTATAAAAAGAGATATTTGAAATGAAACATTTATTTTTAAATATTTTTGGACACATTTTTACAACGTTCTCTAGTCCGAAACTAAGCAACGCTTATACTACGGGTAGATAACTGATAAATATTGTTTTTTTGTATTTTTCATTCTTTTATTATACATATATTAACACCCAGACATGGGAAAAACATATTTTTCCAGCAGTGAGGATAGAACTCTCACAACCCGGTGCAAGACGCAGGCTCACTACTCCTCTCGTCTTTTGAGTCGCCACATTCATACACAACTTCCTGTGCGAGTCTATTTATTTACATTACTCATATCATTAGATACGAAGCTCTTGTTCGGGCTCGGCGAGTTGCACATTGACTCGCCACTCCGACGGTTTACACTACTGTACTAAACACTAGACCAGTGTAAATCAGTCTAAACTTGTCAGTCAGTTGCAACGTGCCACACTGCCCCCAGGTGGAGATGTGCGAGATGCCGGACGGCGACTGGTTCACGGCGCGCACCGGCCTGAGGTCGTGCGTGTGCGACATCAGGAACCTGGAGCCGTTCAGGGACTACAGGTTCCGCGTGCGCGTCGAGAACAAGTACGGGGTGAGCGAGCCGTCGCCGTACGCGGCCACGCAGCGCTCCAGGTTGGAGCCCGAGCCGCCCAGGTTCGTGCCCTACCTGGAGCCCGGCATCGACTTCCGCCCGGAGACCTCGCCCTACTTCCCGCGCGATTTCGACGTGGAGCGGCCGCCGCACGACGGCTACGCGCAGCCGCCGCGCTTCCTCCGCCAGGAGCACGGCTCGCAGTACGCCGTGAAGGGCCACAACGCGAGCCTCTTCTGGTTCGTCTACGGCTACCCCAAGCCGCGGATGGAGTACCTGTTCGGCGACGAGCCCGTCGAGATCGGCGGCCGCTACGACTGGAGCTACACGAGGAACGGCCAGGCCACCTTGTTCATCAACAAGTGAGTGCGAGTGTATCTAAATTTGTCTAATGTTTTTTTATGGAAGAGTCCCTGATAAGCGGATGGTTCAACATAATCTATATCATAATAACCATTGTCGTCAAAATGTTCTTCTTCTTCTAATTTTTCCTCTTCATCATCAACTCCACCATCGCCTGTTCGTTTGATGATGACTATTTCAGCCTATTCGAGGCGTCATAGGTCTCCCGCAGTTCAAAATTTGGTTAGAAGGTGGTTTACGTGATTAAATATGATTACTGCCACCCAATGGCATTCACAACACCGGAGGGTTGCCAATCTCTAAAAAGTGTCTCGGATACTTTATTTACCACACCAGGTAGTAGTGTTATCTCTTCTGCAAACAGAGTATACAGCGAATCACTTTGTTGTTAACTTTCTTAGCAAACTTTCAGATGCTTTACGCAATGTATTAAATAGGAGAAGGAATACCTATTGGACCAAAGCTGTTGTATTTTCTCATCTTTATCAAACCGAACAGAGATAATAAAGTCTACGTACAACATTATACATTTCAAACAAAAATTATATCATATTAAATGAACATTTCATTGTTCCGTTATCCCATTTTTGTACTTCATTTATTCAGTGTACGTTTTTCTATCTACCCATTGTAAATATTTTAAGCTATGCTAATGTTTGACTATTTTTATCGTCCACATTAAAATTTTTAGCCTTTATTGAAGAACAAAAATGAAACAACTCACTTTCAGCTTTCTAAAACTGGAGATATCCGTCACGGTTTCCATTTACCGGCAGGTGAACCACTGGCTGTTCAACCACTTTAAAAAGTTCTTCCATGTCCCCAGGATGCTGGAAAGGGACGCAGGCTGGTACGAAGCGGTGGCGACTAACGAGCATGGTCAGGCGCGCCAGCGGGTGCGGCTGGAGTTAGCCGAGTACCCTCGCTTCATCACCAGGCCAGAGGAGACAGTGGTCCTGCAGAGGAGGACCGCCAGGATCGAGGCCAGGGTCACCGGAGTACCGTTCCCCGACATCAAATGGTATAAGGATTGGCAGCCACTTGCGCCCAGTACCAGGATTAAGGTGAGCTAAAATGTAAAACCTAAAATAAAATGTATTTGTATTTAATTTATATAGTTATCTGCAACCCCGGTTACCTCGCCCAGCAGACGAAACGCAGAAGTACAAAACTTCCATTTCAAGCCGGTTTTCAGTGACGCTGTGGTACTTCCCTGGAACTGGAACCAGCCCATTCTTGCAACAGCAAAGGCTGTAGCTTGACCCTTAGCGTTAACTTATGTTGATATAAAAAAAATTACCACGATAGACTAAATCGCAAAAACCAATGAAAAAGATTATTATGCAAAAGCAACAGCAAGCTCTGACAAATTAGGTTAGTTTATGCGAAATTACAAATATTGCAATTCAAAAATTTTAAACGGTTATATTGAATTGAAAATTTCAACCATGACATCGTCTAATTTCATTCATTATCTATAAAATATCTCACAGTTATTAGTCAGTCAGATCTTCCCGATGAAATAAAATCTAATCTACTACGCACTTTTAATATGGAAATGTTTCGTTATCCGAATTTGCATACGGAAACTAAAGCGAAATACATCGCGACACAGATGCAGTTCATCGAGCCGGACACCGCCATATTGGTGATACACGACGCCATCTTGAAGGACGAAGGCCTCTACTCGATTTCGGCGCGAAACGTCGCGGGCTCTGTCAGCTCGTCCGCCATGTTGCACGTCGAAGAGAGCGAGCACGAATATTCCTACAGGTGGCGTCATTGTGTTTATTTAATTTTTCTCATATTCTATTTTTAGGTACATGTGTTTAGGTTTTGGCTATGACATGTTTGTCAGGTCCGGAACAGTTATCTGTGTGTCACACAAATACATGTCCTGTATGGGAATCGGCGTAGCTAATAGCTTAGCAACAGTGCCACATCTCGCGGTCATTAATTTTCTCATGTCCCATTTAAGCACAAGATAAATAAATAGGAGATTGTTTATATAAATCTTTTGTATGTTCCCAGAATCCGCGAGCATCCGCCGCGCATAAAGCCGAGCACGAAGCCCTTCGGCGATTTCTACGACATAGGCGACGAGCTGGGGCGCGGCGTGCAGGGCGTCGTCTACCACGCCGCGGAGAGGCTCACCGGTAACTTATAGCTTACTGTGTATAATAAAAATATTACAGTTATAGCATGATATCAAGGGTCGGAAACTGGGAGGGCCTGAATCTGCAGGCAACCGAGGAAGCTCAGACTCTTAGTCCCTAGTTGTTGTTTCGGAGGCTATGGAGCTTTAAAGGAAAAACTACTGCCAAGATAACATGCAATTCACAAGCTTTCGACGTGATTCCAATCATCACAGCAAAAAGTTGCCAGTAATAATTAATCTACCAGTTTCTACTGATGTGGGTTTGTACTGAACACTCGAACACTCCCCAGGGCGAAACTACGCGGCGAAGATAATGCACGGCCACTCGGCACTGAAGCCGTTCATGAAGAACGAGCTGGACATCCTGAACCTGCTGAACGACAGGCACCTCGTGAGGCTGTACGACGCGTACGAGCACGAGCACACCCTGGCGCTGGTGCTGGAGCTCGCCGCTGGCGGGGAGCTCGTCCGCGACCGGTTGCTCAGGTGGGTTGGCTGGGAACACTTCTTTTGAGCGGCAACATTCACATTGATCGTTGTAGATGAATCACCCAAAGCTTTCTGGTTTCGCGCCCAGACGCTATCGACTAAGCTAAGCAACCAATACATGTACCTATAACAAACACGAGGAAACGCAAATTTCTTTACATACCCAGAGCTTATACGAATCACAGATGCAATTATTTCTTGATTACCTGGCTGCTAAATTTATTGATACACGAAATATCGACTCATTCTTCACCTCTCCAACTGTGGTCAAAGGAACTATCTGAGCAATATCTTTACAAAAATATTTAATTAATTATAAAGTTCTGAATATTTTCTGAAATGCTTGAAATGCTTGGGCTCGACTTTTCTTAAAACATAATTATGTACTAAAGTTGGAAATTTCTAAAGGTAGCCGTTATATATGCTATAATAATTTTTTACAAAAACACTTTTTGTACTTAATAGCTGTAAGTTTTCCTAATAAAATAAAATAAAAATAACCTCATGATGTACTTGCCACTTACAGGAGCCAGGGCTACACTGAGAGGGAGATAGCGGGCTACATGCGCCAACTTCTTCGCGGTCTCAAGTACATGCACGACAACAGCGTGGCGCATCTTGGTCTCACGGTGAGTAGGAAGTACCCCAAACAAAGGCAATGACGGTATACAGTAGCAGCCCAAATATACTTGAATCAAACTAGTTCAAAAAGACCAATTTAGTGTGTAATCAGAATTCAGATTACCGACAGCGTACTTAAAATCTGTATCGATACCAGAATATTACTTCGACCAAAAAGGAATTCGTCTTAACAATTTAAGTGATTTGAGAATTTGTATGCTGGAAAGGATATAACAATAGATGGCGCTAAGCATTGCTTCAAATGCTAAGAAAACAATGTAGAGGAATGTATGTATGCATGTAGAAAAAGTGCGAAAAGATTGTCGCCGCTGTGAGAATCGAACCCACGTCTTCGGCACGACTTCTTCGGGTTCTTTAATGTTCAATCTTAAGTGCAAAGATTAGCACTATAAACAATTTAAAATTTTTATTAAATAATATCTTTAAAAAAATTCTATCTGTAATTATGTACGGTAAGCTTAAGTGATAACCGCCGCCTATGGAGATTCACAAAACCTGTAGGGTTACAAACGCGCCACCTTTCAATAAACTGTGCCCCGATGACCACACTCACCGACGAAAACGCAGAACTATAACACTTCCACTTCACGTCGACCCGAGAGGTCGTGGTACACGCCGACGGCTGCCCATTCGTGCAACGGCAAGCCGATCCGTGAGGTCGTTGTACTCCCGGGTCTGCCCATTCGTGCCGCAGAAGACGTGGCCCTGCCACAGTAAGAGGTGGTTCCGAGCAGATCGGCGAGCTGCTGCTCTCGCACGCCGGCAGCGACGAGCTGAAGATCTGCGACTTCGGGCTGTCGCGGCGCGTGCAGCTGAACCAGCACGCGTCGCTCGCCTACGGCATGCCGGAGTTCGTGGCGCCCGAGGTGGCTCGAGGGGACGCCGTGGCCTTCCCCGCGGACATGTGGAGCGTCGGCATCATCGTCTACCTCCTGCTCAGCGGCCACTCGCCCTTCCGCGGCGCCAACGACCGCGAGACCCTCACCAGGTACTGCCCCGCTTGATGCCGTAAACATCAACCGTCTCTTTCTGCCGCAGTCTGCCATGTCTCACTTAGCATGGGCCAGAACAACAAAGATAATACGACGCTTTCGTCCTGAATATTTCAATAGGGCAATTAATCTTTCCGGATTAAGGAGTAGACGAAAAAGCATTGGTTATTAACTCGATTCAGGAAAGATTCCAACTATCTTCACTTTTAACTTAAATGTAAGGATTGAGAGGGCACAGACAGTAGTTACACAAGTAGTGACTGTTGCGAACCGTCGTTCGCAGGGTGCAAGAGGGCCGATGGGAGTGGCACGACGAGGAGTGGTGGTCGCGCCTGAGCCTGGAATGCCGCGACTTCATCAGCCGGCTGCTGGTGGTGGACTGGCGCGAGCGCATGGACGTCAACGCCGCCCTCGACCACCCGTGGCTCACCAGGGCCGACAAGATCTACCACGACGAGTACCTCATCACCACAGACCGCCTCAGGAACTATTACAACCAATACCGGTTAGTGCCGCCGCGAGACACATAAGAGAAGAAATGGCGGGAAAATTAAAGTCGTTATGCTAGGTTTCGTTTCACGTGCATTCAATTTATTAAAAAAATAAAGTAGAAAAAGCAAATAAACAACCATAAACATAATAGACAATAGTAGTAAACATATGATATATAAACGATGACTCCGTGGCACAGTTGCCAAGGTATTGGCTTCGGCGTCGGGGGTCGTGGGTTCGAATCCCACACGAGACAACTATTTGTGTGACCCACAGGTAGTTGTTTCGCATCTGGGTGTTTGTCCGCGTGAAATTTATGTTTGTAAAAAAGTCCCTATAACACAGCATAATGTTATCTATCCCAAAGTAAGGGCAATGTTAAAAAAAGAAATAAAAAAAAAATACATCACAGACGTTGTCTATAACAAAAATTGGTACTTTTTATATTTACCTATACATACAGTACCTATTAATTTACTTTATACGACTGTTGTGTGAAGTATTATATTCAAATAAGACGTCACATTTTGCAATAATTGACGTACCCCTCAGGGATTGGATGAGCAACGCCCAGTGTAGGAATTGGTTCAGACGCCGGCCGCTTTCCGGCGCCTTCGACCATCCCTCCAAGATGGTCTACCCACCCGGTGAAATATATACGCCTGAAGGTTAGTCAGTTAAAATGAAATACACTTATCATCTAAGTATTTCAAACAATCTTGCATTGAATATGAGAAAGATATGATCAGAAATTGTTTACCTGCTTGACGAGCTGGGCTTGAGCTGATTATTTTTGTTAAAAAGTAATGGCTTACCTTAATTGTATAATATATAATAAGTACATCCTGTATAAGCACGAATGTTTTACGTTACCTTGTTTTTTTTTTTTTTTTTTTCATACTAACAAAAGCGGCCAGAGCGGTCACCGATGTTCGTCCACTTATATTAGTTAACAGTACTGTATTAATTATTTACTATTTTTCAAATTATCTTCGTCTTAATATTAGTCTTGTTAAATGGTGATTTGTGCTTTATGGTAGTAACTATGTATACACGATTGATGATACTGTTACACGGTAAAACTCTTATGAGTTTATGTTTGTATCAGTTTAATAAGTTTGTAATTTTTCTTATATACAAATAAATTTAAAAAAAAATTGCGGTTTAAATACATCAAATAATTTATTACATATTCTCTGGTGTTTACAGTGTCTATTATTTGGATACTCAATTATTCCGTTATACTGACCGTTCCTAACAAACCCATTGCAATTTGTGCAACTGCAGTGCGAACAGTCTCAATTGGATCCCAATGCATATTAGCTTTATTGTCAATTCAGTTACTTTATTTATCAACAAAATAAACCAAGTCATTCTTACTTCGACTTATTATAGTTTTGAGATGTGTTGTTTCGCGAGAGGATGGACAAATTTAAAAGTTACAAATGGAAATTGGGGTCGTAATAAATCCTTATATACGTATGCAGGGTCTCCGGAGCGGGAGCCCCATCCGCGTGGGGCGCCTGACCTCACCATGCCGCAGTGGGAGCACCCCGACTGGGAGGTCTCCGCTAAATCGGAGAGCCAGTGAGTACACATGAGATTGTGCCCAAACCAATGCAAGCTTATCATACCAATTACTACTAACTGTAAAAAGTGAGTCTGTTATATTTTGTTTTGCTTATTAAAATGTATATAGAGGCACTATTAAGACTGACAGATCTTCGAAATTATGTTTCTTTAAAAGATAATTACTTATCAACGACATTATACTAAGCCTACGGAGTTGCATAATATGCGTTACCTTAAAAAAAATTAGCCCCAGTTATATCACTCGCCAGACGATATGCCAAAGTATAAAATCCACTTCACTACGGTCTTCTTTAATGCCGTGGTACTTCACCGGACGAGTCTGCCCCTTTCTGCAACAAAAGATGTTGCTGTGCGGCTTAACCACAGGAAATCGTTTGGGTATCGTCCCATAAGCTCAGTCGGCTACAGTGTCAGAGCACATTACCCAGATGAAGAATTTAGCAATTATTAAACTCTAGCCTGAATCTATTAAACTCACATTTAAAACATCCCACCAGCTACCAGAACGGGCCAGACACATACCTGCTGCAGCTGCGCGACGTGCAGTTCCCGGTGAGGCTGCGCGAATACATGAAGGTGGCCTGCGACCGCTCGCCCGCATACAATCTGAGCGTGCACGACGCATATGACCCAAGGGTGAGTTGAAGCGCTTTAATTAAGTATGGAATCAATACATGCAAACAATGATAAAACAACTGCGGTATCGCACCGCTATCTTAGAAGCTTCTTAAAAGCTGAATCCATCGGCAGACCCCCATCATTCGCGAGCGTCGCCGCTTCACCGACATCATGGACGAGGAGATAGACGACGAGCGACGCGACAGAATCAACAAGTACGGCTCCGAGAGCTATACCATCCGCCGCCTACGACACGAGCTGGGCACCAGGCTCGACAGCTACGCGGAAGCGCAGGCCCTCATGGAGTCCAAGAAGGACGGCCAGCTGCCCTTCTTCAGGGAGAAGCCCCAGACACTCCCCATCAGGGAGGGCGAGCCGGCCCAGCTCTCCTGCTACGCCGTAGGCGATCCGAAGCCCTCCATACAGTGGTTCAAAAACGACATGGTCATCGCGGAGGGGCAGCGCATCAAGATCCTTGAAGACGAGGATGGACGATCCACTCTGAGAATGGACCCGGCGATGCACCACGACGTCGGCTTCTACAAGGTGGTGGCGCGCAACAAAGTGGGCCAGACCGTGGCGCGCACCAGGATCGTGGAGGCGACCAACCCCGACGCGCCCGACAGCCCGACGGCGGCCGACGTGTCCGACACGGAGGTGCTGCTTAGGTGGAAGCAGCCGAAGTACGACGGCAACACCCCGGTGGTGTGCTACAGCCTGCAGTACAAGGAGGGCGACAGCGTCGACTGGAAGAGCGTCGCGGACAACGTCGACCACGAGTTCTTCGTGGTGCGCGGCCTGCAGCCGGAGACCAGCTACCAGTTCAGGCTGTCCTCGCGCAACAGGATCGGCTGGAGCGACAAGGGCATCCCCACCAACCTGATCAAGACGAAAGAGGCCGGCGCCCCGAAGATCGAAGTCACGAAGGCCATGAAGCACCTGCAGCAGCTCACCGAGTCCGGGCAGGAGGTAGTGCTGGACGAGGAGAGGCCAAAGCTCGACTACGGCACCGAGAACGAGCCGAAGGATTGGGACTCGAGTGAGGCGTTCACGGAAAGGTACAGTTTCGTGTCGGAACTGTGGCGGGGCAAGTTCTCGATCGTCGTCAAGGGTATCGACAAGACGAACGACAGCGTGGTGGTGGCGAAGATCCTGGAGTGCAGGCCGGAAACGGAGATACAGGTGCAGAGGGAGTTCGAGTGCTTGAGGAGGCTGAGGCACGAGAGAATATCCAACCTGTTGGGGGCCCATCAGACCCCGGGCTCTCCTGTGGCAGCCCTTATCTTAGAGAAGCTGCAAGGCGCCGACATCCTCACATACCTGTCAAGCCGACACAACTATACCGAACAGATGGTGGCAACGGTCGTCACCCAAATCCTGGACGCCCTTCAGTATCTGCACTGGCGGGGATACTGCCACCTGGACCTGCAGCCGGACAACGTCGTGATGGCGTCCGTCAGGGCGATACAGGTGAAGCTCATCGACTTCGGGTCCGCGCACAGGGTGACCAAGTTGGGCACCAGCGTGCCTCAAGTGGGCGAATTGGAATACAAAGGTAAATATCAAAACGATCTACAATTCCTTAGTGAACACCAAAAATGTAAAAATTCTTCTTTTTGTGAGAAGGTGGCAAACAGACTAGCGGTTCCCTGATATTAAGTAATTCCAAAAGCGGCCCATTGACATTTACAACACCCATAGGATTGCAGATACTTTGCCACCTATTAATAAAGTGGACCTCGGTTCCCTCCCTCACTGGAAGAACAGCAGAAGTATAACGCTTCCACTTCAGGCCGGTCTTCTGTGAGATCGTGGTACTTACCCAAACAGTCCCCATCCCCCCATCTCCCCTTCGTAAATAAGCTTCACTCAAAATTTAAAACTACCATATCCGTGAACCCTTTCTGAGCTCTCGTCTTCTAATTCGTAGCACCGGAGGTGATCAACGACGAGCCGGCGTTCCCCCAGAGCGACATCTGGTCTCTGGGCGTCCTCACGTACATCATGCTCTCTGGAGTCTCTCCCTTCCGAGGGTCTGACGACTCGGAGACCAAGCAGAACATCTCCTTCGTGCGCTACCGTTTCGAGCACCTCTACAAGGAGATCACGCAGGTTCGTCTACGATCCTCTGAAGTTATGGCCAGATTTATTGAGTAAGTAATAACGAGCCGTGTACCTAAGTTCGTCCGGTCGTAGGCACCAATGAAGTTGTTAATAACGCTGACTTATCACGTGCTCAGCGGTGAAAGAAAACATCGTATCGTAGGAAACCTGCATATTTTCGAAATTAAATTTGGTGAAATGGAATTTTGTTATTAACAAAAAAATATTTTGGAAAATATGTGAAGTCCACCAATCCGCAGTGGGATGGCGTGGTGGACTATGTCCTCTAAACAGAGGTGGCCTTTGCCTAGCAGTGCGGCATTTATAAGCTGTTACTTTAACACTTTAGTAAGTACTCAGATCAAAAATTGCCAAATGCAAGTGCAATCGACCAGAGGTTCTTTGGCCGCCACGAACCAATTGATCGTCATATATCAATTATATAATCGTGTACAATTCCCAAGATATATCGATACTGTTACCGCGTGCCAAACAGCTAAAAAAGGCCGACAACAATGTAGTCTTAACTTTCGAACCTAATTTTACACTGGCAACACAATCCTCTATTCTGTTCCGCTCCGTGCGACGCAGGAGGCGACCCGCTTCCTGATGTTCGTGTTCAAGAAGGTGCCGCTGAAGAGGCCGTCGGCCGAGGAGTGCCACGAGCACCGATGGCTGGCGCAGTCCGACTTCATCCACAAGAAGCGCGAGAGGGCAGTCTTCCTCGGCAACAGGCTCAAGGTCAGCGGACAGTTAACAGAATCCAAATAATAAATAATACGATTTTTTTATGTGAGCAGGTGAGTGAGCTGGTGATTAACCATATGTTAAGTGTAAACCGCCGCCCATGGGCATTTGCAACACCTGTAGGGTTGTTTGTCATCTACGTTACAAAAAGCGTTTATATATATTTTAATATTACAAGTGTGAATGTAAGTTTGCCTGTTACGCTTTCACGCCAAAACTACTCAACCAATTATCATGAAACTTTGTACACATATTATAAGAGGTATTGAAAGGGGCATAGGATTATTTTTATTAAAAAAAAGTATTAAAACATGTAGAAAAAGTACGAAAAGATTGTCGCCGCTGTGGGAATCGAACCCACGTCTTCGGCATTCGCGACCTAACGCTCTAGCCACTGAGCTAAACGGCTGATAGCCACAGCGACGAAAATCTTAACGCCTTCTTTCTACATTGTTATTTAGCATTTAAAGCAATTCTTGGCACATCTATTGTTATAACCTTTCCAGCATACAAACAATTTCGAATATCGTTTTACAACGATAATTCGAACGAGAGATGTCGCCATTGCTTTTTATAAATTTTAAAGTTTTTTATAGTGCTAATCTCTGCACTTAAGATTGAACATTAAAACATGTAGAAAAAGTACGAAAAGATTGTCGCCGCTGTGGGAATCGAACCCACGTCTTCGGGATTCGCGGCCTGACGCTCTAGCCAATAAAAGCACTATAAAAAACTTTAAAATTAAAAAAAAAAGTATTTATTTAAGGGCTTCAACGCGAGCGAAGCCCAGCCCTAATACAGATATTCTACACTGACGCTCTAATCTTTCAATAAGAACCGTGAAAGAATTCTGGAGCATTAACCAATCAAAAATATAACAAATATTTTTTCTAAATATGAAAGTCCCGAAGGCCGCTAACGATGCTTTATGTCGATAAGGTTGGCGTCGCTTTTAGGTGTCACGCAAATTCCCTCATAGTTGTTCCTAAATGCGCCAATAGAAGTAAAACTTCAGCAATCAACTCGTTTGTCATGATTTATCACGCTACAAGTAACAAAGATAACTGTTACAAATGGCAGGAGTTCTCCGAGGAGTACCACGAGAGGAAGGCGCGCGAGGCGTCTCAAGCCGACTCTGTGGCCACGGCGTTCGGCCAGCTCGCCGCGAGGCACCTCACGCGCTCCAACAGCATCCAGGAGGAGCTCCTCACCAACTTCTCCAGCCGCTGACCAACTCACCCCTCACTCCTCCTCACCGACTCACAACTCACGACCTCATGCCACCGCCGCCGAATGTTAACAGATAATCGTATATTTTTCTCTCACTCTCCAACGACCATCGACGAATTTTTTCACCCATGGGAATAAAAGGCATTGTTTATGGTGATCTTGATAATTATCATTGGAATTGAAGGAAATGGCGACTTAAACGAGTTATTTATTGTAAAAATAAAACTATGTTGTGGATTGAACGTTCAGACTTCAAAAATAATTACTGCTTAAATGTATTTAAATAAATTATATTTCAGGTGCAAGACATTTGCACATAATTTTATTACCAGTGCTACGAAGAAGTTTTAAATTACTCGTGTTATCAATTTTCATCTAACGAAGTATTCATTCATATTTTCATTTAAAACTCTAGTCAAGAATATTCGTAGCGACTCGATTTCTATGTTTAAGTTTATATTTATTGTATACAAATTTTTACTACTTATTTATTTATACCGATTGTTAATATTATGCTTCAGTATTAATGAAGTTAATAAAAAGCATTGATTTGCTCCAATAATTGCGATTTTATTCGACAAAATTTCCCATTTTTCCCATTCCAGAGCCGTGACAAGTTGGTGTCCGGGCGCTCGCTTTCTAAGTTCTAATCGGAACCTAAGTTCTAATCCCAGTGCCAGCACCGATTTGTCAATGTTAAGTACTGAATTCTCGCGTGCTCAGCGATGAAGGAGAACATCGTGAGCAAATCAGCGTATTTTCGAAATGGTAAAAAAAGTAACAGCCTATATATGTCCCACTGCTGGGCGAGGAGGCCTTCGCCTATTCCGCCTATTCGCCTACACAGAGGGTATCAGGGCGTAGTCCACCACGCGGCCCCACTGCGGATTGGCGGACTTCAAATATTTTCGAAATATATATTTTTTTGTTATTATTTCGAAAATATGCAGGTTTTCTCACGATGTTTTCCTTCACCGCGGAGCACGTGATAAGTCAACACTTAAAGTTAAAAACTTCGAAGTCGACGAAAATCGAACTCAGGTTGCTCGAGTATATTGAATTAAAGGCAAGCGCCCGGACACTGAGCTATCACGGCTCTTGGTAACACCAAAAAATATTCCAAAAATTCCGGAAGCCCGCCAATCCCCGGTGGATTGGCAGTCGCGTGGTCGAGTATATATTTATTTGTACAGAGCAGGTTTTAAAACTAGGGACGACTAGATTACCACAGGCACAAAGCGATATACTACAAAACGTGGGAGTTTATCCCACCCGGAACAAGTCTGGGTGATCTACTGAACTGGGTGTTTCACCTTTTTTAATGTGTCGTACAAAATCCTCTATCACAAAATATTTAAAATTCTCCATAAGGGATAATTTTTATAAAAACTAGCTTTTATATTACTGCGAAATTAGATAAATTTCCAAAAAAAAAATGTATACTCAATATATACTCATTTCCTTGTTCATTTCGTCCCGATATAAAACATCACCAAAGCCTTCATCTATTTTCATGAAATTTAAGGACTAAAAATAAAATTACTCATGAATAAGATGTCTACACTTAGTGAAAGTAAGAACATCAGTCGCTTAGCAGTTAGAGCGTCTGGGCACATTACCCGGAAGGATCCTGCATCACCGAAAGTTTTTAGACAACTTTTTTTTACAAAAAAAATACAATTCTTGTATTGTCGCTCCAAAATGACATAACGGTGCGGGGCTTATATAGAGAGCGAGTTGTGGTGCCATTTATTAACAATCACTTGAGTGAGTGCGGCTTTCATGTTTTGTAGCCTTCACTAGCAGGGACAATTTTTAGACCTAATAGAGTCAGTCGAGAGTGCCTAATTTATGATTTACGAAAGCTTTTATGAATAAATTCAATAAAACAAAGATTTCACATAAAAAGGATATATTACAGAACTTAATATAATGTGGTATTTTATCCAAATTCAGAGCAAACATATATTTCAATAACATAATATGCAATTGCTAAAAACCAAGCGAAAGAAATTTTAATAATTTCATTTTTAGTTATTAAAACTTACTACACTAACAATTTTTATTGCCTAATATCTAGTAAGCGGTCTATTTGAATATATACAGAATCAAACGTGCAAAAAAAATTTATTTCATATCCATATCTTTGTATCAAAGCTACTGCACTGTATATTCAATGTTAAGAATGCTTTAAGAATAAAAATCCATTAGACCTATTGACATTTTCTAATTATAGCAGCCGATATATTATAAACATGGTATACAATAGCAATTGAATAGGGAACTCCGTTTATTTATTGCTATTGAGAGACAGTTAATGAGGTAATAATGTATATTTAAAACATTTTAAATACTCGTAAGGCCAACAATATAGTTCAGCGGAGGTGGGTGAGTATTCAAAACGCGAGGACCGGCACTACACTCGGATTCTTAAACCCGAAACTACATACAATGAAAAGAAATTCTGGCAGACTGCTGCGATGATCTCGTGATGAAGTAGAACCTGATTTAGGTTACGACCTGTTAGATTCTGAATGATCCCGTTCCTCAAGGTCACTGGCAGTAATGAACAAACAGCTGATATGTATAATTTGTACCAAAATAAGCTGTATTTGTACAGCGGAACAAATTAATACTGCATACAAACAATTACAATTATAAACGAGAACTATATCCATTGCGAGAGCAGTACCTGTGTTTTTTTTAACCAACTTCAAAAAGGAGGACGTTATCAATTCGGATGTCTATGTATTTTTTTTTATGTATGTGCGGATTTGCAATAGTTTTATATCCGAAATGGTCACGTTTAAATTTCATATAGATCTAATGATGAGTTTCGTAGATATAAAACGGAACTCTTCAAAAAATGACAACACATCAACCGCGATTGCTGCTATCGCATAAACGTGCATTGCTTTTCGCTGTCACACAACATAAAATCGCAGGTGTACACTCGAAAAGGTTAAGCAGATGTATTCAGTATAGTTTTCAGCTATACTGAATACATCTAAGCAGACCTTTGGTACTATTTTCGTTTCGTACTAGATTATTTTACATATTTTTTAGAGTTACTAAGAAAGAGACTCCAAAACAAAAAATTTTAGCTGAATCAATTCATCGCTTAACCAGATCAAAACAGTTGATATGTTGCATAAATTTAGCGATTGCATCGGCATAAAACAATATAGGTATTTTTCTTTCTAAAAAAATGTTTTACTTCTATTTCTATTTTTCTCTCTTAAACAACCCATCATCTGTTTCATCATAAGAAAAAACTAAAAATAATTTTATAGCATTTGCTCCATCCATTCCTTTTACAAATAAAGAGAAGGGGGTAAAAAATGGACCGACAAGATTCATACTTCATGATTATTTATCTTTGCCCTTTAGTTAGCACAAATCAATTGAATGAATTCAATCCTCACATTTTGCTTACTCACTAGTTTTTAGTGCCCGGTATAATATACATTATCCATATATTTAAATATTGAAACATGAAATATTTAGATCTTGATAATAATTATGCAACTTTTTTTAATACATAAAGGCAAGACAAAAGCGACCAAAAATGAAAAAAACAATTGACAGCAGCTTTAATTATTGGTTTGGTAATATTACCAGAGCACAGCAAAAATTTATATATTGAGAAATCCATAAAACAGACACAAAACTATCATAACCTTTGCACACATTTTATTTACATATTTCAAAAAGGCAGGAGCGAAAAGACAAATCTTTGTCTAAATATATTTATATTGTTTACTGCATGTTTAAAACATTGATAGATATACCAAGACCAAAGAACTATGGTGAAATAACAGAAGAGAGGTTAAAAATGAAAGGTGAGTTTGTTTCCCATTTATAGGATAATGATAATCCCATTTGCTAAACAGGATGAACAATATTTGTATTTACCATTTTTTTACCTAATATTTACAACCATGTGCCATTACTACTCACCCATCACTACCATTACAAATGGAACTTTTTCTTCTATTTAAATTATACTTCTTTATGATAAAGAGTAAACATTTATATATTATATTATGATAAAACATTAGCATGGTATACACTTCTGGTGTACATATATACACAAAATGTTATGAGAAATTTCTTATTGATTTTAAAGTAAATACTTTAATAACGCAATATAATTTTATAGCAGCTTTAACAAATTGAAAAGCAAATTGTTTTGTATATTGAATAATAGGTTAGATTGCAAGATTTTAACTTCATCATAAGCCTATTGCAATGAAAGACCAATTGGAATTGGTTACAGGAAAACTATTAATTAATACAAAGTATCTTGAAAGTAAAATGGAACTTTCAATAAAATACAAATACAGTACAATACAAAATACATCATACATGTTTGAAATATATAATAATAATAATTTGGGGTTTAATCATAAACCAGGATAAATAAGATTCAAAATTCATTTATCTCAAATTGATTGGTGAGGTTCATTAGAGGTTATACATATTTATATATCAAGAAGCCCCGCAAAGCAGCGCAATGCCTAAGTAGGAATAAGTGTTTCTGATTTAAGGTTTTTAAGTATTCTGTACCAGTCTATTCTCCATCATAGTAAAAACGTGAGTTTCCTGTTAAACATAAATGCGGACTTTCATAATGCTAAATTGTAAGAATTCATTTTTTATTTTCAAAATCTAAATGTGTTTTACTTTGAAATTATTATTTTGGATATTTCAAATATTTTTATTCATAGGGAATAATTGTGAAAAGAGAAACAATTGTTCCCATAACATAAGCAATTACCAATTATTAAACATATTGACCATGAATTACCATTACCATAAATCCATTATACAATATTTGAGAATACCTTTAATTTGGCAGTAAATGTTTTTATGCAGTAACTGTCAAATGGCTCTTCAAATTTCATTTTAGTTGCCAAAAGAATGGTTAAACTCTCCGAGTTGACCAGAATTATCTTCTTAATAATCAGAATGATCAAATCAAAGAGTTTTACCATCCATTTTGGCAACTCAAATTACATTTGAAAAGCCATTTTACAGCTGATTACTTGACATCTACAATGATCATTGTTTCAGAAACCGGGCATCACTCATCAAGTATAATGGTTTACAGTTCAAATATGATACCTAACTCTTCAATATGTAGTTCAAATGCATCTTAGAAAATAAATCCCAATGAATTTACTTGAATTCATGAGAACAATACAAATTGTTGAGATATAGCATGTTTGGGATATTTATATTATATTTTATATTTCATATTATGAAAAATTATTTCACATTAATTTTAATTTTGTTATGTTATGGCTTATGGGCCAATATTATTTTTACAAGTATTAAAATAAAATCCATTGAAAATTGTTTCTTTAAATTTTTTATGTAAAAAATGCAACTGTAGATATAAATACTGGTATTTAAATGGTGCATACTCAATGAAGTAGACTCGTTTATATACTAGAACTAGTTATGAGTAGTATTTATAATAAAGTAATATGCAGATTTCTAAAGTATTAAGTCCATTAACCTTGTAACGTAAGAAAAACATGGAAGTCCATTAAATTATAACACTGGGTAAGGAGTATTCATCATTTAAAAAAAAATATCATTGTAAAAGTTATACCAGTTGTAAGAACATCCCCATAGCGGCCATTTTGTTTTTTACTAAATGAATGACCGACGGGTTAACTTTCCTCATCTCTTCCCCCTGGCCATTACAATATACTCCTGCACTTTGATTTGAAATTCATTCCTATTTTTCTTATACAATTCCGCTGCTTCTATATTAAGGGGGTCATCAAAATTAAGGAGATCCTGAAAATAAAAAATTGAGCCCTTTCAATTTTTTCATAAATTTTTCATGAATACTTTAAATTGTAATATCAGTTATTAAGATTGAAATTCATATATGTCTGAATCTTACACAAAATATACTTACAGTAAATAGGGAATTGAGTCCCCAAACAACATCTTTCAGTCTTCTAGTGGGAGCCCACCCGTGTTCGTCAATAGAAGTCTGTCTAAGTAGAGACAAGCAAATATCTCCATCTTCATTAATATTAGGATGCCACAACTTTGTAAGGCATTTTACTTTGGGTGGCTGCAATTATCAATATTATGTATTTTCAGTTTCAATATTATGGTAATATAATAATATAAAACCAATGCACACTATAAAAGTTATATTTACCGCCATATTATAATCCTCGGTTACGAAAACGCTAAATTTAAACTTGCCACCCAGCCAATAACCCTCATCAGGTGTGACAGTAAGAATAAACTCGTTTAATACGTTCGGGTCCTCAAAATGCACTGTGCAAGTTGTAGGTAGATTTTCATTCATTTCTTGTACCTCTTTCACGAGTAGTTTATCTCTAACTGATATCCTCTTGGGCACATCCACGGTTACACCGTTTGTGGTGTCTGAATTTTCTTTTTTAAATTTTCTATTAAGCGTAATCATTTTATTTACAGTAACTAACTTAGTAAGACATTGAATTGTCCGGTAATTAGAACATCAGGATAAATATTTACGAAACGAATAGCTATATCTGGCTAAAAAGAGCCAGATCTTCTTCAGATGCAATTTTGTTCGATTTGACAAATGTCAAAACTAAGCAAATATTGGAGTCTTGATCTTGAAGTGTAGAGATAACATGCGTTTCCAAATAAAAAAGTCAATTACAAAATAAACATGTACATGCTGAACTAATTTGATGCAATATTATCAGACTTGCAAGATATAATCGGCTATTAATTGGTATTTGGCTTATTCAGCAACTGTTCGCGGTTCGCATTTCGTATTCTACGTGTTCCCAAATATATTATTACAATTCTAAAATATTTACCTCTTATCTTGTTGTCTTATATCTTGTTTTAAAAAAAAGATAAAGCCCTTACTGTAGGATCCGAAACAATTATCTGTAGGCCACACAAATGGGCCCTCCGCTGTCGGTAAGGCCGCGCATGTACTCATGCGTGCGTTTAACTACGACATGTCATCTAAGGGCCATCGAAGTTGCAGTGCGGACCGAGACCCAGATGGCCGTCGACTGTGTTTTTAGCTAATCGGTGGCTGGGGACGGTGAGAACCGCCCTGGAACGCGGGTGTACCTTGTGTACGATTTGTGTTGGTCTCGCCGTGCATGGAGGCGAGGGCGAAGTAATGTCTTTGTTGCTATACTAATTGTGTGTGTACTGTTATCCGGCGGGACCCCCGACGGTAGGTCCGACGTACCTAAGTCCCCTTCCTCGACCGGGTCGATGAGGACGTTTCGCGGGCGACGTTTTTTGATGTTCGGGTTTGGATCGGGTTGGTAATTTGCTGTGCTTACTAACAGAGGGTTGGATGATGTTCGGCTCTATTGAAGAACCGTATGGTCAGGTCTTTGAAAAATTCGCGAATCGTCGGGAGTGTGCAATCGCTGTGCAGGTCGACATTGTGTTGATACCACTGCGCACCGGTTGCTCAGCGGATGAACTTATTTTTCACTACGAAAATCATGCATGCGTAGGACATGATTGGCCGTACGCAAGCTTTGTATAAAAGTAATTTGTGTCTTAAGGACATTTTACTTGACTGGTTAGCTACCTTCGAACGTTATGTACAACAGCTCTTTGTCAAATAATTTGCAAACATTCTTTATTTTGTTCATTTATTACAAAGTTTGTGTTATTGTTAATCTTTCGTTGTTGTAAGTCAATCTTTTAAACTAAAAATAAGTTTTAGTAAATTGTCACGAAGCCGAAACAGTGAACTTGATTGATTACGAGGATAATGATGAATCTTGAAATCGATTAATTTACTTGTCTGAAGCACATAATCTTATTTCTGAACGCATTTCAATTTTCATTGAGTTGTTGACAAAAATGTCAATAATCATGACATCATATGATACCGACAACGACAAACTCGCGTTTATTTGTACTCAATACTCATCTACTTACTCAGTACCCACCCATAATATGGTTTCAAGTTTTGAAAAAATTACAAAACGATAAGTCAACCGTACAAACAATATTGTATAGATTTATCCTTATTTGATTAGCAGGGATGGCAGAGATATCCTGGCCTTGGCAGTATAATTTTCCTCCCTTTTTTACGTAAGTAACATTTGTTTTATACATTTTGATATAGTCGAAATGAATTTTAATACAGTTCCCTGGAAATATGTCAACGAGGGAAATGTACACATTGTTCTACAAATATTAGAAAGCAATTACGTCCTTCGTTTAATTAAAGGAGAAAGTTCAAAATCACCAAAAATAAGTGTTTTTGAATCAATTGAATTCGTAAATTTCGTTATGATCCCTTTAATCTTCTTTGATTATCGTTATCAGGAAGAAATTATTGAACTCTCATCAGAGGAAATAAATGATTTAGTAGAAAAGTTGTTTGAATTTCGGCCTAAAAGTAGGTTATATAAATCAAGTTTATGTATGTTTGCAATTAAGGCACCAAATTTGGCTTTGATTACTGCAAACACTGATAATTATTGTATAGAGATAAAACCAAAAGAAGGGTTTCTTGCAAACAGCCTAAAAAAGTATTCTAAATGTTATTATTGCTTAAAACAATATATGAAGTACAATGACAGGAAGATTGAGAAAATTAGTAATTACTGTCCCTTAGACCTTTTTTCTGGCAATAGAAACAGAATGAAGTTTGCATTGGAAAGCTTAATTGATAATCCTCAGAATAATTTCAAATTCTTTAAGAATGGTGTCTTAATGTATGAAGAAAATGTACATAATAGTTCTTTCATTAATATGTTACAAGAACTAAATATTTTTGGAAGTTCTTTGAATTTATTTCTTGAGTTTATCATTGGAATATTACTTGGTGATGGTAAATCCGATATAAACATTTCCGAAACTGATTATACTAGTTTACAATCTAAAAGTGAACTCTGTAAGGATGATAGCAATTTGGAAAGGTATTCATTTATGGACAACCTTCTCAACTTACAAAGACTATCAGAGAATTATAGTTTTAATCATGACATAAACAGTAACAGCATTGATTATGTTCATACAATTTTAAATGACATTAAGTCACATGAAATGGACCTGAGAAATAAACACCACAGAGATATTTTTTTAACCAGGGAACCATTTCATTTAGCTCTCATAGCTGCCATTGTCAAGGATAGCTCTATAATGATTAGTTTTGTAAATAATGTTGAAAATGATTGCCCGAAAATATCTATTGGGGGAAATAAACTTTCTTACAAACTTGGTGTGACTGACTTGGAACCAAAAATGGTGAATGTTTTACAGAAGAGAAGAGAAACAGAGAAAAAGTTGCTTGATATTTATGCAAAAACTGCTAAATCTCCTCAATAACTTTGTAAGTATTGCTTACATGCTGACATGCTTTTAAACTAAGGGTATTGACTTCAATGACACCAGATTTTATTTATAAATTTATTAATAAACAATTTATATTACTGTTTATCTATTCTGCTACACTGCTGCTACATATTCTGGTTTCACATAAAGGTGATATCTCACCTTGGGAGCTTCATACAGTTCCAGTTTAAATTAGAAGATATACTCTTCTGCTGATGTAGATGACTGAAACCATTTGCTTAAAGCTGGTGACATAACTGCAATCTCTAGCGTCCTGTTGATATCTATGTGTGATGGAAATTACTGACTTTCAGATGGGCACGTGGCTTATTTGTCACTCTCTCTCATAAACCAGATGTAATTTTTGTTACAGAATACAACCACATGCTGAAACAAGAGCTAAACAACTAGAAGCATGGCAACAACTTATTACTGAATACTTGAAAACAACTAAACAATCAACCATAGACATAAGAGAATCACAGAACAGTCCACTATTTAATAATGCTACAATAAACAGAAAGCTATCACAGGAGTCTTTATTAACTATACTAGAGGATATGGCAAAGTCTGGTAGAGCTGCACCTGTAGACAAAAGTAAAAATATTTGGGAAGTATACTGGCACTCGCTAGATGAATGGGGCAACATGTTGTACAATTGGGCAAATAGCAACGGTCTAAACAATACTGTTTGCACATTGTATGAATTGAGGGAAGGCGATAATACAGTTGGTGAAGGTATGTCTTTTAATTAAAAACATAATAATTTAGAATACTGGTCCTAATTGGGATGTTAAGCTTTCTATGTGCCAGAAGGTAAGGGTAAACAAATGTGAAACAGTGATTTTTATTCATATGAACACCCGAATGAATTTTTCTTAAGTGTATGCCACTGGAATTTAAACATGGGACACTATATCGCAAATTCAACTGACAAATCCTTCACCACCTTGCATCACTATTAACATTTGAATTACTCTTATCCTGGAATGTTTGATTAATATGACAATATTTAAAATAAAAATGTAAATATAACCAAATATGTAATTAGTTATCAACTGTTTCAGAGTTCCACGGTCTGGATTTGAATGTCCTAATTAAAGCTTTAAAGTCGCTAGAGGTTAGAGGCAAATGTGAATTAATAGAGTTTGATGACAATCAAGGTGTAAAGTTTTTTTGATGGTTTCTGCAATTGTTAGCATCGAGATTAATGAATTATCAATGTAAAGTACATTTTATTTTCGATATAAAAATGTTGAATGCATTTTGTTAAGTTGTAACTATTTTGTAATGTTGAAATATATTGCTTGATATTTTTAAAGTGTGTTTGATTAAAATCCAAAAATGTAAATGAATGTTAAATGTCTGTAAAAATAATAATGTAGAAAATTATGGTCAAGCGAGCCTTTCTTTGTGTAACTATACCATGAGAGATGATTTTGGAAACCAAAGATTAGAAAATTATTTTTTTATGTGAGTTTTACTTCCTTAAATTTTGTGAAATTTATGATCCTTAAATTTTTCGTTTATATGTGTATTCGCTCCGTCTCTTAAAACTCCATGTCTAAAGGGAGGAGGAATTTGCCCACTGTTGGGCAAAGTTCTCCTCTCTTTAGAAGTTGCTGGACAAAGTCCTCTGTACAGACGGTATTAGGTCACCATGCGACCCCACTGCGAATTGGCAGAGTTCACATAGGTATTTGTGATTTTTTTTTACTACTATTTTGAAAATTTTCCTCACAATATTTTCGATGAGTACGTGATAACTCCGGGCACTGAGATATTTTTAGTAATGTAGAAGGCAAATTAGAAAGTCAAATACGGTGTTCAAATTTTTATTTCTTTCAATAATTGTAAAATTGTACAACGTCAAAACCATTCCCATAACTATCTCCTTTAATTGTGTAAAAGTCTACAAAATGAATTCAGATGTTAATTGATTGATTATTTACAAATAAGTTAGTATCTTTGAATAGATACTTATCAAGAGTATCATCAAAGATTAGCATGTATCTATGTCACAACTTTCATTTTTGTTGTGAGTAACATTTTACCACGGGACATACAGCGTGTCTTTACAATCGCGACAATAAATGAACAAATATATAGAGGATAACTTTTTAAAATTGAATTAAACATTTACATTCTTTAAACATCAATATTTACAGAGTTATTAAATTTTCCAAAACAAATAATTTCAGAACACCTTACATATAAAACTGTAACGTAAAGTTAATTTGTAAAGGTCACAAAGCATATGAATGGGTTGAATGAATTTAAAAGAGATAAAACATACTGTTAGAAGGAGAGGCTTGTAATGCGATGCTGTGACAACGAATGAAAAAGTCTCGGAATGTATGAATCACTCAGTTACAGTTGTATAGAATGTTACAAATTTTGTTTCTTTTTTACTTAATTAGTTTGTTTGAAAAATATTTTTTTTAATTATGGATTTTTTAACGTTAATGTTTTTTATGATTATTGGCAAGTAGCGTTAGACGTGTGTTGATTTATTGTCGCGATGGTAACGACACGCCGTATATTTTTTTACCGCAAGTGACATGTCAAGTATTTAACCATTTTTGACTTCCCTATTCTGAAAAGACAAAAAGAAACTCTTTGTAGAATCGTTAAAAAACCAGCGGTAAGCGTTTTTTGTGCAATATAATTTTATATGAGTAAGCAGTATGGTAGGCAATTACAAAGAAACTATCCCATATTACTACTCCTTAATATATATAGGTAAACTACCAAACAATCAGTCTTTAACGAAAATACATTTATAATAATTATAGACTATGTACAAAGATTGTTTAAAAAAATCAACAAATAAGTTATAAAAACACTGTACACGACTGTACTTATATACGAAAGAGAAACTGAAAATCCTTAGCTATCACTATCGTAATTATGTTATTAAAATTGTGCCATCGCGATTGTACTCTATTGTAACAATATACATTACATTAATAATACTTGCAACATGCATTCTAGTAACAATACACGAGTTCTAAATACAAATTACCAATACATTTAAAAAACATAACCTCACTTTGAACGACAGATTGCATTTTGGCGCCATAGTTAACTAAAAACAGTTCTATCCTAACATGTACCAGACATTGTTGTTTTATGGTCATAAATTATTTCAATATGATCCAAACAAACACATAAAATTCTAGTGGTGATTAAATGATTGACTTTCTAAACAAATACAATCATATCTAAGTCATCGAAAATCCCGTTAGAATTATGTTAAGAAATGCATAGTTTTCACCGTCATGTTCTAAGATCTTAATTTTAATATTTTAATGCTTATTGGCACTGTCGTTCTTTCTGTCACTTCATCGAGCTTTGAATTTAATCAAACATCTCTAATCAACTATCCCTTAAGCAGTGTCCGTCTACAAATGGTCGCTGCACTCTAATGCAGCGTTGCAGTATCCGTTCGAGTGCGGCGGTAGGCCGTTGGTGAGGTTGTCGGTCCCATTGGCGATGGTGCTCGGTCCCCTTCGGCCGTCCACTTTGTCGCGAACCAGTAAGTCGACAGGGGGCGCGCCGTTGCCGCTCTTGGCGCCCGGCGGCCGATAGAACCACCACGCGAGGAAGAAGAACACAACCGAACAGAGCTTCCCCACTAGAGCCAGCGCTAACATGTATCTGGAAAAGAAAATATAAGACATTTCGTGGGTGTGAAGATATTTTTAGCTAAGTAGCTAGAGCGTGAGGTGCAGAACCTCACAACGGCGAAATACTTTTCGGTCCATTTTTCTACAAATTTTTAAATTTCATCTTAAGCGAACTATAAATTAATGTTCTTTAAATAGGTTATTATTCAATTCCTGTATTCTTGTTTATCTTTAAATGGTATCATCGCTAGCGCTTTCCGGAGCTTCGTGTTTAACTGCGTCCATGGTTATAGAATAGACTGATAGAGAGAGCATCGGGAATTTATAAAACGAATTAAAGCGATAAGATAAATACTGTAAAATAGTTTTGTTTCATGAATTCGGGAACTCGGAGACTTCTTTCCTCACTAGGTTACTAGGTTGAGTCTTTTGTTTACAATCGGTACAATTTCAAGAGCTTAAAATTCCACCATCCAGGAAGACTGTCCCTAGTAAAATTAGAGAGAAACTTATAACGCGGTTTATATTGCAGCTGTGATCATTAATTGAATCGGGAGACAATTTCACAATTTATCAACCAGCCTTTCAGAAGACCAACGGAGGTTAGCATTCCGTCTGATGGGTGAGGTGTGAAACTGCTACAAAAGACTGTAAGGATATTAAACCTGCTCATATTATGGTTGTCGTAGAGCAGGCACGCCCCCGTAGTCCCGCAGGTCTTCTCCCACAGCGAGCAGGACAGGTCTATGAGGAATCCGAACAGCAACGGTGCCGGAATAGTGCCCAGGAGTCGAACTTTGATCCACTGGATGCCCAGCGCGAAGGACCGCTGATCCTCTCGCACGCATCTACGAGAAACATGATATAGAACAGAATATAAATTACGATATAAAAGATATTGAAAAATATTTTTTTTGTTTCATCACATTCTGCCATTCCGTATAGGTATGCAAATTCTGCGACACACATACATTGATCAAAATTAATTTACATTTCTCACTGCTCTAAAATTTTTCACAATTTCATTTTCATAGATGATAAAAGAAATATACTTATACAGATTTATCCATCTATCTATTCAATTGTTATGAAACATTCGTAGCAAGTTAACTCACCTCAGCGTTGCCGACAGTGCCGGCATGGTGGCGAGGAAGGTGAACAGCATGACGCAGAAGGCGAGGAACACGAATGCCCAGAGGTATGGGCATTGGGAGCTGCATACGCTATTAATAGCGTCATACGATGGTTCGCTGGCTAAGCCTGTAAGATATTGTCACGAGGGTTTATTTTATCTGCTATTGTACCTTATGGTTGTATTCTAATCACTGGCAGGCAATTTTCCATATCAAAATCTTTATTCTTAAGTCTTCTTCTCTGGCAGAGGCCCTTGTTGAAATTTTAAAATTCCTTTCATAATCGTGGTCCATGTAATTGTAATTTCTAATGCTTGCCTTAAACTTTTATGGGCGACATTAACTACAGTCGGTTCGCTCCTTCAAGCTAGAAGAAATATTACTTCAATCATGGTCATCAATGTAGGTCAGTGTCCTGGCTCGCTTTTAATTCAATTTGCTTGACCAAATTGAAATTAAATGTCAATGCCGGCACCAAAGTCATTGTCAATTACAATTTCAAGCGCTCATTTATCACTTGCTTATCGGTGAAGTAAAACAGCATGAGCAAATCGGCATATATTTAAAATAATAAAAAAAAATCGAAAATATGTGAAGCCTATGGGATCCGGGGTGGGGTCGCGTGGTAGAATTGTCCCTGTCAACTCCCCTTGGAACCGATCGCGGGGCACGTTTGAGCTGTACGCGCGACAGTAAGAAGGGGCTCTCAGACCTGCGGGCCGCACGCAGCCGCAGTCGCGGTAGAGCTGCGCGGGCCCCTCGCGCGCGGCCGCCCTGCAGCCCGCGTGGCACGGCGAGTAGTACACGAGCCGGTCGCGGCCGCACACCGGCGCGTACGCGGCGCGCTCGCAGCCGCACGCAGAGTTGCACTGCGCGGACAGCGCGCCGCCTCTGTGTTAGGGACGTGCCAAACGACCGAGTCATCAGCATTCTGACAATAACTGTTGCCGCCTCTGTGTGTTAGGGACGTGCCAAACGACCAAGTAACGAAGCATTCTGATAATAATCTGGTCACCAAATGTCGACACAGGCGAATAACTCGTCATGGTAGCAATCACGGACAGATTTGCTTCTCCCCTAGCAAAGGTGTTGTGTCTAGTCTCAAGACGCTACACGGAAATGCATTGCCGTCGCTGTTAAACAGCTATCTGCTATAAACCTGCCACCGGCAGCTATTTTGCTATGTAGCAAACTGTGGTCCACCGACCAGGGTCAAAAATCGTTCAACTATTGTAGAATTGAACAGAAATGGCAATGGTGAACAAGGAAAGGTGTGGCATTGCTGTGCTTACCCGGCCACTGCGGTGCTATTGTAGGGTACGGTGACCCCGGCAAACGGGTAGTCGTCGCACGAGAGCACGAAGGATACCGTGAAGACTGCACCGATCAGCGTGGAGGCGACGCACAGCTTGATGATGCCGGCGCAGGCCAGCCGCCATCGCTTCACCAGCCAGCCGCCAGCGAAGGTCCCGCCGCCGCCCGCCGGCACCGTGATGACCCCTATAAATCCAATCGATGACTCCGTGGCCCAGTTGCCACGGTATCGACTTTCCAACTGATCAAACTGTGGTAGAACTACGCAACAGTTTCGGCCGTTGCACGAATGGGCAGGTCCGTCCGGGTAAGTACCACGACCTCACAGAAGACCGGCGTGAAGTGGAAGTGTTGTACTTCTGCGTTTCGTCTGGTGAGTGAGGTAGCCGGTGCGCACTTTATTAAAAGGTGGCGACGTATATGCAACCCTACGGGTGTTACAAATGTCCATGGACGGCGGTTATCACTTAACATCAGGTGAACCGCTCCGCTCGCTTTCAGGCCGCGGACTGTACACAGCTTTATTTGAGGCAGGGCTCGTGGAAATGATAAGTTTTCAAGTACTCGACTTTGGGCTATTAGTTCAGTCGACTGATGCCTTATTCTATTCTAGTTTGATGAAATAGAACGTTAAACGGAAACCGACCTAGTTATATAACAGATAGAGAGTTGGCGTGGAGATCGCCATACACAATATTAACGTTGTCAAACTTTCCACTTCCTCTGTCGAGTTTCTTTTTGGGTGGGAATTATTATTTCCTAATTATATCGGTATTTGCGTCATCTATAGAGTGAAAGCTAACAAAAAAATTAAAAAGGAAAACAGTATAAGATTCCGTATAAATTTCAAAAAGTTCGTAGATATTTCTAATAATCTAATAAAGATATTATTATGTTGGGATATTTCTTTGTTTTCTCGTCTGGTTGGGTTTATAGATAAAAAATAAACATAATATATATTGCATATATAAAATAAATATTATGATTATTAAATTAAATATTATTATTATTATTATTATAATCGACCAATTGGTATGAGAAAAAGAAACGCAATACCTAGCAAGAGAGCAGCTTCGGACGCGCTGACCGCGAACTGGTTCTCTATCAGCTTGGGCAGGAAGGCGGCGAAACCCGAGATGAGCATGCCCTCGCTGGCGCCGGCCAGGTTCAAGAACACGAAGGTGGGGTTCCTCATGAGCGCCGCCGCGGCTCGGGGCAGCTCGCGCAGGGCGCCGAAGGCGGCCGACTTCGACGCGGCCCCCTCGTGGGCCTCCGACACCTTGGATGCCTTGATCTCGGCCGCGCCTGCAAGGCAATCCGTCAGGGCAAACACCTATGGCAAGTTGAGCAAGAGATGATGCCCTCTTTTCACTCTAACGCGATGATTTTTCGGTGGTAGGGCTACGCAGCAGCCTCGGCTGTGCCCTCTTTTCACACGAATCGGTGGTAGGGCTACGCAGCAGCCTCGGCTGTTGCACGAATGGGCAGGCCCGTCCGGGTAAGTACCACGACCTCACAGAAGACCGGCGTAAAGTGGAAGTATATATAACACTTTCGCGTTTCGTCTGGTGAGTGAGGTGGCCGGGGCCCAATATTCAAAAGGTTGTCAACGCATCTGCAACCCTCGGGTGTAACAGATGTGCATGGGAGGCGGTATTCACTTAACATCAGGTGAACCGTATGCTCGCTTGGCAACTTTTCACTTAAAAATGAACTGAACTATACATATTAATTCTCAAAGGTGCATTTGTCGGTACGCCATAACTTTCACAATTCTTTTTTCAAGTTTCAAAAACACCATTGTAAAGGCAAACATAATTGCGGCTATTGATGATAAATAGATGAGCAGAATAAAGTCATAAAACAACCATTCGTTTAAGTATTTTTTTATTAAAAATGTGTGCCATCTATCTACATTTTGTTTAAATTTAAAATAGCGAAATAGACAGAAAAACTTATTCTCCAAAATTAATCACTCTTCATTTATAAATATTATTTAATTCAACTAACTAGTTGACCTATGACAAATTAGAATCGCAGAAAAACATTAAGAGTACCTACCTAATTGGAATTTAAGTTAATATTTCCTAAGGAGAATCTATTACAGTCTACTTTTCCGTTCCTATTGATAAAAATAGCCGCTGTGAAAAAAACGGTGACACCAAAATTCAACACCACACAATACATAATTTGAAAGTCACAGTTTCTTTTATTTACATGAGTAAATAAATTCTCTAGTAAATTCCGGGTATTCCGAGGAAATAAGCTGTTACCCTTATTTATATCTTTCTTTGTAGCTAGTAATGTCTACTAGCTACGCAAGATGTACCAAAACCAGTCATATTACATTTTCTGGAATAAGAAACCAGAAACAAACCCAGTTTTATGTACATACCCGGCAACTCGTAGGGGAAGGCGAGCAGTGGTACCGCCACAACCACGCACAAAATGGCGGACAGAATGAAGCCCACCCACCACGCGCCAATCCACACCGAGCTCTGGGCCGTTATCCCGATCCTGGAGCGATATCGTCAAATCATACCCAAGCCCAAAGATTAAATGCTCTCGATTCCCACCGACATCATAGAGTTGTGATATAACTTACTAGCTGCTGCCCGCGGCTACGCCTGTGTAGAATAGGCTGAAGGCGTTCAGACAGAAAGACAGATATACATAAAATTAGTATATAAATTATAGCCTATGTCTTATTCTGATATATAAGCTATATTATTCTAAACTTTTATTAAAAACCATTCAGCAGTATTTGCGTCAAAGAGTAACAAACGTCCATCCATACATACAAACTCTCGACTTTATAATGTTAGTAAGGATTTAAATGTAAATGTGCACATACAAATTATAGACATACATACACTCTGATCCTTTGGTTGAAACTCGGGCGGGAAAAAAAACCAAGTCGTCAATTTCAATGTTAAATACTCCTATAAAGAATATCGCATAAACTTGTACTGCACATATACAGCAACACGTTTCATCTAAAAAAGATTTACTCTAATAAGTCCTATAAATATCTAAAGGGTAGTGAAAATGAAACAGCGGTAGGAACAAAACATCGGACAGAATTAAGTCCCTTTCTCGCCACGAACAATATTCGAATTTAATTAAGGAGCACTGGGATCGCATAAATCGCTAAGCAACTTCGAACGGGACGGTGGGTAAACAATAGCTAAGACGGCGGGAAACCATTGTAATATCCGGCGAATATATTTAAGTCGTTTTCCGTTGATAATTGGACGGCAGCGCGGCGGCTGCTCCCGGACACTTCGAAGTTATATCGGCAGTCAATTTCGAGGGCCCTCGGCCACGCAAATTGGGCAACTGCGGAACCACTTGATGAAATAGAATAACGGAACCGGATAAGAGAATTAACAACAGAAATTCAGAGCACTCGTGTTATAAGCGCGAGTATCGGGTGTTCAAATATAAAGTGGAATGGTTGGCAGTTGACCACATGAGTGGTTACCGCCACCAATATACCTCAACAGTACCTTTAATAGAGGTTATGATATGATAGGACCTCAGCAATGCATTTAAGAGGATACGCTTCCGGTTATAATTAGTTCGTAATTGGACAAACAATTAAGCGAATTTATACCAAGATGGAGTTAAATATATCAAAGTTATTCTTAGTTGCTTTATTTTCTCGAACCCCTTCGCATACTGAAATCTGGCTACGCGCATGCACCCAGCGGAAGGAAAATAGAGCAATCAGCACGAGAAAAAGTTACCGACGCGCCCAGAAGGTTCGAAAGCCGCGCAGTCAATTACACGGCCAATTAATAACCCAACGGAACGAGTCTAAAGCCGATGACGGAGCGCTCGATGCTTCACCGTTGGCGAATTGCCGCCGAAAGGGCGCTTTGATTATGTCGAAGTTAAAAGTGAAACCTTAGCAAAGAGGCTCGCTCGGGGCCCGCCGCGCGTAAAATCATATTTCGCCGCGGAAGCCGCGAAAGTACGCGGGCGGCGGAATTAATTCGGCTGCAAAGTTCTCCCCGGGCCCACAATGCTATGAAAGCGAGAGGGCGACTCGGCTGAATGAAGCCATGCCGTTGCCGAGGTTGAAATATTAAAACGCGTCAACAAGACGCGGCCGGCGCGGCGCGGCTGATGGCGGGAAATCGCGAGACGCCGCGCAACGAGCCAACATACGTTCTGTATTGTGACGTTGAAAGATTCTTTTTTGTTAATTACGAACTGTCTAGTGCCTAACGGCCGATTTCAATATTTTACCTTCATATAGATTTGGTTACTAGCCAATATTAATATTTGACATTACCTCCATGCTTACCTCAAAATTCTATGTCTCTAGACAGCCAAAATCTCTTTCTTTTTTCATTTCATTTCTTCTCTCTGTAGATAGAATACTGAAATCGGGCCGTAAATGTACCAGTAAAAGCCCATTTGGTCTATTTCTAATACAATACGTGTATATTTATACATTGTTAGTGTATATATAAGTTAGCAGGCACTTACGTATCCGAGTCGACTGTTAGGAAGTCTGTGTAGATGTTGAGCATTTGTCCTCCGACCACATATCCCAGCGCTGGGCCGACCACAGCCATGGTGTAGTATACACCTAAAAATAAATATGTGTGTATTATAATCTGACATTGTTGCTTCCCTCTCAGATAGATGGAGTTAATTCTTAGTTAACGTAACTTCTCAGATAGTTAGTAATATTGCTGCAAACGTTGAACCATAGTTTCAACAACTTATTTGTTGCCACTTTTTAATAGAACGGGTCCCGGCTACCTCACACACCAGACGAAAAAGATTATACTTCTGCGTTTCGTCTGGTGTGTGTTCTTTTACTTCCACTTCACGCCAGACTTCTGTGAGATCGTGATAGTTACCCGGGCGGACCTGCCCATTCGTGCAACAGCGAACACAGTAACACTTCCACTTCCAATTCCCACCGATGTTCTGTGCACGATCAGCAAAAGCTGCTGCGTGGCCCTACCCAGGTGATGGTATGTGAATTTAACTTCAATTGGTCAATTTGTTCAGATGTTATGCGGTCACTAGCACACGCCGTAGCGGAAAATACGACTTGCCATTTCCGAGGCTCTCCTCGAGTTGGCTTTGTCTCCACTATTGGTAATAATTATTCTTAAAAAATAGTTAAAAAACCTAAATCAACATTTAGTAAACAGAGGACAAACTTTGACACTTTGTCCTCTGTTTGTCAACTAATTTTCTTTTATTCCTTTTTATTTAGTAAAAGTTTTTGAAACACAAATTCCCGTAACCTTTATCCTGATCCTGAATTATTTTGTGTAAAAATATTTGAAAAAATAAATGTATTTTTAAAGATGTAATATGTGTCTTTATCTTTTCATTCATGATTATGGTTGAACTCTACCTCTGAGTGAAGACTAATGTATATTTAATCTCGGCTGCGTAAGTACTAAACTAAAATCATGTAAAACTGACCAGCGATTACTCATACAAGAGCGTTTTAAGTACACACACATATGTATATCGCTGTAGAGATTCGCACGCTCACAATACACACGAGCCATTGTGCGTGGTGAAAGGAGTAGCGTTTTAAATAGGAACCCATACAGTTGGAGTGCGGAGGGCACGGCACTCTTTGTGGCTGTGCCTCCCATGGGAGCGGCAAGGCGTGCCCTCCTGGTCAAAGGCCCGTCAACAGTAGACGTCTTCTGATTGGCATACTCCATCATCGCTGCGTATAACGCTCTCAAAAATTTAAACGAAAACTGAAGTGTTTTCTGTTTCCCAATCACGTTTTAGGTTAGCTTAGTGTAAGTGCTCTTTTTGAGTAGGTTTTAATAGGGGTTTGATTCGCGTTGCTAACGTTAACATACAGGGTGACTACTACTGGTAGAAAAGTGTTCTGCATAACATTATTCGGGCTGGAATAACACACGGATTACAGATATGTTACATATTCTCATTTATGGTATATACAAATATTTGAGCAACTTAGCACGTATATTGAGGACATAACTATTCAGGAAATGTTTATAAGATAATACGTAACTAAGCTAGATTTACTATTAACAAAAATATAATCTAAGTGACGCGCAAAATATTGATCGATATGGTAAAAGTTGACAAACATAAACAATTTGTACGAAGAAATGTAGTGCTTACATGGAAAAAATACTGTTTCAAGATTTATTTCCTACCTTCAAGACTTAAAATATTGATCGGACCATCCACAAAGGATAGAAAACAAAGGTGAACGCAATAAATTCCTTAAAAAGTTTTAATAAACAATTGTAGATTTTATCGAACCAATTCTTTATCTATACGAGGGTTCTCTAATTGAATATGATGTGATATGAGTCTGTATAAAGTCCGTGGTGGAAACACAAACGAAACGCGTTTCCGCGGTCTCGAGTCGATTAATAGCATGTCATTCAGTGGGCTTCATTCGTGTAGATTGCAGTGCAGAGAGCAAATTACGCAGAGTTGATTATACGACGCTGGTCTCGTCTCTAGGAAGCAAAGAATACCTCTAAAGATATTTTCCGAATCATAATACTGATTTATATTCACAACAACTGCATTTTATATCGTGCTACCCTTCGTGCGCGAGTCCGGCTCGCACTTAGCCGATTTTTTTAAACTATTTTATTTACACTACAGATCATAATATGTAGTTAACTATAGTTTCTTCCAATTCACTTGTAGCTATTGTATAGCATTTTATTGCACAAATCTTCAATGTGATTCTTTAAATTTATATAACTTACTACAATGCATTAGTGAAAGTTGCACCCAAATTGGCTAAGCTGTTTCTGAGACACCGCACAAACGCACTGATAAACAGACCAAAAATTTAACAATCATTATTTTGGGTTCTACAACAACTCAAGTAACTTACAATCTCGTGCAACTTTAATGAAAGCTGTTCTGGTCATTAAAATGTTGCTTTACTTATATAAGAAAGAAAGAAAAGAATTATAGAAAGAATAGGGCTATATTTGGAATATTATCCTGTGCTACGTTTCATTGCCGTTTTCCGTATACTATGTAAATTTTAAGAAAAAGTTTCCTAACAAAATTACAGTTCAAGTTATTTGGTCTGCAATATGTTTCACCAATACTTATTACAAATACCACGATAGTCTAATTCCAATAGCTTGTGATATGATACAATACAATGAAAACTCGTCCAAAGAAGGTGAGCGAGGTGTGAATATTAGATTCTTGTATTTATTGAGAAATAAACATCAGGTGTAAATATGTCCATACTAATCGCAATTATTCTTAGTTCCGCCTTCAATCATCGCACCACTACTAAGTGTAGAAGCGACCGGCTCCCAGCGGTTATCTAAACCTAAATAGATATTCTTTAAATTTCTCAATGAAAATAGCCAGACTGATATTGAAAACAACCTTTCACAGACCACTAATTCGGCACTGAGATTTGTAGCTGCAATTTTGTAACTACTTTCACTATGTAAATAGACAATTTATCCGTATCTTCAAAATTATCCTGATATTTTGTGTCAGCGCACAATGAAATACTTCGAGCGACACGTCCCAATTGTTGACAATACGAATTAAAAGTGGTCCCAATATTTCTGACACTGATTCCCGTTTCCACTATGCTAGGTCGCGACCTCGCTTTGTTTTTACGAGGTGGAATGGTTGTAAATAAAAACAACCACAGGGTGTTTTGGATGTTGAAAACCCGGGCTTTTTCGTTATATGTTCGCTTCTTTAGCAGGTCGTTAGGATGATAACTGCAGATGGTATTTTTTTTTTTAATCGTAGCTTTCATTTTGACATTTAGCATGTGATAAGTCGGCACTTAAAATTGCAATTAACACTTTCATTGGTGCCGGCATCGATATTCGACCTCAGCTTTCTCTAGTATATTGAATTAAAAGCGAGCGCCGGACACTGAGCTATCACGGCTCCGAAGGAGTGTGGTATATCGAAATACCATTAGCCGTTCCCACAGCCACTTCCGTCCTTTGAGGGCGAGAGGCTCAAAGGAGCGATCAGTGAGAAATGTGTGCCCCTCAGGCTTCGAGATGCGGGCGCTCTCACATCGCAAGCGATGAATGGCGCGATGTCTTCAGCGTAATAAATCATTAGAAAAAAATTTTTTTTCATACAGTTAAACAAGTTACACCCTATAGAAGTCAAACTAAAAATATTATCATGATACTTGGAAATAGGTAAAATGTTTCCCAAAATTATGTCCAAAGAATTCTAATTTATGATGTATCGTGAAAAGAATCCAAAACCGAATATCTCAAAGTTTAATCTAGAACTTTGCCATCAGTTTGTCTTAATAGGATTCCCTTGACTATGAACACTATAAAGCGTTCGAAGCGTCTGGAATTAAAAATCAAAATTAAACGCGAAAAAGTCCGCAAATTAGTTTTGGTTTAACAACGTGTAGTGTTCGCGTAAACTGAAGAAGTCGTTTTCTGCTATTACCGTTTGTACCGAACAAAACATAGCTGGCAGTGTGCACTGGGCTGTAGATCGCACTATCGCCTCGGCTTTTAGCTGAGAAAACAGTGCCCCGCTGAAGGGCCCAAGAATCGGATACAGTAGCCGCGATTTTTCGCCGTTTACCGATCCCGGGACAACGGCAGGGGTGCCAAGAGGGCACTCCGTGCGTAATGCGCGTTTTACACTTGAACTGTTTGTCGCACCCCTATCAAGTGCCCTTGCGATAGCGATTGGCGGTGAGAGTTTTATAGGTTAGGAACCCGCCATTAGCTGCCTTTGTGTCGTTCTCATCGTACGTTCCCTTTTACGCAACTTCAATGCGTAATTGTTCGAATCGACGTATCAGTATTTTTTATATGTAAGGGAAATTCACTTATTAGGCTAGTAAAGGCAAATAAACAAGAGAAAAAATGAAATGATCTTACCGTAGTATCCCATTACGTGATCTGTTACATCTAAAATAATAAGTATGATATTTTTTATTATATTATTGATGTGAAACATCTATAGCCGCACGTAAAACCGATTTCTGGCGTGGCGACGCGTCGCCACGGCATACGTCCCAAACATCTATTGGCGATATGTGTGCTTCACACGTTAAACTAGAAGATGGAAGTGAATTGATGATGATTGTTGTGTACATTTCTCCAAATAAAAAAATAAATGACATCGTTTCATATTTCATATTTTCATGTTATGTCCAATACTTTTGTAACATACTTGAGTTACCATCGACCAATTGTCACAGTAATACCCTCCTCAGAGGCAACATCGAATATACCTAAATATTACCGAAGTCACTTAGTAGAAGTCATTAAGTAGTCACAATTTGAAATAAATTCGTAAATTTTTGTATTTAATGAAAATAAATGTTTATTCAATAAATAGTCATCGTTATCTGGAAAAAAAATCGTAATATTTTTTTCCTATCACGATCTGTTCTTTTCTGCATATTACTTTTACAAAATAATGTCGATGTTTCACATCTGCCAGACGTCCCGTGACGGCTAATTTTTTACTTAGTTTAATTGGTTATATAATTCATAGTTTTTATTATTTGTATGGATTATTATAAAATTTTTGGCTACGCTATCGCATTGGGTCACCCAGTAATGATAGTTGTGTGCGTGTGTGTAATAAATAAATATATAAACAAAAATATTTATTTATGTATTTGTATGTGATGGAGAGTGGAGACCATTGAAATTGAATCCAATGATGAAAGCTCGCAACTCTCCCGAGGAAATAAGAATAGTTCAGTAAAAAAAAAAAAAAAAAGCGAAAAACCTGACATACCTCACCGTGCCAACTGGATCTAAAATTTTACTTACTAGTGAATGTAACTAAAATAATTGAAATTTAGGTATATTCCGTAAATTTTCATGCGGAAAATTGTACCCCAGCATAACCCTGTAAAGTCGAGCAAGGCACTTTAATTGTGTCAATTTAGCGCCGCCTACGAAAGCAGTTTTTGTACGGGCGGTAGCAAAGTTACGCTCTAAACAGTTATTAAGATACCCGTACTCACGGTACATTAGGGTAGCAGCTGTAGAGTGCTTTCCCGTGTACAGGCCATAACGGCTACTTACGTACGTTGTAACGCTAAGCCATATAGTTATGACTCCCGCCATTATGACGATGCAAAGCCGAGTAATCACTTTGGTTCATATTAGTCGCGATATCAAGACCGTAATTAATAGTATAATAAGAATCAATTGTGAAGTAAAGTATCAGCCTATACATGTGCCACTGCTGGGCAAAGGCCTCCGTACAGAGGATATCAGGGCATAGTCCACCACGCGGCCCCACTGTGGATTGGCGAACTCGAGTATATTGAATTATAGGCGAGCGCCCGGACATTGAGCTATCACGGCTCCGAATCAATTGTAGTACAATAAAATACTTATACATAATTAATCCCATATCTCGATCCCAATGGTGGATTACATTTACAAAGCTTTACAGAGCATTATCTATGTTGAAAATCTTTAATTTTCTTGTGATTTTTTCTAGATGTATAAAAATATGTATTTTTAATCCCAACTACTTTATTATCAACATGTCCGTTAGAAATTGAAAATACTGCTTAAATAATGTTAATCCCCTATAAGGCTATAACTTTAGATCATAAGATGTGCGTACGATGTAACAAAGAGCTGTGGATTTTGTGTGAAAAAAATAATCAAGTCATAACCTCGCCACATCTTAGAAAAAGAAAGATCACGCTTTAGAGTAAACTTTGGTCAGAGGAAGTATCACGGTGTACCACATCTCAGAATACTGGCGTGAACTGAGGTAAACTTTCGCGTTTCGTCTGGTGAGCGTGGCAACCGAGACAAAAGTAGGTCTCGGTTACCACGCTTTAGTCAAGTGTTGCAGATGTCAGGTGAAGTGTCCGCTTGCTTGCTAACTTATCACAAAAAGAATGGGGAAACTATCAGAAAAACAGCTAAGGCATAACAAAGTCATAACGGTAAAGTCAAAAAATACAGCAGCGTGTTGTATTCGCTGAAATTAATATAATGTTTCAATAAGCATGTCATAAATTTCATATCACGCAAGCTACTTTTATTTCATTGATTGCGCGTATGTACCATAAAATTTAATAAAACTGTTGTAACGATTTTATCGCGGATTTTTTATTTAATTCCGATTTCCAATCAGTTTACAGTATTGGAAATATCGGCAGTTAAAATCGAAAAATAAACTGCGATAAAATCCGCAAAGTACTTTTATTAAAATCACGTTGCAACATTAATATTGTTCTGAATGGTGTTGCATGTTTACAAACGTACAAGTACCTGGCGCTCTATGTAGAGCTTAAGCCGTATTACCCTTAATTGCCTTCTGAGAACAAGCGAGTACTAGAGAAGTGGTGTTTTATTTGTAACATCGTCTTTTTTCAGTATGTTTCCCAACAAAAGTTCTTGTTTTACTCAATATATTTCCTTTTGTTACTCAATAATGTTACTGAGATTCCGATAGTGACATATGGCGCCATGTCATGAAAATTATGAGCAATTATGAGCTCTTTCAGTAAAAGTGTTCTGTGAATGTGAGGTTCGAGAACGCTTTTATCCATTAGCTAGAATGCAAGTTCCTTTTTATTTTACAAGATGGAGTTATTAGTTATAAGAAAAGGTACTTAAAATTTTTTTGACATGTTATTGTTTCCGGATAAATTAAATATTTCAGGACATATTTTTACACAACGTTATCTAGTCTCACACTAAGAAAAGCTTGTACTGTGGATACTAGGTATCTGATAAACATACTTTTCTTTTGTAAATAAATACAGAATATTACTCCGTGGAACAGTTGCCAAGGTATTGGCTTCGGCGCCGGGGGTCGTGGGTTTGATTCCCACGGGACGACTATTTGTGCGACCCACAGATAGATGTTTTGCATCTGGATGTTTGTGCATGTGAAATTTATGTTTGTAATTTTAATTTCTAAGAAGCAATAGCGACATCTTTCGTTCGAATTATCGTTGTAAAACGATATTCGAAATTGTTTGTATGCTGGAAAGGATATAACAATGGATGCGCCAAGCACTGCTTCAAATGCTAAAAAAACAATGTAGGTAGAAAAGACGTTAAGATTTTCGTCAGTGTGGCAACCAGGCGTTTAGCTTAGTGGCTAAACAGTCAGGTCGCGAATGCCGAAGACGTGGGTTCGAGTCCCACAGCGGCGACAATGTTTTCGTACTTTTTCTACAAATTTTAATATACAATTTTAAGCGCAGAGATGAGCACTATAAAAAATTTAATTTTTTAAAAATTCAATACAAATCATCAGATCCGCTTCCTAGATGCACCAAATTTATATTTACACAAGAGTTGTTCGCTTAAGATTTATACATCGGATCGATACTAATTACTTAATAATTAATAAGAAATTCACGAAGATCTAGCAGTAGAGATCTTAACTATTGTCTAGCTTAAGTAGTCAAACATCGTTCATATTCGCAAGAGGACATGGATCAGCTCACCCAGGTACACGGAGGACATCTTCTTGGAGACGTTTTCGTCGATGTAGGTCACTCCGAGCGTGAAGAGCGGAGTCGCACCAGCGCCGTGCAGCAGTTGGGCCGCCAGGAAGACAGCCACCGCCCATCCGCCTCCCTCAGGACTGTTCTCCGGGTCGCAGAGGCTTACCGACTGCACCAAACACCAGGTCAGATAAAAGTAGAGTAACAAAAAACTCAACCGGCTAATGTGGCTTGGTCATTGTTTGCAGTGAGCATAAACCGTTCACACAACCAAGAATTATCCTGATATAAAGTAAAAGTAAAGCACGAGCCTAAAAATGTCCCACTGCTGGGGAAAGGCCTCCTCTGCAAAAATGTTTGTAGTGCATTCGTATCAAGGCATAGTCCATGCGGCCCCATCGCGGATTGGCGGACTTCATATATCTTCGAAATATTTTTTGTTATTATTTTGCGAAAACATGCAGGGTTTCCTCACGATATTTTCCTTCACCGCTGAGAACGTGATAATTTAAACAATTTAATTGGTGCCGGCACCGGGGATCACTGCTCAGATCCGACAGCATAAAGCTACGATTGGGCCACACAGGTACAAAGCAGTGTCTTATTGATAACGAGTCTTATATCTTTTCATTAACTTACGCATCTCCGTTATACGAATAACAATTGTTATTTAAAGAACCGTCAACAACAAAAGTCTGCAGTTAAAAAAGTCTCTGGCTGAGTTCTAGACGTATACACACACACGCACACACACACAACAACGGAATCTATTACTTTCCGTTTTCATTCAAATACACCTGAATGAATAGTAAAGTAATACGGTAAAGTAATATCACATTGCTACCTTTTGTACACAGGACAATTATAACAGACGTAATACATCATACTCTAAAGACCATATTACGATGACCGGCCGGTGGAATTTATGGAAATTATTGATTTGTATGATAATACGAAACATTGTAATTATATTCATTAATTCAGCAAAATAAACAAACCGGAAGGAAAAGCTCACGAGGGTAATACAAAAAGTATTGCTGTTCATTTTTAAAGTTCCGAACTTTACAAAATTTCTAAATAAATGAATAATTTAAAAGTAAATAAATAGTTAACGAACAAAAAGAGAGTGCATGTAGACGTTCATTTGTCCAACTGAAACGTTATTCATTGCGACTTGTTAATTATGGATCGATTCGTTTTCCAATGACGTCACAACTGATAACGTCTTAACCTTGAATGACGTCACAACTTACATACATTATACAGTCTTAACCTTGAGTTTATTCAACGCCATCCCCATACGAACACGCGACAAATTTAGCGAGCACAATGGCCACGACCTCCCGCGTGACACGGCGCTCTGGGACCGGTTTTGTTAGCACGAATACGAGACGAAGTCTTCAGATCGGGGTTCCTTTTTAATCATTCTGATCGATCGATCTAATCGATCTGTACCATTCTACGGAACCATGTTATCACAAGCCGAATCCCATTCGAAATCCCTTTTAATGATGCTGATCAGCTTATTGAATCTTTCATTCTGTTATGAGTTGACCTTATGCGTGGAGATAGGGCCGCGCAGCAGCCTCGGCTGTTGCACGAATGGGCAGGCCCGTCCGGGTAAGTACCACGACCTCACAGAAGACCGACGTAAAGTGGAAGTATAATACTTTCGTGTTTGGTCTGTTGGTGTGAGTGAAGTAGCCGGAGTCTAATTTTCAAAAGGTTGTCAACGCATCTGCAAGCCTCAGGTGTAGCGGATGTCCATGGGCGGCGGTATTCACTTAATATCAGGTGAACCGTCTGCTCGCTTGGCAACTTTAACAAAATAAAAAATATTTAAGTGGGGCTCCCATACAACAGACATGATTTTTTGCCGTTTTCACAGATAATGGTACGGAACCCTAGGCGCGCGAGTGTAACTCGCACTTGGCCGGTTTTTTAGCCAATCAAGTCAGTGTGCCAGAAGACGTCGCTTCAATCGACCGGACCATTCTTCCGAGCCTTTCAGCACAATCTGAACGCAATGCCGCCCTATTGTAGTGCAATTGGATTAACGCACAAAGCCAATCAAGTCTGTTCTCGTCGTTACGCTTGATTTCCGATCGCTTGTTGTTACTTAACGACGGTTAAATGAAGCATAGAGCCTGTTGGCTGATATTAAAAGTTCCACGACCTTTACTGATTAATCGAATTCTCATAATACACGAGATACGCAAGACGTTTTCGGCCATTACACATAGATGTCATTGTTGGATTTTGTATGCAAATATATTTTTTATTGTCTCCGAACGAAGTCACCTCACCCTGCCATAGAAGTAACAGCAAGTAACAACATGCATTTAAGAATCAGGAATACAGTTGGTCAAGTAGAACCTTTTAATTTATTTATCTGTTATTATCTGTCCTTCCCTATTATTATTTATCTTATCCTTTTGTAGTCAATTGACGTCCAGCTTTCCACTGCCTAACCTTCATTGCTTCCATCATTCATTAAAACTTAAAATGATGCTAATTATATGACACTTTTAAAAAAAATACACTATTTAAAAATATTCTGGTTATTATTTTCGATCTTAATAACCTTAACCAAAATTTAAATTTATTCACATTTATTTTTTTTATTCACTGTCACTTTTAATCGCTTTTTTTAAGCAGTTCAGCAGTTTTAATCTAACAGTAAAATGCGAGATATCTCAAGTTGACGCTTTGTTTCGCTATCCTCAACTTTGTCGAAAACCAACACGTGAATAAATAAACCAATATTATGGTTTACTTCTATTTAGATCGTAAATGTTGTGTAAACCTAATAAGCGTAAATATAACAACAAAACCTGTAACTAAAACACTATATGTATACATATTTCATAAATTATGTATATGTTATTCTGTTGGTGTACCTTAATAAATATCAAACTCACGGTTGTCCTGTTCGGCGTGCAGAGGTCCTCGGGCTCGTCCCCGGCCACCCGGTACGGTGGGACCAGGAAATGGGGCAGCGCGAACAGCAGCGAGCCAGCGCCCATCAGGAGCACGCCCCAGCCGAGCCAGCGCGGCTTGGAGGAGCCCATTCTGCCACCCAGGTACGTGACAGGCGCGAGGCAAACGAACGACGCCATGTCGTATCTATAGACGGATGGTCGTCTGTTAGTTCGTAAGATCTCATATTCAACTCCTATAATATGTGGAATTAAGTAAGTTTTACTTAACTGTGGTAAGAAGTGAAGAAGTACTATGTTTCTGAATTTCGTCGGGTAGTAAGATAAATATTTTCAAGGTTCACAACGCATTTTTAACTCCCGAGGTATATTAGACGACTATGTATAGCGGTAATCACCTAATCCATATCAGTATTATAAATTCGAAAGTAACTTTGTCTGTCTGTGTCGCTTTCAGGCCAAAACTAATGAAATTTTTTATTAATGAAATTTGGTACATAGATAGTCTAGAGTCTGAGAAAGGACATAGGCTATTTTTTAATTGGAATAAAAAAAAAAGATATTTATTTAAGGGCTTCAACGCGAGCGAAGCCGCGGGCGAAAAGCTAGTATTAAATAAACCAGCCTGCTGTATGCTTGTTATTTCTCACGCACAAAAGATCTATGTGGTAATAAGGGTGGAAGCAGTGTTCATACGCGCACTCACCCTCCAGCAATCACCCCTGTCTGCATAGATCGGAGTCCGAAGCGCTTCTCTATTGTGGTGATCACCACGTTCACGAACCCGTTCACAACCATACCTGAGAAGATATTGATGAGGTTTAAAATGATGTCCCACATTTACAGTTCAATTAACAACCGTACGTATGTTTGTATTAATACGCGAAAATTATTTTATTTATTTAATTTATTCTATTTTTATTTTCATTTTGTGGAAAACCAACAGCTAAGCTAATATAACATAAGTAAGAAAACGAGATAATAACAAGCCAGCCAATTACAGGTTTTCACTGATAGAAACTAAATGAATTATTCATTGCAACATACATTTGAATACATACATAGCCTTTTTACAGACACTTACGAAAGTAAAAAGTAGTCAAAATTAAAATATAAATATATGGTAAATTACACACATTTAATTCTGTTCAGATAATCGACGAGAGGCTACGGTCAAATTGTACAACTGTACATTATACACATTTAATGAATGATAATAATAAAATCAGTGCAACTATGGTCACGTGGGACATACATTGCTAGCGGCAAGTTCAAAGCAATATTAATTTACACACATCTTGGTAAAATCCTATCGAAATTAGCTATGTAAAATATTCCCTTTTTTATTTTAAAATTCCATTTATTATTCCTTATTTATTTCAAATTGCTTTTTTTATTTTCATGTCATTTATATGATTTAAAAAATTCCTTTAATTTTTCTGTTTAATTTACCTTAAGTTATAAGTAGGTACTATAATTATAAAATGAAAATTAAAAAAAAATGTAACAAAACGATTTTCACTTTTATAGATTTAAGTGCGTGAATAGTCTAAATTTCAATAAAAAAGTAGCCTATCAGTAATAAGAAAAAACAGGGTCTGGTTAAATATTCTAAAATTTCTCATTACATACAAACAAATGCTTGCTCAATAACATTTAACTAGATACAGATAAATTAAATTCCTTATATTTATCATTAATCGAGGCACAGATTATAAATATACGCCGCTTCAATGTGGAATAATCTGTGAGCTTCGCGAATTTAATCCTAAACACAGATAATGAGCTCGTCGATCGGTTTAAGTGCGGCGGTGTGAGTCTGGGAAAAATTAAAAATAACTGGAGCAGCGGGAAAGAGGTACACGCTTGACAATATCGATGTCAGCTCGGTGAAGGCTGATACGTAGCTGGCAGACTCGAAACTGAGCGAAAATAACCCGTTTCTATTAAATTTTCACGTACACTGAACCGACGGACAGACTGGCCGTTTCAACTGAAATAGACGAGTGCAATGCTTTTCCATTATTTTCGATTCGTCCGTCAGCGCAGACATAAATGGTTTGGTTTGCTTGACAGTTTTGCTCTCAAACGCTTCCTGGCACTCCGGAATATGAGATGATATTAGGATCGTGGTAGTGTTAGTATAAATGTTGAATAATATGAAGAATAATCTTATCGGGTTAAACACACTCTATACTAGAAAGTTGTATGAATGTTTTAGGAATATTTACAGACTGTTGTAAAAAAGTATTGAAGACATGAAATTGTTATGTTTTTATTACTTTGCCCTGATAAATAATAAAGTTCTTCCCTTCAAGTATGGTTAATTAAGTTCAATGTTTTGAAATTAAAGTGTTTTTATTATGTGTTGTCTATTGCAAAAACTAAAAAAACGGTTAAGATTAAAAACAATTTATGTGCAGTGCGATGAAAAGTTTTTTTCTGTATTAAAAAAAAAGTAAAAAGCAGAAGATAGACAAGCGTGCTGTGAAGTTACGTAATGAGCACTCAAAGAAGTATTTTTGCATAGCATGGAAAAGTTCATCGAAAAACTTTCTCCTTAGATGCTATTAGATTGCCACTGCTATCCTTGCTCGAGCAAAAAGATCAACAATTAAAAAAATCTACATTATGAATAAACTGTATACGTTAGAATTAATCTGAGACTTCTCAAGTAAGTACGCACAAACATAAATTAATTCAGAACGGTGCGAAAAATTATATACTTCCACCTATGATTTTAAAAATATATATATATATTGACATTTCCAATCCGCCGGGTTTCAGATACATTAAAATAAATCTATTTATGAATTGTGTTAGTGCGCCATAGAATAAATAAGTATTGTTATCTCCGCAATAGTAATTATATATTACGCTCTGTGTAGTGAAATCTGGCAAAAAAAATTGCTAAAGACACCAGTTGTTGTTTAGTGCTGCCCATATATGTGATTTACATTTCCCCCTATCCTCGATAACGTAAAATTGATGATTTTTTTTTTCTTTTTATAATCATATACCCTTTCGCACAACTATAGAAGCACCTGCTTGACCCTACCATAGTAAGTTCGAATACAACGTGAAATTCATTCAAAGAAAATGACCGGTGCTCGAGTACCATCTCTCCTGATGGAAAGTCGAGTTAAAAAATCAAACATTACATGTTTGATTTTAAACGCCTTAATTCAGTAATCGGCTCCTCCAATGCCATACTTATCGTTAAGATTCCATGCACTCTTCTTACTTCGTTCAATGTATTCTTCTGTGGAATACGCTGCCTCTTGAAATAAGGATGGCTAAGAGAGGCTACTCTATTGAAAAGAAAGCTCACGAGTGGAGTACTCGTTTAAGGTATGAAGGTTATCGGCAGAATTACTTCAAGGTTATATATAAAGTATGTCATATATTTACGATTATGTATGTATGTTTTTTCTCATTTTGTATATGCATATTATTATACTTTTAAGTATTTTAATAATATGTTAGGTTAGTTTTGTATCCAGTTATCCTGCATAGTGAGTCATGATATTCACTCCCTTTCTGGGTCACCCGTTGGATTAATTGGCAGAAAATATCTTTAACATTCATCCCTTTATACAAAGATTTTTTATGCATAAAGTTTTAAACAAATAAATAAAAGCCTATTCAGTCTCGCCTTGAAGACACTTACATAACTGTTTACCATCAAGTCTGACAGTAGCCAAGTTTTAGTCAAGAATAGATATGAATTTCCATTCTTCAGTCTTTCTTCATTCTTACTTGTCACATGGGAACGCGACCGAATTATTTAAGCGTTCGCGATTTATACCGAACACGACAGGTGCGTTGGTTATCGGAAAAAATCGGAGCTGATATAACGTGACTAATGACCATGCGTGATTGTTACCAAGGGTGGATCCAGCTTTGGTGCCAGGGAGGGGTCACGTAGTCGTGGTCAAGTGATAAGAAGTTTAAATTTTTATAATCATAGATACAAAAAGTAGGTATTTTTAAACGACTTCAAAAAGAAGGAGGTTATCAATTCAGATGTTTATATATTTTTTTATGTATTTTCGGGCATAACATTGTCATATATGTCTATTTATTAAAGGATTTGCAAAGTTTTACTTTGTTCGTAACAATTCGTTGCTTTTTATTATCTTATGTTATATAGGGTGGCTTTTATAATGGTGCCCAAATTCACACAGGAGGTTCAAACTCGGTAGTATAACCGTTTATTGAAATAAAAACTTGTTTTAAAAATTGGCATTCTATTCCCTAAAAAAACAGAACTTGTTGAAAATGCGGTAGTCATTCATAAATGCGTCGTATACTTTTGAAACGAACTTGTGTGCGTGTAAGTTATAAATGATAACGCGTAAAATAAATGAGTTGCCCATAAATCACGCACTATTTGAGATAAGTTCAAATGAATGTAATTAATTAATTACGAGTGATTTTAAATATTTATCATTATTTATATAACATTATTAATGTTTAGAATTTGATAAAAAAATGGATACACTTAGAAAAGCCTCCCTGTATAGCATTTTTTAAGTAGCTATTGGTAGGCTTACTTATTTTTGCAATTTATTTTATTTATTTTTTCGTTACTAGATTTTGTGTAGTCGTATTGGTTATAATATTCTCTATTCCTCTACTCTGCACGCGGGCTCCACTTCAATGACAAGTACCACGGTACACGGGTTAATAATAATATATAATCAACCCAAATGAAAACTCCTAAAATAGCCGTACACAAACTAAACATTTCATCGTCCACGTTAAAAAAATATTCATAAATAACAAAAAAAAAATTATTCAGTCATTAATTAATTCATTCATAATGTTCAGCGCTCATCCATTTAATCCATCTAATCACAGAATCCATATAAATAACAAACGGAACGAACAAACTATAATTCCCAAAGATGGGGTCGCATACTCACGTCCACTAAACCACCACCTCTCACAACCCATCAAAAACGGTCCACGCATTAAGACGAATCAAATTCGACGCAGTTGTGTTCCTTAATTACTGAGTTCCTATGGCCACATTCCAGCTCTGTCATCAGACCCTGATTACCATCTAGCACTAAAGAACTCGTCATGACGAATCAAACGAGCCGAGACACAATAGGGTTGCATTGTTTCTTTACTGAGTTCATTTGACTATCTTCCATCTCCATCATCAGATCAGTTCCTGGTAACCATATAAAAAATTAAGTACTCGCCAAAATGAATCAAACGAGCCGAAACTCGATGGGGTTGAGTCGTTTTACAGAGTGGTCATAGGAACCTCACAGAATAGACATCACAGAAGATCGGCGTAAAGTACTTTTGCGTTTTGTCTGGTGAGTGAGGTAGCCGGAGCCCACTTTGTTGTTAGGAGAAAACGCATCTGCAACCCTATGCATATGTCCAAGGACGGCTAAAGATGGAGCTCCATCATCAGATCCTGGTTACCTATGAAAGACAAACTACTCGTCAATACGTTTTAAATGTACCCAAACGCGATGAGGCTCTGTCATTTCATTGCGAAGTTCCTTTGGCCGCCTTCCAGCTCCATCATCAAATCAGCACCAGGTCACAAAAATATTGCATTGTCTCGCGATTTACACATGTATACAAAATTTCAGCTCAACCGCTAACCGGGAAGTAGATCAAATTTAATTTGCAAGATTTGATGACAAACATTAAAATATTGTAAAATGTTCATAACATAATGGCAACTATTCTGCATCAAACTAAAGAAGAATCACGTAAATCGGATCATAAATCTTAACGTAATCGGTGTACATACATCGAAAAAAAATATAAC